GCATGCCTAGTGCGTTTATTGGGTGTGTCACTCACAAAATACATGTACATTACATGTACATGCATCTACATGTATGATGTACATGCATTGCATCAAGTACATTTTGTATCGTTATACATTTTCAATTTAAAATTGTATGCATGCTGTAATAAACCACAAGTTTGCTAATACATAAGGGAATTATACTTGTTTCCATTCCATAGACTGTACATGCAATACCCATGCATTATGAACATGTTTTGCATCAGATCCTTGTCCCCATACTAACAATACATATTGCTTCTTATATGAAATCTCTGAACTAGGGTCCACCAGTACACTGGCAGCATGAAGACCACGTTCACATGGCCAGTTATCAGACTTGGTCTCTACTTTATTCCAATTCTATTATGAAAAATAAAAACAAAGACAGTTACAGAATATAATCCCTCACCTTATTTTCCATATCAAAGATGAACACATGATTATAAGTGACAGTGTATTTCTCTTGTTTACCACCAAAAAGGAGAGCATGTGACGGATCAATCTTATTTAATGTGAATCTTGATGAAGGAGGTGGCTTCTCACCCTCACAGCTTATCTCAGCCCAATGTTCTATAAAATGAAAGTAAAATTATCACTTTTAAAGTTATGACAACAATATCTAATTATTCTTATCATCATTAAATTCATTTTGCTATTTACAATCATAAAAACAAATAATAACGATAATGTTAGTATGCTAACATAAAAATGCACTTCCTGCTTTTTAATTTTGTGCACACATACTGTATTTCCTTGAATTTTATATTGAGGCACTATTTACATGTTTTCAGCTGCTATAGCACCGCGAATACAATAGACCACCCTATATGTGAATTGGAAAAGTTATGAAGTAGTTCATTTAATTTATAAATGGCATCCACCCACACATCATAATTGGCTGCCATTTTGGTTGGCAAGTTTGTTATGTAAGTCAATTAATTGATGCATGAAGAAAATGCCTCACTTACATGTACCTGCTGTAGCTCCATCACTTTGAGCTTCTCTTGTAATGGATTTGGTCAAATTTGCTCCAGATTTCTTAATACAGGTTTGTTTTTATGTTGGCCCATTTGTTCTCCATTGAAAGTTGCCAACTAAAATGGCGGCCGGAATTTATTTTAGCCTAAAACAAGCCTTATAACCGTAACAATTTCTAATAATAATCTTCCTTCACATTCAATTGTCGCCTACATGTAAGGTGGTCTATACAGGGACAAATAGTATTCAAGGATAAATACAGGAATAAGTTCAGGTCAATTTCTTAGAAGCAACCCTAGAATTCTGAGCTTCCTCTACTAATAACATGTGAAAATATTTTAAGGAAATACAGTACATTACTAAGAATGTGTATTATGATTAAAGCACTATCAGTTTAGTATACAATGTACATTGTATATGTACATGTACATGTGATAATATTGCACTAACTTGTAACTGTGTGATATTCTTGAAGATAATTATTCCATCCATAATCAAAACTATACCCAAGGTTTGAACAAGGTTGATAATCACCTTTAGCATTCTTAAGCTCCTGACCGGCTCCACCAAAAAACAACAAAGAAGTACCATAGACAACAGCTCCCCCTAGAGACAGTGGAGGTGACTTTGAATAATCCGAGAGATCATCCCATTTGTAAGTATTAAGGTCTAACTGATAGAGACCCTTACAAAAACCAGCATCATTACTACCACCAAACAGGTAGAGTTTATCCCCTTTCACTGCATGAAATGAACCCTTCCCCATTTGAGGTATGTCACCATAAGTAATCTGCTCTCTCCATTCGTGTGTATTGAGGTCAAGGATCTCAAGTACAGGCCCCTCAGTGAGCTCCACCTTTTCAATATCTATGGCAATGATGTTATAGAATAGCCAAAAAGAGGAAGATGTGCATGAGTGTCTAATCTCAGAGGATGACAGCATGCTGTCTGAGATGAGTGACTCGGCATTCGTGTTTATCACATACCTGGTAGGTCAATGTCTACTAGAAATCTATCATCCCCTTCACCAAGCATTATTTGAGTCATTCCTCCCCATAAGAATAACTGGTGATCGTAGACAAACATGACGGACCCACAACGAGCCCTCGGAAATTCTCTTTCTGTACTGACCGCCATTTTGAATACAATAAATTTAAGAATAATTCATTAATTATGGTATTATAAGAGATTGTTTCAGTATTGTAAAAATTTGATTAGAGCCTCAAGAGCATCATCCTCACCAGCATTATATAAAGCTATAGCAATGTCATTTGGTGTTTTCTTTCTTGTCATACGAGACCATAGCACTTGCACATCATAATTAATTTCATTGTGACCACGGTTCTGATTGTTATGATCGATCTCATCAAGATCAGATTCTTTTAATCCTAAGCAGCGACCAAATCTTCTCCAATTTTTAATATCTTGATAAATTTTACAAAATAATTGTTGCTCTTCCTCACTGTTTAAAAGTATTTCTTTACTTTTACTATCTTCAGGAAGACAAGTAAACTGATTATAAAGTTGAAACACTCTAGGATTAAATGGTGCTGGAGATACTTTTGGTGGCACAGTGACATTAAAGATAACCTCTTTAGAGAAATCATGTGTAGTAATCTTAAATTGAAGTGGATTTAATGTCATACAGTGATCTAGCCCACATTGATATTCAATTCTTGGTGGAAACATACTGAGCTCAGCACGGAACTTGGGTTGTTTAGCATTAACTAATTCATCCTTCAATATCTACAGCACATACATGTATATACAACTAACAATAAAAAGAAGTATTTCTTACCACTGTGGGTTCTTTCTTTGGTAAGACACTCCCGTTAACAATGTTAGAAACTATAAAATTTAGTTCTTTAGTGGGAAAAGTACCCTCTACACAAGATGATGGTGTAATTGCACTATCTTTGTAAAAACCACGCACTTGCCTAAGACATTCCTAATAAACTTAAAATAATAACAAATACAGACATTATATTTATACCTCAATACTTGTCCGACAATTATGACACACAAAAGTATATACAGAATACTTTGCTGCTGTTGGAGTTGGTTCAAAAAGTAAGATTTCATACTCAATGTCCACAGTATTGCTACGCTTAGTGTGTTCATTAATTTGAGAGCTACACTTTCTCTTTCTTGCTTGTCTTCTAGGACTACTGGTAACTGCAGTAGCGACTTCTTCATAAACCTCAACTGAAGAGTCTAATGATGGTTGTTTTGCTATGATGGGATCATTATGGGAGCTAAGACTACTTGATCGTTCAACCTCACTACAATGTAAATCGCTCTCTTTTGAGACTTGACCATTAGATTCTGTTGAAGATGCTTGTCTAGCTACATTCAGATCACGACTGGTGGTTGCATCTCTTTGGGTAGATACCTGTTCAATGGTATCAGTTGAACGATCATGTGAGCTGCTTGTTAAAGTGTCCTCGTGGACTTCAGCAGCAGCACACAATATGCAAAAGTTTTGCAGACTAAATGATAATGAAGGATGAGTAGATGAGATGTCTGGAAATATTTTCCCCTTTTTTCCACCACCAAAATCAAAGACGTCACTAAATGTAAAGCAATCTGATTTGGACATGACCCTATGATCAGCATGAAGAATCAACACTGAAGAACACTTCTTGTATTCCGACATTACCAAGCAATGTTCCATTGTAATCTTCAGTGGAACATTTAGTGGAGAGCAAGAGGTGATGCATAAAAAGCATGTAGCAAGCCTATAATTATCAGACATTACAAAAGGACCATGACTGCATATACCGATATTAACAGTACATTCTTCTGGTTTTTCACATTCAATGATAAGACCATATTTCTTCTCATAAGTTCTGTAACTGAAAGAGTTTGATTGACTGAAAGTAAAAGCTTCTGGTTCTTCCAGATAAGGCAACTGAGGCAAGTTACCAACAGCATCACCTATTAAAATAATGTGCTTAAATAAACTGATTAAGTATAATTATAATTATAGTACAACTTGATTTTATTAAAACTAACTCTGCAGTTATTGAATATGCATTCTGTGTGTAGTTCATAGTCCCCACTATGAAGCAGGTGCATTTAACCAAAAGATAATCACTTACATGTAAGACCATGCATGCATGCAACATTACATTATGTTACCTATTTCCATCTGCCTTGGATCTTCTAATGATAATCCTGAAACACCTTCAATCAATGACGTACTTTCAATCAATGGGGCATCTTTCTTCTGCCTTTCCAATATTTCTATTATTCTCTTCGCATGATCTGTCCCATTCTTTTCATCAAAACCCTTCACTATATCTCTCACGGACTCAACAATGGACATGGTTTTATCACTGGTCTCACATATACACTGCATAAACTTTACAAAGGTGTCATAGTCCCTGCTCCTCAGATATCCAGTCATGTACTTCATGCCATCCCTCCGTTTAAACTTATCCAACAGATGCTCTGGGGCAATTCCTTCCCTTTCTAGAGATTCCAGTAATGGTGGTAGACTAACGTGGCGGTTGATCTCTCCTTGCAAGACGTTAAAGACATGATGATGAGGCTGTGTCATGGTAAAAGATCTATCATTCAAAATAAAAGGTGTGGCTGTTTGGCTGAGTGAACCTCAACCCGCCCATAATTATGCTAATTCTGCTATTGTGATCATTAGTGATTAACCACTAAAATTAATAATTAACACACACTCGATTCTTCTTCCAAACCAACAATTATGAGTATAAAATCAACAAAAATGTTTAAAACCATAACAAAGGAGTTTAAAAGTCAATATTATATGTACCTACATAAAAACAAGAGTATATATATATATAATTGATCTGATACGATTCATACCTAATTTCCTTATTCTGCTGATGAAGCACCTTCAAGATTTTTGACAAATTACATTCTGAATGCATGGGGCTAATGATATGCAGTGATGATCTAAATGATATAAAATACAATAATAAGTAGCATCCTTTTAATTTTGACAAAAAGAAATCACAATACACAATAACTTTGCAATTTCAGAAGCCTATAATTTTGCTATTATTTTTTTAAAATTTCCCATAATGAATTAAACAAAATTGCTATAGATAGCTACTGTAATTCAGCTGTATACTTCATTAACAAAGCACTCAGTGGATTTAATAGTTGAGTGATTTCGTGCATGTGTACATTGCTAAGCAATGGGGGCAACATGCATATTAATAATTGCCTTAATTGGTGTTTTAATATTGGCAATTCCAAATAAATTACCAAACGAAAGTGCTATATGGTATGGTCTATACTATAGTACCTTTCTCCATTCCTTGTTTCAAACTCGTAACTGATAAGTCAAAGTCATCAATTTCTGTAAGAACACACCTGATGTACAAGTATAAACATCAATACAATTATTTTATTTAAAATTACTTATCAAACAAATGGACAATCAGTACCATAATTGGGTTGATAAAAAATGATTAAGGTTTATGTAGCTAAACTGAAGTGGTAAATACTCTTTTTAAGATTCATCTTAAAAATTTTTGGACATTCTCTTTTAAAAAATTGCTATGCATAAAGCATTTACTAAAGGCTGCTTAAGGAGCAAAAGCTTTAACAAAGTAAAGGTGAGCATTTGCTTAGTACATGTAAATGCCACACACATATAGATACCAGCATTTAGGATAAATGTACTTTTGTGTAAGTGATTGAATCTGTTATAGTTACATGTACATTGACATTAAGATGATGATTCACTTGAATCACTTTCTTTTACACTCAATAGGAAAAATCAGGAGCACATATGCACTCCTGAAAAAATAAACGCATGTGCACATTTGTACTTACATTTACATCATTCTTTGTTTAGCAAGGACTTTATTTTTTTGCTTCCTTTTTTGTGATGATTCAACTTCAGATTTCCAGACTTTTTGTAATTGGTCTAAAATCTAAATACCTTTTATAAATATATGTAGTTAATATTGTGTGGTAACTTCGGGACTTAGTGACAATAATAGCACGCGTTGCTCTTGATAACAAGATACTTTACAAAGAAGTAACTAAGAACTAATCAACTAAACAACTAACTAAGTATCGTGTATGCAGTACAGAACTTAAAAACATTAAAAAGGTTCTATATTTAGGTACATTACATAATCACTAATAATAACATAACCTAACCATTAATAATAACATTAACACTAATAATAATTACAATATCAATACTAACTACATAATAAGATTAGTTTACTACATATTGTTTCATGACTATTATATACCTTCTTTGTAAACATCTTAAAACTTTCCTTTTTCTCTCTTCTGAACTAAGAAAGCCTTGCTCCATCACATTCATACATGTGTAAGTGTCTCAATACAATCATCAACCATAATATTCAGTGCTTAACTAAAGGAGGAAACAATATACATGTAGTAGGGCATTAGGATTCTTATATATGTAGTGACTTTAATTTGTGTAAGTACTACATGTCAAGTACAAGTGCTGATAAAAATTAAATAACCTCACTGTGTATAGTGAAACTATACATGTAATAACACTCACTAAATACACTTGTACATGCACTAGATTCAAGGGTGTCTTGGCTGCTGTTTTCCCTTAAACTGGAATACCCTTGTATTAGAATCACTATCTGTCAATGATGCACACACTCACTTTAACTAATGCAAGGTATTCTGCAATAGCTAGCTGTTGTTGCTAAATGGCTGATCCATCAATAAACACCTTTCTACCACTAAGCACTAAAATCCTTTAGTTTAATAACTATTATAACTTGCAAAAGGTCTCTCTTATCACAAAGAGCTCTTTCAGTGATTTTGAGGAACGTCCAACAATTGTGAAAAATATTAGCCACACAAAAAAAATTAAAAATGAATATACAATTAATATTAACAAGGAAAGAGAGAATAATAGAAATGATGAGGATCAGAAAATAAGAGAAGGATGAAGGGTTACTTCTTATGGGCAAAAAGTCTTAAACAAGTAGGAATTAACTTCGGCAGATTTAATTTTTAGAAAGTCAAAATTATGATTAACACCTACATGTATGTTTATATTTTTCCAGTTATCACATTATTTTTGTCGATTTGCGAAGATTAATCTGTAAAAATCAATTTAATACAAGTGTAATGGGTCTTAGCAAGAATACTATCTACTCTTGTAAAATGAAGAATTCACTTCTTTTCAATTTCAACAAAATTTAGCTAAAGACCATGTACAGGATCTTTGGCCCCATTTTTGCGTAGCATAAAAAATTTGTTGAAAATTCAAATTTTAATCAGAACTAATTCAAAGTTTCTAAGCATCATCGGTACATATACTGCATCAGGAAGAATTACAAAAATTGAAAATTCTCTTCTTATCAATTTTTAAGAAATTTGGCAAGAAGGCACAGGTGGTTTGTCTAATTATTACTTAAGTTAAATACCCCTGTCTTCATTGAAACCAAGTGTGGCCACAGTAAAATAAATTCAAATGTTGGGTAGTAAGTCTTAAGCTAACTTACAGCAAAATGCAAATGGTCAATAATACCGACAGCACAAGAAAGACTAGAAAGCAGATACACAATCATATTCATTGATGTATAGGACTCTGACCAGACATGAAGAATGATTTGCATGCTTCGGCTCACCAATTAATTTTTTACATTTGTCTAGTAGCAATGAACAAAGCATATAATGCAATAGTTCTACTGCTGAAAACACTTATACATATCAATATAAAATCACAAAATTTAGGTCTAATTAGAATGACTTACTGAAACATGACAAACTCAGAAAGAATTCCAAATAGCCCATGGTCCAACTAGCCCCATCCTGCCATTCCTTTAGTGAACCTACTAAACATGGAAAATAATTAAGCATTTTTCCTAGAACAAAGACTTTTCTGTTTCATTATGAACGGAGGGATTATAAATCTATTGGTCACGTGACATCGACCCACACATCCAAAATGATCCAACAGGCAAGAGTTGAAACTTGAATTAAGATGGTTTCTAGTCTGAATCAGTCTGGTATCAGTCTGGATCACCAATTTTTGGAACTCAGTCACAATACAATAATAAAATCAGGCATAATGATACAATTATGATACAATGTAAATATTTGTATAATACTAAAGGCTAAAGCAACAGTCACAGCAATGATACCTGTGGCTGTCAGGACTGTACCAGTACTGATATCAGACTTAATTACTTTTTGGCAGCATTACTGATTCAGGCAAGAAAACTCTTGGGTGTGTAGGTGAGGAAGCAAGGTACATGTACTTGGATAGCTTTTCATGTTTTATTGTATTTCTAGATGCTAGTTGCGAAATGTATACTGAGTCTGATGCCTGCATGAATTTGTTAAAATCATGGTGTAAGAGGTGAGCTGTTGTAGTAAATAAGTTATTATGTTTACATAAGGCCATGTCGTCATATTTTTGCATGCTTGCCAGATAGGTGAAGGGTTTGTTTATGAAAGATGATAATAATGAATAGTAATGTGGCACAATGGGTGGGTAATGTGAAGAAACTATAGATCAAATGAGAGTGGCTTAAGGGTTGATTTTGTCGCCTTAACTGAAACCGGGGCCATGTCAGTCACACCTACATGTAATCCTTGCATTGAAGACATATGTATAGTTATTTATTACAGATAATTTTTAGTATTTAATTTAGTCATGCTGTAATAGATAGAGTCACAAAATGCATACTGATACCTGAATTTGTTATAAAATTATGGTGTGAACAAAATTAATAATTATTTTTAATGTAAGCCTTTGTGAATTGGAAGAATTAAGTGTCAAATTCTAGTAATCCACTTTGAAGTTAGTCCTTAATATTATGTTCACTTGTTCAGTTGATTACATAATAATAATTTATAGTTCCGAATGCATTTGCCTGATGAAGGTAGTTTCGTTTGTGTCTTGTGGGTGGCTAATGAATCAAATTGAAGTGGCCTAAGGATCGATTCTCTTTACTGTTATCAAGAGTACATAATATTAATTCTGTTAATTTTTAATTTCTTGGCTACAGGTTGTGTTTTTGCATGCTGGAATTTGTAAACTGTTTCACATACATGTATATAGTAGGAAAAATTCCCACTAAGTAATTTTTGATGAGAATCAATAACTACAAAATAATAATAATAGCTAATGGAAATAATAATAGCTAATTTAAACAACTTATAAAAAAGTAGTTCAGTCATTTCTCTGCTACAGCGCGTATAGCATTCAATCCTTTTTCATGATCAAGTGTGCCAAGCCTTTCTATCCATTTCATTTCTAAATGTCTTGCAACTTTGACATCAGAATATTTCTCAAGAATGACAACGTTAAAGTCATCAGCAAGTGATATACCCTCACTGCTAAAGTGGCCAACTAGTTTTCTATTTTTACTCTTGGTCTTTTCTGGGTGCCTAATTTGGTTGGTCCCTTTGTCATTCCTACATACATTTTTCCTGTGCTTTTGCAATATATGCAATATATGACTCCATCTGTAGTTTTAGTTATTTCGTGTGGAGTGATGCCACGTGGTATTTCAAATTCCTGATTACTTTTGAGACTTTTGATTGTAGTGACTTCATATCTAAAGTACTGATCAAATTTTAAAGGTTTTGATTTAAGGTGACTTTCATTAAATCTTTGTTTCCCGTCACCTTTGATACTGTCAATGGTTCTATTTTGATTGAGTACTTGAACAAATGATAATTGGATATCAGTTAGTTTGAATGATGGGGAATCACTACCCGATACATGCTGAACCATATGATGCAAACTACGAGTTCCAGTATTTTGAACTCTTTTAACTGAGGATCTATAACTGGTGGTGCTTTCCTCCTCTTCCTCCTCCTCATAATCTACTTCGTCATTACTTTCTTCATCACTGGAGTCTCCTCCTCCTCCTCTTCCACCAGCAGCTGCTCCTGGATGGGCTGATGGCTCACCTCCTCCTGAACCACTGTTTCCACTGCTTCCACCACTGGTTCCATCGTTTCCACTGGTTCCATTGTTATTTTCAGCAGAGCTCCCACCTGCACCATCAGCATTTGCTTTAGGTTGGACAATGGTTACAGCTGATTGTGCAAGAAATTCAGGAGCATGGTATGCACTGGTGTGATAAGGTCTAGAAGGAGGAGCAGCATGACCAGGTGGACGAGACATTCGTGTTCTGTAAGGATTTACTACTTGTGTGGCTTTTGATAAAGGATAAACATAGCCAGGTTGAAGGTCTGGACAAAGTAGCACACCACCATAGCATAAAGAATAGTAATTCTCAGTTTCTTCTTGATATAGTGCAGCAGGTACCCAATCACATGCATCTGGGTTTATTTTTTTTGGTGTTGGCTTCAGTGAATTGAGATGAGAATTGAAGGCCCTGTAATCATTATAGCAATGCTCTTTTATTACTTTTGTAATGTCTGCTTCTGTTGGTAATGGAATGTGAGAAACAATGAGAGACAAGAGGTTTGACTTTGCTTGATAACAGTTGTGCCTAGAGTTTCTTTCTTGAAGCCATGCTCGTACATAAGTATCCATAGTGCTTCTTGATACGCTGTGCTTTGTTAGCCTTAGAAAGATATTGACAAGGTCAGAAACTAACTGTCGATCATTTTGTTGAAAGACAGTTTTTATTTCTCTTTCTAAGACTGAGCGAGAAACATATTGATTCATACTGGCCTCCACTTTACGACGAGCTGATGAAATTGCATTATAATCATCAGCTGATGGCCACACTCCAATTTGTCTTTCTAAGTCAGTTAGTATGCTGTTCACTTGTCTTTCATGACTTTGTTGTGCATCTTTTCTTATACTGCTAACTACTTCTTGCGGTACTTTTACATTTTCTGAGCTATCCTTCAAATCCTGCAATACAAATTTTAGAAAAAGCCCCAAAAATTGAAGTTTTGCCAGTTCACGCAATCGAGCAAACATTGGAAAGTGAAGACTGATTTCATCATAAGCAGATGTCATGTCAGCAGCAAACTTTGCTTCAGCACTGTCTGGATCATCCTCTTCCTTAGTGTCCTCAAGTTTTCCATCTGATCCTGGAAACAGTGGGTGACTTCTGATTGTCATTTTGACTTCACCAAGACGAAAAGTAATTGTACCTTGATTTGACTCTTGTGTGTATGTTAGCTTGTCAGCTTGAATCCAGAATCAATGCACATTACCTTGATGCCCTCCTGGACGTTCATGAACTGGTTTCAGTGCTTCTACCAGACGATGTGGCAGACCTTTCAGCAGACCTTCCCTGCATGGCCTTTGCTTGAATGGAGGCTTGGCAGATACTTCAGAACCGACACTAAATGATTTCATGAGATAATCGGTTTCAAACATGGTGTGAAGAAAGTCAGTGTTCTGACAGCTATTTGGACTGTATCGAAACTGTTGAAAAGGATGATAGTGTTCAGTCTTGCTTGGTGGATCCAAACTAAAAATTGCGGGTTGGAATTCATTTGATTTCATTTGTAGCACAGTATTAACATCCTCTCTAGAAAAAAGGCCTAATCTACCATCTTTGGAACTAGCAGGCAGTACTAACAACTCAATGGAGGGATTCTTTGAATCTATATTGAAGCGAAATCCATGAAGCTTTGAATACTCCAGGCTTTTCCCTAGTGTATGTCTTCTACTAAACCAACCATCATTATCTCTGAGACTGAGTGGTGATGTCATTAGCCTGTTGACATCATTCCAAGTCCATCCTTTTTCTGTTAGTAATCCTTCCATTGCTCTGGAACGTGCTGCCTCTGGGTCTTGTAGAGGGTGCACACGGCGTATATCATTCTCATATAACTGATAGCGTAGCTCAGCTTCTTTTATTGGCATTTGTTCTGGTTTGACATGTTGGAGGGTGAGTAAAAATTTGCTGTGAATTTTGTTTACCTTGATATTTAGCAAGGCTATTTCAGAAAGTGGAACTAGAGGCATTTCCCACAAGGGACAGAAACGGCAGTTATAAAGAACATTATGCAACAGCAACACTATTAACTCAATTGCCTCTTCACCTGCTACTGACTTGGTGAGTTGAAGTGTGTGCAGGAGTATACTGAATGAAAGACGTGATACATATAACTTCATGCCAGGAGCAAACCTTAGAGTAGCCATCCCATTAGCTTGATATAAGAAAAAAACTATTGTCTTGGTTAAGGCATGTTTAACATTATCAGGGAGCAAGGGATTAGCTTGTATATGCTTGTATATCCATAGTGATGCATACATGAAGCACAATGGGAACTGTAATGGATGATTACAAGCTGCTATGTAATCAATATAAGCCAATGCTGCCTCCCACTCACTCCAGTTCCCTTCCTTCACTTGACTACTCACTGCATTCTCAAACCTTCTATGTCCCTTCACATTAAGCCCTATTAATTGAATATTTGGCCACTTTGTTGGCATTGGAAACTGGGTATTGTTCACTTGAGGGAAAATGAGATTAAGGCATCTGCTTCTATTCTCATCTGTTGATGCAAGGCTGCATATTCTAAAGATGCTGCTTGAAGCAGAAAGATCAAAGAACTCTTTCGTTGAAAAAAATTGAAATTTAGCCATGTAATTGTTAATGACATCTGCCAGTGCTTTTTCAAGGTCATGATTGCCAGCCCAAGCTGATTTCTCAATCTCTGCAATACCTTCTTGGTAATTCCCTTCTTCAAATTTAATGATGCCATTTAAAAGAAAAAGTGCTGCTTGGTCATCATGGAGCATCTGGTCAATGTATGCATTAAATGATATCATCATCATAAAATACTTAATTGCTTCTATGGTTTTATTTTTTGTAGCATCTTCTTCATTGAATATTTTATGTATGACAAATGATAGCAGCCTATCATATGCTCTGATGCTCCAAAGCTCTGATATTGTTTGAAAAATATCATTATTTAGCGGCTTTTCCTTTAATAAGCTATCCAATGCTTTCTTGGTATTGCTTGATACTGCTACTAGTTTAGGCACTTCCATTGACTTATTAACGTACCTTTCTGCTATCTGGCAAGCCTCATTTGCTGCTTGAAGCAATTCTAATCTGTCTTCCCATCGAGCATCACGTTTTTCAGCAAGTGCCATTAGAACAGAGGCTGTCAGAGTTTGTCTCTGGACTAAAGCTTTGACAGTCATCCTTTCTTTCATTACTGATGCTAAAAGTGGCATTGCTAGCTCTGGCAAGTCATTTTGAAGGAAGCACTTTGCTACATCAAGCACTGGCTTTATTGTATCACTACTGCTCAGTAGTACCATTGTTAGGCACCCCAGTGCTGTCTTAGTGGAGTTTATAGTACCTTGTTCTAAGTATTGCAGGCACATATGCATCCAGTCATCTGCATCAAGGTTACCCAGTATTGTATTACACTCTTTGCAGAAAGGCTGCTTTTCTGTGAGACCAAGACGTGAATAGGATATACTTCTTGGTTGGCAGTTAGAGCAGAAAGGCTTACGACAATAGTAACAGGCATTAGATACATAGCTTCTTTTTCTAATTAGCATGCCAAATAGCAATCTCTTGTTGCAATTTGCACACTTATTCCCTTGTGTGTCATTGGGAGTTGTAGTTGTACATGTATTTCTGGGAATTGTTGTTTTAGATATCAAAACTTCCAGGTGGTGCCTCATATTTGCAGTGGAAGAGCATTCTTCATTGAGTAGTAATGAATACAATAGCAATATTTCTTTGTTTGATAAGCTATCTAAACACAAAACTTTTATGTTATCTTCTGGTGGAGGAGATGAATAAACCCCATTTGATTGAATCTCGAGTAACATTTGCTGTATTTTATATGCATTTGCTATGACATTAGGATCTTCTTCTAGCAAAGCATTACTTGCTTGCAATACATTAAGCAATGGGGTTGGTGTGTTACTTTTTGTTATTTGACACATATTGTCATTTCTATATATCTCTGTTTTACATAAAGCATCACGCACTTTTCGCTGAAGTAATTGTTCAAACTTTTGCCCTGGGACTTGGATTCTTCCAGCTTTAAAATCTGCCTTGAACTTGTCAAAATCCTTTAAAATAATATCTGAGAAACGTATACCTTATGAAGAAAGAAAGTGAATAATATACTGACAAAGTATTCTATGCCTACCTGTTGGGAGGAATCCTCTAGGATCACAAATAACACCATCTTCATGTTTTTCATCATACTCAGCTCTCTGAACCTCATCCAATAAGACAGACTTTGCTTCATTAAGTCTTTTCATCATTTCTTCAGTCCTTGAGTCTTGTGTCTTATCAGGGTGATATATACGTGACATTTTGTGATATGCCACTTTAATGTCAGCCTTGGAAGCATTCTTTTCAACTTGCAATAGTTTATAGTAGTCAGACTCAATAGGAGCCACATCAAACTGTTGGCCCTCAGTACTGCTATTGGTTGCCATTAGCGTATTTGTAGCAATAGACAATAGCCTTTTGTATAAAACTGGTTTGACTAGATAGTTAGGTACCGTATTAACAATTAATATTATAGTTATTATTAGGGTTGGTGCTATTATTAGAGGTTAGGTTATGTTTATATTGTTAGTGGTTATGTGAATCTTTTACTCTTTAGTTGTGTACACTATTAATCTAATTCTGTACTACAATACACCATGTTAGGAAGATTATTCTTAAAGTTATATTGTGTGCCAACCCTTATCACTTTAAGTCCTAAAGTTACCAAACCTTTTGCTATATTTAGGCCCTATCAGGTTCACTTTTATGTAAGTATTTGCATTTGTACTTTTTATTTCCACTTTAACATATTAAGTGTGTATGGCAGAAACAGGAAGCATTATACCAGTGTGCATGTACAATGTGAATTTTACTTTTTATATAAATGATTGTAGAATTGAGTCTGTGTTTATTGTTTAATGGTTAACTATGTGATGATTGATATGTGTACCTTAATTTTTGACCATCATTTTTTATGAATTATGATTTACAATTGTATGAAGGTGCATGCATGCAGTAGTTACCCAAATACCCCACTCTTATTTTTTTAATTATGCCACACTTTGCTCAACCTAATAACTTTATTTAACCTCTGCCATATCATAACTTGTTTACTTAGCCTAGCCCTAACTTTCTTCTGAGTGTCTTCTATAGTCCCACATGCATGATTAATTAGCATAATGATGATTGACCTATTTTAATTGCCTCATTTCACTGACCCAGCCCTGATATTACAGCAATTTTTCAGCTTGTTTTGATGTCATTGCCTCTCTTGCATTTAATATAGCTTTTATTGGGTACTGCTTTATAAAAGGCAAGACATTGTCAAAAATAATGACAATGATGATGTATTCCCTGAAACTTGGTTGTGTGAAATAATACTGTTTTGTGCAGTGTACATGAATTTGCTGGAAATATGTTGAGTGATAATAATATTGACATTGTTTTGATAAAATTTATAGTTCATTGTAAATCTAAACTATCAATTTGATGTAAAACTAGTTGCATTAGCAAAGAATAGCAATCAAAATACATGCATGGAATTATAGCACTAGTGATAAAATTAGACAAAACTCTAAAAAGTTATAAGCAAAGACAAATAAGAATGGTTTATGTTCTTGTGTACTTGTATGCAAAAGAGGCATATCAATTCGCTCTCTGGTTGTTTACCAAACAGCCCTTGAAGAGATTGTACTTTTTTGCTTGGTAGTGGAACTGATGTAGTAAAAGTTCTTTTGTATGTGGCATCTTTAATGACAGTATCATAGAAACTACATGATATATGTGCTTTGTGCCTGGTTACTTTCATATTAATTTTTTTGAGCAAGTTTTTTCATCAATGAATCATGGTTTCTTTGACAAGTAGCAATGAACCCTATAAAAATCTCCATTTTATCAGGATTATAATTGTATCAATGACATGTTCATGACCTTGAAGTTCAGCATGTATGAGAGATTGCCCACTATTATCAGTCAGTGATGGATTCATTCATTGAAGTCAAGAATGGTCCCTGTTACATTGCTATTAATCTTAGTGATGGCACCATTAGCCCTTTTAGAAATGCTCTGTTTAACTCTAAATTCTATATCATTAGCCCATTCATTGAAGTTAGGAAGGCTCTGGATCTCTGGTTTAATTTTATTGACTATATTATTAGCCCATTGAATGAAGTTAGGACGTTCATTGCTACCAGTAGTAGCTCCAGTAGTAGATAATTGTATCTCTTGTAGACATATGAACCAGTAACAAGCAAAGGATGACTATTACTGCCACTGACAGTAATACTGTGTCAGTGATTGGTTTATGCGACATTGTTAGCTTCTTTTTGTTCCTATTCTAAAAATGTTCAGCTCTTCTCTCTTCAAGAGCTTAGGTTTGATGTAACTCATATTTACCATTTTTGTTGATAGTGTCCTGCCTCAGAGATTCTTATGCTAGATTCTCTTCTACTTGTACATGTACTTTCAATGTAAATGTTTAGAACAACTCACAATAATAGACACTAATCTATTAAAGTGTATAGCAAAGAAGTTATTGTTCATATAGCAGCAGCATACCCACTAAGAAATGAAGCTGTCAATCATAAAATTGAGATACCCACAAAGAATTTAAAGTGAAATGAAGGAACAGATAATAGCATAAAATACCCTAGCAGCTTGTCTGCATGGTTAAAATTCATTACTTTTCTTCTCCAAACTCCAAAAACAATTATTACATACCACAAGTATGGAGTGTAGGAATGAAACATAAGCCATAATAAGCCATTCATTATGTTTCATCCTTTCATTTAGTCTTGTCATTATTCTTCACATCATTTTTGTTTCATTTTAGCCATAGTAACTAACTGCCATGCACGCATCATATGTGGGTGAGTGAACAATAAATAAACGATAGCTTAAAATGGAGACATTTTGAGCTTTCTAGCAGCAAGAAGTGAAAACAATCCAATAATAGCAATATCACTAAATTAATATTAAAATAAAAAAGACAAAACTACAAAATCAAAACTAAAAAGTAAAAATAAGGCAATGACACACCCACACACGCACACTTCACTACTTAACATAAATCTCATAAGAACTAAGAGGAACGTCTTCCAAAGCAAGTTGTGCATTAGCACACATCCTTAACTCAATATAGTCAGTAGTAGTGTTGCTACCATAGTCTCTGTGAAACCATGGGATACCAGGAACATTACAACAAGGTGATTCAAGAAAACCACAACCTTTACCATCCCAGAGTGGATCACCTGTGTAGAGAGTACTATATGCAGCACCACCATTGTAATCTGATGCACAGAAGTAGTTATTAGCAATAAAAGACTGCACTGATACTGTACTACCATTATTAGATGGACATGAACTTGATGAAGAAGACACTGATTCAGTATAACCAGCCATTAATGTCCAGACATGTTGTCGAGGAGACCCACAAGTGATGCTAACACCATCAACATAATAAGAATTAATGTCATTACGATACGAATAAGTAGGTTGTTGAATAGCATCAGGAGATACATATTGATACCCAGTTACTCTACCACATATCTGAGAATAACTGATACCATTAGATGGAAACTGAACTGAAGTACAACTGCCTACACTTGATATTGCTCTACCACAAGCTCTAACCCCTCCTGACTGGTACAGTCTAAACCTAGAATTAAATTAAGCTGGTACAAGCTGTGAATTATTTAATTTGCTTAGTTATGAATAATGTATCATCAACCGCTCCAGCAGTAGAGGTACTGGTGTCTTGTAGATTAGAGTGAGTATTGACAATAGTAATGAGCTTTTGTGCAGAATCCTTTGTATCAAGAGTACACTGTTGCTTGTATTTTCTAAAATTTCTTTATCAAATTCAGTGAAGTTGATATTGTCCTGAAATAGTGGAAGAGTATTCTGTGTGACACCATTAGCTCATTCATTAAAGTCAGGAAGGCTCCCTGTTACATTGCTGATAGCTTCAGCGACAACACCATTAGCTTCAAAAAGGCTCTGGTTAACTCGAGATACTATATCGTTAGCCCATTCATTGAAGTCAGGAAGGCTTTGGTGGACCTTATTGACTATATCATTAGCCCATTGAGTGAAGTTAGGATATTCATTCAGCAGTAGCTTCAGTAGTAGCTCCAGTAGTACATATTGTATCTCTTGTGGACATATGAGCCAGTAACAAGCAAAGGATACCAACCTATAGTATTACTATCAGTGACAGTAATACTACATGAACCATTGGCTTATTCCATGTTAGTTGCTTGTTCTTTCTATTCTTTATATTCTTAGGTTGTCAACTCTCTTGCCTTCAACAGCTGAGGTCTGCCTTAACTCTTTAAACTTGTTGTACACATCATCTTTCTTGATATTGTCTTGTCTCAGAGATTCATATGACGAATTTTCTTCTTCCGTTGTAAATGTTCAAAATAATGAACAAACACCAAAAAATTGTACACTAGTTTATTTAAGTGTACAATAGTTTACTAAAGTTTATCCATGCTATATGTGTCACAACAATGAAAGCTATTGAATTAAGAGCACTACCAGTGTTACAAAGTCAAAGTACTACTAGTTATAGCACTCTGGTTTGTGGTTTACAGATTTAATAATATTTTTTAAGACTTTAAAAATGCATGTATAGAATAAAGAAACGTGCAGATACAGAGGCATAAGGATTTTACAGATTTTTTGTCTGTTCAAAATTGTTGTCCAAGCTCCAAAAACAAAAATTAAAAACAAAAACAGTATTATATTCTTTCACAAAACAGAAATAAAGAAACAAAAATTAATTCAGCCCAACAAAAGTAAATGATAGCTTAATGTACTGGTACTTACTGCTTGTAATGTTGTAGTAAACAATGGTACGCAGCCATTTTACAATCAGTGATAAAAACTGCTAAAGCCCTTTCCTTTGGCCAATTAAAACAGTTTACTTAAAATACAACAAGTATACTAAAGTTTTTGAAATTTTAAACGACAGCAGTATTTACTGACACTAATAATACACAAATCAAAGAAAAACTGATAAAATCCCTGACACACACACACTCCCCTACTTTACATAAATCTCATAATAACCAAAAGGAGTGTCTTCATTCCCATTTCCCTGATCAGCACACACCCTCAACTCAATATAGTCAGTAGTGGTAGTGTTACCATAGTCACTGTGAAACCATGGGATACCAGGAATATTACAACAAGGTGATTCATCTGATCCACAACTTTGACCATCCCATAGTGGATCAGATGTGTAGAGAATACCATATGCAACACTACCAGTAATTCCTGATTCACAGAAGTAGTTGCTACCAATGAAAGACTGCACTGATACTGTACTGCCAATATTACATGGACATGAGCTCAATGAAGAATATGAATCAGTAAATCCAGCCATTAGTGTCCAGACATGTCGACGAGAAGACCCACGAGTGATACTAACACCATCAACATAATAAGAATTAATGTCATTACGATACAAATAAGTAGGTTGTTGAATAGCATCAGGAGATGCATATTGATACCCAGTTACTCTACCACATATCTGAGAATAGCTGATACCATTAGATGGAAACTGAACTGAAGCACAACTGCCTACACTTGATATTACCCTACCACAAGCTCTAACTCCTCCTGAGTGGTACAGTCTAAACCCAGAAGGACAGCTCACTGTAGAGTCAGTCATATCCAGATATGCTAGTCTTGTCCATCCTCCTCCTGAACCACACAACTCCTCCATATTGCAGTAAGCAGTATATGTTGACCCATTAGCTGATGCTAGTACATAATATCCTGATGGACTGGTAGGTAGCAATTTTTTTATTTGTTTGCAAGACGTTGAAAAACCAAATGATGAATTATGTGCTAATAAAAGGTGTATCATGAACAGAAATGTATCATCAACTGCTCCAGCAGTAGAGGTACTGGTGCCTTGTATACTAGAGAGAGTATTGACAATTTTAATGAGCATTTGTGCTGAATCCCTTGTAGTTTGTATGATTTGTTTATTAATTTCAGTGAAGTTGGTATTGTTCTAAAATAATTGAAAAATATTTTGTGATACACCATTAACCCATTCATTGAAGTCAGGAAGGCTCCCTGTTACATTGCTGATAACTTTAAATACAATACTATTAGCCCATTCATTAAAGTCAGGAAGGCTCTCTGTTACATTGCTATTGATTTTAGTGGCGGCACCAAGGCTCTTGTTAACTCTAAATACTATATCCTTAGCCCATTCATCGAAGTCAGGAAGGCTCTGGTTAACTTTATTGACTATATCATTAGCCCATTGAGTGAAGTTAGGATATTCATTGTTATCAGCAGTAGCTTCAGTAGTAGCTCCAGTAGTACATATTGTATCTCTTGTGGACATATGAGCCAGTAACAAGCAAAGGATACCAACCTGTAGTATTACTATCAGTGACAGTAATACTACATGAACCATTGGCTTATTCCATGTTAAATCTTTGTTGTTCCTTTTCTTTATATCCTTAGGTTCAAATTTCTTCTCTTCATTAGTGGATGCTTGACTCAACTGGATGAACTCATATACATTGTCTTCCTTGACATTGTCTTGCTTTACAGACTCATATGATAGATTATCTTCTCCTTCCATTGTAAATAACTAATTAACACTGGTTTACTAAAGTGCATTTATGTATATGCATAAGATTGAGAAGTTATTGTAATAAATGTTCAATGTGTTTTTGATGGGAAATTATTGTTTCATTTGTTAAAACTTTGTTATTTTCATTCTCCAAACTCCAAAATGAAAATTAGTATTACATGTACATGTATGTGAATGAAACATTGGTACATGTATGTATATATTCAAGTTACCATAATTTGATTAAATAGTGTTACCTGTAATTTTTATGATACAATGAAACTAATTAATGTGCTGATTTTATTTGTCCTTTGGGTGGTTCTAAAATGGCATGATTTCCAGTTTACCACACATCAATGGTTTGTCAGTGTGTGGTTGTGGACTATACGCTGTGGTTTCCATACACAAATGAGTGTGTGTCTCATAAAAATAATACTCACCTCATAAATTGGAAAAGTTAGATTTTTTATGGCTAGGTTATGTTTATATTGTTAGTAGTTATGTCATATGTCTTGAATCTTTTACTTTTTAGTTGTGTGCAATGCACGTGCACTTTATACTACAATACACCAGTTAGTTTTTTGTGAAGATTATTTAAAGCTATATTGTGTGCCAGCCCTTATCGTCCTAAAGTTATCACACCTTTTACTAGATTCAGGCCCTCACAGTCTCACTTTTATGCAGACATTTGCATTTCTTCTTTTTCCTCCCAATTTGACATACCGTAAATTGGGAAATTTTTAGTAATTTTAATTTTTAAATAGCCATCTTGTTCCAAAACTAAATTTAATTTCAATATTAACTATATTTTTTAATTTTTAATTTTTAATTTTCAAATTTCCTTTGTCATTCGAAAATTAAAATGATTATCCAAAAATTTCTGAATTTAAAGTATTCTGTATATGGCAGAAAAATGAAGCATTGTACCAGTGTACATGTACAATGTAAAATTTACTTTTTTATATAAATTGTCATAGAACTGAGTTTATAGAGTGGTTGATATTACATGTACCTTAATTGTTAAATTTTGACAATCATTTTTTATGAATAATAAATGATTTACAATTGCATAAAAGAGCATGCAGCGATTACCCAAATACCCTACCAAGACTACCGTTTATTCTTTTAATTATGGCACACTTTGTTCAGTCTAATAACTTTATTAAATCACTGTATTATGTGATATATTATGGTTTGTTTACTAAGCCTAGCTCTAACTTTCTTCTGAGTGTCTTCTTTAGTCACACATGCATGATGTGTGTGTGGTAATTTACATACTGTATAGCTGCTTAATTTCGAGGGTACAACTTGCGCTCTTTTCGCGGATTTTCCGTATCCGTGAAAGTTAATTCCGTAAAATTATCCGTATTGCCCATAAACACGTGTGCTTTAAAATAAGAACCGCGGAAGCTAATTTGTGGAAAAAGAATTGCGGCCTGATTCTCAAAAGTTTATTGCTTCGAAACTTTGTGGCTATACGGTATGATAATTAGTGTATTTCAACTGCTTCATTTCACTGAGCCAGCCCTGAGATTATAGATTTTTTCGGCCTGTTTTAATATCATTGCCCCTCTTGTATTTGATTGAGTACTGTTTAGGCAAGAGATTGTCAACAAAATGACGATGATGTATTCCCTGAAACTTGGTTTTGTTGAAATAATACTGTTTTGTGCTGTGTATTTGTAATTGTTAAAGATTTACTGGAAATATGTTGAGTGATTATGCTGACATCATTTTAGAAAAATTATTGTTCATCTTAAATCTAAACTATCAATTTGTTATAAAACTAGTTGCACGACTAAATTAGCAAAGAATAGCAATGAAAATACATGTATAGAACTTTAGCACTATAGTGATACAATAAGGCAAAACTACTAAAAAATTGTAAGCAAAGATAAATAAGAATAGCAATGTTCTTGTGTACTAGTATCCAAAAGAGGCATATCAAATTCGCTTTCTGGTTGTTTACCAAACAGCTCTTGAAGAGATTGTACTTTTTTGCTAGGTAGTGGAACTGATGTAGCAAAAGTTCTTTTGTATGTGGCATCTTTAATGATAGCATTGTACAAAGTACGTGATGTATTTGCTCCTTTCCTGGTTACTTTTATATTTATTCTTTGAGCTAGTTTTTTCATCAATGAATCATGGTTTCTTTGACAAGCAGCAATGAACCCTATAAGAATCTCCATTTTATCAGGATTGTAATAGCTCAGTATTATATCAATGACATCTTCATGACCTTGAAGTGCAGCATGTATGAGAGATGATAGCCCACTATTATCAGTCAGTGATGGATCAATAGTATCTGTTTTTAATAAAATTTCAGCTGCTTTAGGGTATCCATGTCTACATGCATGCATCAGTGCTGTCATTCCTTTCCTGTCTAAAATGTTAGGATCAGCATTTTCTTTTAGCAGCAGCAATATAACTTCATCAGAGCCTTTGATACTTGCTAGCATTAGAGGTGTGATCCCATTTTTTTCTTGTAAATGCATATTTGTATTATAAGTCAGTAAAATTTTTACAATTTTCATTCTGTTGGTCTTATCAATATCAAACCACAGGGCATGATGAAGTGAGTTTGAACCTTCATCGTCACAAATATTTGGATCAGCTCCATTTTGTAAAAGCACTTGTACAGTCTCAAATTGTCCATATTGGCATGCTATCATTAAAGGTGTAGTATTTTCATTTTCGGCAACATTTGGATTGTCAATGGCCTTAATTAATGATAATACAACTTCATGGTGACCATAAATGCATGCAAAAGTCAAAGATGGATATTGTAAGTTGTTTTCTTCATTGTGAAACTTAAAGATTGCTCTCCACAACCTACTTGATGAGAGAGGTACCCTGGGATCATAACCAGCTTTTAAAAGCAATTCTACTATTTGTACACAACCGGTAATAGATGCTATTATTAAACTGAATGGATCATAATCAGGGTTAGGTGTTGCTTCTACTATTAGCTTAAATACCTTTAAAAGTTTTTGGATGCTACTGTCTTCTATTTTTGGTGTTTGTTGATGTAGTAGCACATTTGCACACATTTGAGTTAAAGTAAAAGAATTGAAGTGCACATCAGTTACATTGCCAGTAGTATGAGCACCAGCTTCAAGTAATGCTTGTATTATTTCAGGTTGAACTGCACATATTGCTGTCCCCAGAGCAGTGCAATTGGTTACTGGATGCTGTATATTTGGATCAGCATTTGCTTGAAGCAGCAGTTGAACTGATCGTAAATGACCCTTATGACAAGCGGATATTAGTGCAGTAGTCCAGCCTAAATTATGTACATGATTCAGCAATTCTGCATTGGGATCAGCTCCAGCTTCTAATAGTAATTGAACTATTTGGGAATTTTCTGTTTTCATAGAGCATGCTACTATTAAGGCATTGACTCCATTTTCTGCTTTAGTGTTCAAGTCAACCTTTTCTTTAAGTAATAGTTTAACTATTTGAGTATGTCCCAGGTAAGTACAGTACATCAAAGCATTGCAGCCATTGCTTAGCTGAAGATTAATGTCAACCCTCTCATCTGCAAGTAGCTTTTGAACTACCTGTGTGTGACCATTGTAACAAGCAAATATTAAAGCATTCCATTCCGATAGAATTGATCCAGGTGGAACTTTGTTTAGTAAATTGTATAGTGGACTCGGAGTATTTGGATTGCATCCATACTGCAAAAGTAGCTCTACTGCTTGTGCATTTCCAGCAGAACAAGCTACTATTAAACTAAATGGGTCATTATCATTATCAGTTTGTGCCTTTCTCTCATGTAATATTTGAAGTGTTTCAATAATGTCTTCCTCTTTTATTTTTTTTAGTGATTGAGCAATTTGCTGACGACTGGTGCAGATTTTTTGTGATAGTTCTTCTGATGTGTGCCTTTCTGTAAAATTTTTTGCCACTAGTAAATTGGCACAAAGCTGATATGGTGCTAAATTAATTTGTATATCATGGACGCCAATTTTATACCTAGTACTAGTGATAGCACCAGCTTTTATTAACTCATTTACAATAGCAGGACGAGCTGTTGCTATTGCAAAAAATAAAGCAGTCAGATTCAAATCACGAGTCATAGTATTAGGATCAGCTTTACATTTTAACAGGAGTTTAACAGTTTCCAAGGAAGCATGCCTACTAGCATACATCAATGCTGTTGTACCAATTACTATTGAGTTGGTATGTGATTTTATCTGTATATTAGGATCAGCACCAGCTTCTAGCAGCAATTGAACTATTGTTGAACTATCAGTACTATTAGTATGACAAGCAATCATTAGTGCTGTAAGATTATCGTTTGTTTTATAATTTGGATCAATGCGTTCCTTTAACAATAGTTGAACTACTTCAGTGTGACAGTTTTCACATGCCAACATTAGAGCATTCCATCCATCATTATCCTGATTATGAAATTCTTTCCATTTTTCAGTACACGAAAGAGGTATATTAATGTTGTAACCAGCGTTAATCAAAGTTTCTACCGTTTGTACATGTCCCAAATATGAAGCCAATAATAAGATAAAATTATCATCATCACCAGGACGTGGTCCAGCACCAGCTTCTACTAGCAATTGAACTATTTGTGACCTATTTTCTCCTTTCATGGTAAGCAGACAGGCACATTCTAGAGCAGTATTACCATCATTTGGTTCAATATTTGGATCAGCATGTCCCTTCAATAGGAATAATTCTACTATTTCTGTATGTCCTTTCTCACAAGCTATAATGAAAGGATTGTAGTGACCATTAGTTTGAAATATTTGAGCTAGACCTTTTTTATCATTAGTGAGAAGAGTGTTACAGTTGTGGCCAGCGTTGATTAGTATTTCTGCTATTTCTTTATGCCCAAAATAAGAAGCCATTGCTAAGCTAAAAGGGTCATTATCAGGATGTGATTGGGCATCTAGTACTAATTGAAGTGTTTTAATGATATCACTTGTCTCAAACTCTAGCTCTATTTCCATTTCCTTTCTAAAAATATGAAACACACAATACTCAGTTAAAGTGGATCCCATAGTTTCTTCTAATTTTTTAGCATCATTAATACTAGCACCAGCGTTAAGTAATTCTTGAGCAATGCTATGGTGCATGAACATCACTGCTAAAGACAAAGCAGTGTCTCCAGTAATTGGACACTGAATGTGTGGATTGGCATTTGCTTTTAGCAATAGTTTCACTGAGTTTAACTGCTCATGGCAACTTGCAGTCATTAATGCAGTGAAATTAGTTGATGTTGATGAAATCATTTGTACATCAGGATCAGCACCGTAGTCTAGCAGTAATTCAACAATGCCTGAGTTATCTCTTTTGCCTCGGCAAGCAGCCATTAAAGCCGTACAATAGTTGTCATCCTTGGTGTTAACATCAACTACTTTTTCTTGGAGAAAAACATTGACTATTTCAGTGTGTCCAGTTTCACACATCTCCTTAAAAAACTTGTATGAATTAGTTTTTATCTGGTGGTACCATTCAGAATCTACTTTTTCTTGCAGCATTAATGATGCAATTTGATGGTGGTCATTTAAACAGGCAGAAATAAAAGCTGCATCCAGCCATTGAGTGGCTCTTTCTTCATGCATTAGATCCTTTACGACATTTAGCTGTCCACAAATACAGGCAACAATGAAACCAGTACTAGCTTTTAAATGGTTATTTTCATTTGCAGTCATTAATGCTCTCCAACTGTTTTTGTCTTTAAAACTGATGCTGGCTCCATTTGTTAGTAAAGTGTATATGATGTCATCATGTCCTAATTCACAAGCCATGGTCAGTGCAGACTGACCCTTTTCATTCAAGTGATTGATGTCAATATTTTTAAGTGTCAAAAGGAATTGTACTGCCTCATTGTGGCCAGCTATGACTGCCTCACTTAAAGCTAATTCAAAAGTAAATTTTTCTCTTTCGTCTTCTTTAAAGACAGAATCTTCATTGATAAAGAAACCAAAAATACCAACAAAATGCATGAACTGTAGCTTTTCTTGGGCATGTTTCATTAAACTATCGGCTGTGCAGTCAAGAACAGGATATTTGACAACAACTGATCCAGGAAGTATTGTAATGAATTTGAGTATTGATTGTTTCAAATTGCTAGGCAGTAACTGTTTGATGAGACACTCCAGGTTCTCCATTGTACAGTCAATCCAAGGAGTATGGAGTTGAAGCAAAATTTGAGGCATCTTGTCTAGGTTAGTAATATGTGCCTTATATATGCTTTGCAGTGATTCATTTAGGTTTTTGACCAATGTTGAGCAGCGAAATGTACGAGCATCTTCTCGATAAACCTGAAGTTCTTCTACAAGATCTGTGTCACAATTACTGAGAAATGTTTCGCTCAAATCAACTATCAGTTTACAATCAATGAAGTCAAAATAAGGATTTATTTCAGAGAATATATCCTTAACACTTGATATTTTTACATTCTTGTCACATTTGCTCTCCAACCAATCTTCAATATTTTCAAATAGATTGAGGTCCCTTTTGCTTGCTTGTTTAAGGCTCTGCTTTAGTTTCATTATCAAATTTGAAAACTTATATTCTAATTTGTTTAATGTATCACATGCTTCTTCTTCTTCTTCTTTTGTGTTGAAAAAAATTTCTTGGTATTTTTGTTTTTGAGGTTGTGATTCACAAGTTTCTTCAGAATTATCTATAATAATTGTTCTGAAATATAATCAGGTATTATGTCATCAAAACTTACTTAATTGTGGGATCAGCTTTTGTATAATTTCCATCAGCTGTGAATCACTTATGCTCACTAATGCATTGCAGTATTTTTCAAGCCGTTGTTTGGGATCATAAAAGGATTCTAGTTGTCTTTGTAGCACTATCATCAGTTCGGTTGCTTTTTCATAGTCTGTTTTCTGCATTGTTAATAACTTTTCCTTTGTTTCTAATGTTATCGATCCGTTAGCATGAAGCTTGTTAATTGCTGTAAGAATGTTAACACTGAGGGCTTGAGTAATATTATCAGAGTAAAGTCTTAATAGATCCTTTGGTCGACTATCTAGAGTGATAGAGTGATGAATGCATTATTTGTAGTTTAATATTCACCTACCTGTAATAGGCCCAGGATTCAGTTCAACATCTCCTGATAGCAAAACAAGATTGTGTGAGTAAGTGTGGCTTGAGTAATTACTAATAGCTTCAGACAACAATGCTGCCGTGTGTATAGCATTAGATCCAAAAGAAAAAGTGTCAGTGATGCATTTAATGTTTGACTCTACATGCGTAATTTATTATCAAAAATTAGGGTAGACTATAATAATACCTGTCAGTGTTCTTGTTTCAGTGGCAAAGATAAGAAAAAGGTAGAGTACTAGGGTCAGTAGGGGTAAAAACAATGATTTTGAAGTTCGCACTCTATGAGTTTTGTTTAAAGTGTCCTTTTTGAGCAACTGTCTTGGTGAATGGCATTTTCCAAGTCGAGAAGACTCTTGGCAACAGTTCCAGAGACCAATAGTTGCTCTCCATTGACAAATATCAATCATCTTGCAGCAGTGGAAATCTGTTGTTTACTTGTTTCTGACCCTATATCATTATTCATGGTGGCACACCCAAGAAAGTTATGCACATAATAGACCTCACCTAGACTTATAAATATAATTGAAGAATTTTTCATAATTCATTCTCTTATAACAGTAAATAATGAATTGCAGAAAATATTATTTTGATAATGAAAATCTTCCATGGTCTAGAATGTTGACCTGCATGTCATCATGTCATGCCTATATGATCTGTAGTGCGTATAATTTTATTGATTGTGTTGACCCACTTCAAACGATTGCCAATTCTGTGTACGTTATATCTACACCAGTTCTATTTCATCTATGATAGTATGTAAGTCAATTAGGTAATAAATTAATGCATGATAGCCTGACTTTTTGTAGGTTGCAGTTGGAAGCATTGCCCATCATACATATTGACTATACACTAATATTGAAATGAAAAGTTACAATGTAATGTACTAACTAAGTCATTCATATTGACAAGAAGAGCATGTGCTGTAAAAGTATGGACGTGATTACTGATGAGTTATGGAGAGCTTTCTGGCAATAGGTGTGTGAAAGAGTACAGTATGGGGGTTTATGTGACAATGAGAGAAAGAATCAATTAATGCACTTTTAAAACTTTTGTGTTCCCTTGTATCTTCAATACTTCTGTAGAGTATGTATGTGCATAGTACCAGTCTAAATGGTATTCCTCTTCTCCTAATAACAATATATTTTTTAAAGTACCAACTACATTATCGACATATGATGCTTCTTACAGTGAAGTCATTACTTAACTAATCTATATAAAATAAAATATATAATAATGATTGATTTGTTAATTTTAAATGATGCAACTGAGTCTTGTTGTGAGGCCCATGCAGCAATGTTAATGAATTCCTCATTATGCTGTATACATGTTTTTGATGCATCACTACAAAACACTTCAACTAAAGGTTATGGTGTAACTACAAATAAAGTATTTATGCATTTGACCCATTTTAAGCATTTTCTGTCTACTATTATCATGCATCTGTTGCTGTATTTGAGCCTCTTTACTGTTCCTAATCAGTCTGACGTCAAAAAATTCAAGTAAAATTGAGCTCTGAAGTATATTGAATAGCTAGTCCTGATGTTATGTGTGTTTGGTATAGTTATGTGCTTTTAGAATGTAATGGTTGTGGCAAAAGAACACTCTTACATTACTAAATTTTTATGTAAAAACTGACATTTTGCAGGATCTGGCTCTTTTTGGTGATTTTACTATGATGGAAACAACGTACTACTTTGGTATTCTTTATGGCATGAGTATAAAGAGAATGAAAGACAGAGGAAAATATTTTTTTTGGAATTGCTTGAACTTCCTTTTGTCAATAAGACCATTAAGAATCTAAGGTAAGTTTTATTAAACATTTTGCTGATGGCAATTCCTTTGTCTGTAGTGGTGGACAGCAGAGAAGGGTCTCACCTGCAGTTGCAATGTTACAAGAACCCCACAACTTATTCTTGATGAACCTATAGTTGGGGTGGACCCTTTTCGAAGAGCAAAGTCGAGTATTTACTTAGTACTATGCAATGATAGCTTTTTATTGTTTTACGTTATACATTGAATTATATTCATTGCTTGAAATGGCTGTGACATTGCATTTTACTTGCATTTATACCATATAGTGGAAATAAATTTTGATAGTGCGTAATATTGGTGATACTGTGTATCAGTGGTTTTTATATTGACAAATTTGCAGCTACATGCCATTATGAGCATGCTCTGAATGAAGCAAAAATGGCTGATTTATTTATCAAATACTTGCTAATTAACTGCCACAATGCATGTAAAACTCCACCAATTTTTCCAGCTAAATAGTATTGTTTAGATGCTCAGAGGTCAATGGCATTGACAAGTAGTAGAGTATTTAGAGCCGGCTGTTTTTGAAACATATACAATCAGCATCTTTCATGTTTCTGATGTAAAGCTACAGTACATTTTAATAGAATGTTGACCTTTTTTCTTTTATGAAATTATGAATACATAAAGTAAGAGTTGTGTCATGACTCTTATTAATTCTTAATGAATTGAAATTGTAGCAATCATGCTCTTTATTTTGAATTTTTTATTTAATAGAAATTGGCAGCATCATCTCCTTGAATTGGTTGAAACTTTGAGAACAACAATCATTATTACTACTCATTATATTGACGATGCAAGACAAGCTCATATTGTAAGTGCACATACTTTCCATTATGTTGCTTTTATGTGAAGTAGCCATTATGATTGTTGAATGTAATTTGTATAATAATAGTCATAGACATTTACATGTATGTCCTTGCACTTCATTGTTTAATTTAACGTACGTACATGCATATTTATTAATTGACAGGTTGGTTTAATGAGGAATGGGTGTCTGCTGGCTCAGTCTCCACCAGATGACCTTATTACCTCATGTAGATTGACAGTAATAATGATCACATGACTACTTTTTATTTAGACACTAGAAGAAGTCTTTTTAAAACTCTGTCATGATTGAGTTGCACACAAAATACCATCACCACAATTATCCATAGTTAGAGAATAGAGAGCAAGACTAAGTAGAGCAAGAAATATTTTGCTTGTTTTTATAGCAACATTCATTAACTCCATTACATGTGTATGGAAAAAAGAAAGCATTAGGAGATGGTGCTAATGAAGAGAGTTCCCTTGCAGTTGGGAGGAATGAAGCAAGTTGGGCTAGTAATATGAAGAGAAGTAAGAAAAGCCAACAAGAGACAAGAATAAAAGCTAGGGCATACTTAGCCTGGGCGGGCCCAGACTATAGCTAGGGCATACTGTACATGTAGTCATTATATTTTTCTCATATTTTAATTCAAGTCATTTTGTGGATCCATTATCTGTCTTACCTCATTTATTGGAGAAGAATTGCTAGTTTATGTTGGAAGACCTTACTCATATTTCATTTCCTCCTTCCTGCTAATCAAATTATAATATTCTGCTTGGCTGTTGATAACAATTTCTCTGGAGTCAATGACCCAACAGTGATAATGCATTCAGTGAGTCACATTACATAATTGTAAAGATATGGTACTGATCATTTTACAAAACAACTCGACAAAATGTACTTACATGTAAACTGCCTTTACTATTTCTTACAAATTTTCTGTCAATATTGAAAATTTTTGCACTAAATCTTGCTGATACAAATAATTTTGGCTCTCTTTATTTTAAAACTTGATCACAAGTCATTAAACATATAGTCAGAATTACTTATAAGACACGATTCATGCAATTTAATAATTCACAAAAATATCTGTTTAAAATTAACCATTTTTCTCTCTGGGTTTAGTATGATGATAAATTTATTGCTGTGGATGCAGCAGAGAAAGAATGGCTATTGTAATACCTGAGAACTTCACTTAAAACATGGTTAAAAGACTAATGTTAATGTCTGTGCAGCAGAGCATACCTGATGATGTAATAAATGGATCCACTGTTAAAATGTTTGAATATCTGACTGGTACATTACATAATGATGATTGTTTATTGAATCTCAATAGAAATTTAATTATAGATCTCCAGATAACTTGCATGCTGCACAATATCACTGCAGTTGCTGCTGAGGTAAAGTTATTATAGTGATATTTTTATTTAATTAACTGTTACAGCTTCTTCTGAAGGCATTTATTGATAACTGCAATTTTTTAGCAAAGATTTCTATAATCCCAAAAGTAAAAAAGTTATTCTTAAAATGTTTTTTGAATTATAAATTTACATATATGTACATGTAGAATCATAATCCACCTGTTTATGGTAGCCGTCATCTCTCATACTTTGATTATGTTGCACCTCGAATGATTGTCATGTGAGTGACTCCACAAAACAAGGCAAATTAACACAATACAGTTTTTGACCAAACTAGTAGAGAAAAGAAAACAGAAAAATAACAATAGCCATGTATTTAAATCATGAAAGAACTGTTGCTCCTTGTCCTGTATTTAGCTACCTCCTACTTATAGCTATTTGAAAATAAAAGTAATATAAGAATTATAGGCAGAGTTAGGTTAGATCGAGTGTAGGCTACCAGCACACTTTGATCGAGATTTAAAGGCAGTTTTTACAATTATTATGTGAGTTTATTTTTTGCCTAATTCATTTCATTCAAAATGTCAGAAAATACAAATGTAATTCTAGATCTATAGCTATGTATATTTTGTAACTCTATAATTAAAATGATTTAATGAAGTTGTCTACTTATGTTTAAAAGTTTAACACAAAATAAGTAACAAGAAAATTACTATTTTACTGTTAATATTGTTGTCTTTTATAAGCTTTGTAATAGATTTATCAAAATATATTATTTTAATTAATAATGCTTTTGTGTTATTGAGCAGAAAGGAAGTCACAAACAGTTTTAACTTCTGTTCCAGTAACTTGATATTTTGCCTTAGCTTGTATCTCTGTACCGCTAAAATCCATTGTGATGTCAGCTATTCGCTCATTTTTTGGCAAATTATCAGGGTTAGGAACATCAAGAACTAGTTGGCCAATTCTAGTAACTGTGCTTTCCCCTTTTTTATCAACTGTATACTGGGTACCAATATTTGGTGTTGAATAGATACCAATGAACATTTGTGTAGATGTATCTTTTGCTGGAATCATATCAATACTTAAAACTTCCTCTGCTTTAGCCATTTTACCTTTCTCCATAAAGACACAAAATACCTTGCCACATCGATATCTATCATCCTCATCATCGAAGTATTTGTAGTGCTCATCATGTTTCTCTGTGTCGAAAGGGATAGTCACAGGAATTCCATAAGTAGCATCAGATTTCCTTGCTTTAATCTTTTCTGGATTTTTTCGCCACATTGCAGCTCCTGTAGCAACTGCAAGATGAGGATCGACTGGTACAATAACACTGCAGCTACCTTTCAAATTTTTTATAGCAGCAGTGACCTTTTCATGAATATACTTACAGCCACCGAATCCACCAACGAGATAAAATGTATTGATTCTGCTTCCACCTTCTTTGATTGCTTTTATTGTGCAGTCTATGATACCTCTCAATGTTGGACCAAACAACTGGGATTCGGCTAAACTTTCATCTATGTACAATCTATCATCTTCATATTCAATGCCTTTCATTTTATTTACTTCTTGTTTTATTGCTTTATCGTAGCAGCTGGCAAACTTGGCATTGAACTCAATAGCCATTTCTTTATTTTTGCACTGCCCAAATGAGATTTTTTGTGTTTCAAATTCATCGTACAATATGCCATTGACTATTGCCATTTGCTTAGAATGCTCTCCTGAAGCTATAAACTTTTTATAATCAGGATCACACACAAGCTTTTGAAGCAACTGAGAGAAAGCTTCATTGACTTGTGTACCACCCCATGCATTGCCGGTTGGGATATTATCTACTTGGATAGAGCCAGACTTCTCAATATGAGCAGTAATATCAACGGTACCTCCTCCTATATCTATCACCATGTATTCTGTAGGACGACTGATAGCTGCTTTTGATGGATCACCCTCTATTTGTGCTCCTATTGCTTCTTGACTGTAAAGAGCTGCTGATTCTGGTTCTAGTGCTAATGATAGCTTATCAGGATTAACTTCATTTGGAGGTGGAAGAGATTCAAGAGAACTAGATGTAGGAGTTAAATAATCAATGCCTCCAGACTCTGTCAACAAACCAGCCTATTTATATAGATTTAATTAGTATAACTAAAGTATCTTATAAAATAGCTTACCAAATAAGCAGCCTCTCGCATCATTCTTTTTCCACGTACATCCCATATAGCAGGTACAGTGATGACCCAATCAAAATCTGTTGTCTTCAATGGCCTGACAGTACGGGAGAGGTGATCTATCAATAGATCCCTCAAATACTGAAGTATGAATGCTATGACTTCAATTAGATAATACTTTTTACCAGAAAATGACTCAACTAATGTCTGCCTATCAACTGCCTAATTAATCAAAAGACATATGTATTATTTGGATTTCAGCTTATAAACTAGACTGTTTACCTTTTCCCTTCTCATCAGCATTTTTATTCTCTCAAAATAAATGTAATTTGCATATGCGCTAGGCCTCAGTGATACAAACTTCTTCTTTGCATTTGCTCCAAATGATTCAACCTTCGTTTTACATCCTTCATTCTTTAGCAGGACAACATTAAGTACCCTAGTAGACTTTGCTTCTGTATCCAGAGGAAAAGTTGCTACTTGTTTATCTCCTTTGGTAGTGTAAGCCAGTGAAACTGATGTAGTACCAAAATCAATGGCAGCAATATTGCCATCAGTAACACGATATCCAGAATCAGTGCGAGAGAGCTTTCTTGCTGTGCTCAAATAGCTCATAATGACAGCCTGCAATTTGTATTGACACACCAGCTACAGATGTTAGCTTCTTCGGGCCTTGATTTTATTAGTAAAATAATCAGATAGCTAACTTATTGTCTCACAATACTATTGTAACTTGCCAGTGAACTTAATTCCAAGAATATCAGCCTTTTGTGGCTATAACCAGCTGTCAGTAGACTATAGCCACAAAGCCCACAAGATGGTAATTCTTGGAATTACAGTAGGACAAGTGATAGATATCGCAGTTACTTTAGCTGGAGTATTCATTTCCAGGAATAACTAGTTCAAGTTTGCTTAACAAAACTCACTGACCTTTTTAAAAAAAATGAACCAACAGCTGCATCATAGCAGTTCTACACTGCAATACCACATAAATTGAAAACATAGCCTTGGCCCTTGTATACATGATAGATACAACAATTAAAGCTAGACTGTTATTTTATAAAACAGTGCAAATGGTGGCACCTTTATAACGTTGAAATGCTCAGGGCATGTTGTAATTTAAATCTGGTCAAGTTAACAATGATAAATAACAGAGCAAATATTGGCATTTATACATGTAATGAGCAACCGTGTTTAATATGCAAATTTGGAAGAAGGAGCATCGTTTGACAGAATGGGAAATAAAATACTAATGGGTAGATAGAATGAACTCTAGCTGAATGGCTGATCATCATGCATAATGCACTGATTGTTACAAGAGTACATAATATTATGTACTCTTGTTGTTAGAATAAAGATAATAGACTGATTGTAATACTAGATGTAGCAATGGCACCAGTATTAAGCAATTTTACACAAGCAGTCTCACACAAGTATTTTCAATACTGAGATAGAGCTGAATAAATCTATTATGATTATTTCAAATCATTTTAATGATGATTATTTTTATTAACAATAGTAATCGGATTCTAATAGTAAAAGTAGTTTATGATGAGATGAATATTGACCAAATTTTGATAGCTTTTAACACAATTTTAGTGAATTTGAGAGACGAGGAAGACAATAGTGATTAGGGACGATGAATTATTGTGAAAAGTTATGCTTTGGACAAGATATTAGAGAAAGATTAAGATGATCAAATCATCTGAGTGCCCTTCTTATTGATGATGTAGATGTCAAGTAAAATGTTGTGGAATATTGCATAAACAGACAAGAGTTTGTGGTTGAATCATTAATGATGTCAGTCATGATTTGGCCTAATGCATTCTGAATGAGCTAACGTGACAGTGAGCCAGAGCAACAGGTATAATTCAGCAATGATACCTGTCAGACTGTACCGATACTTAGACTCGATTCATTGACTTTGAGGCTGAGCAGACTAGTTTGTGTACACAACCAATTGTTATCGCCTTGGATCAGGACCGATATTAGTCTGAATCATACTGATATCAGTCCTGAGTCATGGTTTTCGTGTAATCAATCATGGTACAAGAGCAAAAATCAGCATAGGATATCAAACATGATCCATTATTTGGGGCAAAAGTGCTGATTCAGGCATGATAACTTTTGGTTGTGTAGCTCCACCCGCGCCCAACGGCGCCATGCGGCGTGGAATGATACGCATTCCGAGAATTGTTTACTTACGGATACTATCTAGATCTATGGTTTACTGCAACAACGTTTCCAAGAAGCTAAACTGAGCTATCATTACGGTATTACCAGAAATAAATATAGAGCTTATGCAGTGAATGATGCTTTCTTTCGAAGGATTGACGTGCACCGTGCCAATACTGAATGGCGGAACGGGGGCCACCTTCACTTCAGTGTATACTGGAAGATACTCAGAAATATATGGGATGGATCCCAGAAGAAGTGTAAGTAGATTGAAATCTTATTAACATTGTTAAAAATATTCAGGCAATCATTGGGAAAGGTTGAAATTGAAAGGTATATGATTAATTAAGAAAATCTATAGCTCCAACAACGTTTTCTCATTTTGTAAATCTATCTACTCTCTGCTCTTATTCTCATCCTCCTTCCTGTCAGTAATTTGATTTTTGTTATATTTTTCCTCCTTTGTGTGTGTGTGTGTGTTTGTGCTGTGTTTTGGGAAATGAGACTAGACTCTAGTTCAGCCCTGGCTCTCTTTCAATAACTTAGATGCTTATAATACTATCACAATGTGATTCATAAAATGCTTCATTTTTAACAAGTGATGAGCTTAGCCCTGGCCCAAATAATTCAAAAAGGTGCTGCAACTGAAATGCAATATGGTGAAATGACAGTCTTTTTAAATCTATTGTGTCTTTCAATGTTTCTGTATTTCTGTAAAACATTAAGTTATTCTTATTCTCATAATAATAAGAAGAATTTTTAAAAACTGGTGTAGTCTAACATTTGAACAAAAACAAAACAGAAGAAAGCCAAAACCGACTAAATGAAAACCAGAGTTTAGTCTTTCTTGATCTATTAATTATTCACTGACTTTAACTTTATATTTACATTAATTCAGTCTATAAATATCTGTCCTTTGTTCTTTATCTGTTTTTTCTATAATAATAATTTAACAATAGTAATATTTAATAATGATAATAATAATTTTTTGTCAGGCCCTTTGTTATTTTTTGTTTGTTTATATAATAATTATTATTTTATTTTATTTTCTAACATAATTATATTAACAATAATTTTGTGCACAATAATAATTATTGTTCTTGTAATAGTATAGCGCTTTATTTTGGCCGCTCTGCTATAAAATTCTAATTGGTAGTTTTTAATTTGGCGATTTTTATGTACATGTGTAATACTGAGCATGCGCATTAATGATTGGCGGTTTTAATATTGGCAATTCTGCTTGAAAACCGCCAATCGCCAAAATAAAACTCCACCAAATTAAAGTGCTATACGGTATTAGTAATAATAATTAATAATGATACTAATGTTATTAATAATAAAATAGTTTTGTATTAAAGGTACCTGATCCATACAATGAGGGGTCAATATTGAAAATGGTTTGGAATCAATCCTACCATCATGCGAATTTTACTAACTTGTACTTACATGTATGTTTACCTTACAATGTCCTTTTCTTTTCAGTAATAATGATAATAATAATTATTATTAACAAAAATACATATGCAATTTAATCCAACCATTTTAGAGAAATTTTGGAACTAAAGTATTCATTACAAGAAGAAGAAAGGTATTAAAAATTCTATCTTTATTTTTCATCTAACTTATAATAGGAAACATTCTGAGCTACAAAATGAAATTGAAGAACTGGATATGTTAGTTATGTGAACTAGCAGGATAGTGATAACCTAACAAACTTAGCCATTTTTGAGCTAATATACTTAGACCTGCAAGTTTGCATTGCCCTATAGACATTGCTTGTTTCATTTTATTTGACTGCATTTCTAAAATAGGAAAAGCAGCTCTTCTCGTGATGCTCATAAGATGTATGGTGATATTAGGCCTGGAGATACTACACATCAAGAGGTTATGGTGGCATATAAAAATTTTTATAGCAATGCTCCGCGTAATTTGCTTAAAGTATTACCAGAAGAAGCAGATAAATTCAAAGTTTGGGAAGTAATCTCTGACATTGTGCAGGTATATTAAATACACTAAATTAGAGTTTCTCTGTTGCATCTATTTAATTTAAATTAGGAAAGTTTTAAAGAAAATAAAGAAAACATCATTCAAAAAATCAAGGACAAGTTACATAAAGTATTGCTAGAAGATAATACTAAAACACTAAATGAAGAAACAACAGATCTTATTCGGGCATTTAGCATGTTTATATATAGTGAAAGTGTGCGGATAGAATCTGTGAAACAGGTAGATCTACATGTATACAGTAGAGCCTCTATTCCTCATTAAGAATGGATCTATTATAATAATAAACCTTTGTAATGTCCCAATTGGTACAAAATTATACCAAAATTATACCTAAATGAGAACACCTCTATATTCAAAACAAGTAGCATATAGTCCCATGCATGGTGTTCAAAGTGAAGTACTCTTAATTATACTTTTTGTTACTAGTTTTTAATGACAGAAGAGCGCTGTGATCATCATGCTATTGAGAGGACAACAAAAATCATTAACAAAAAGTTAAATCCAAAGCAATTCAGTAGGTCTTTTGAAGAAGACTGTATATTAGAATCAAGAATTACTGGTATGAATATAACCTACACATACAGTTGTAACTAGATCTAGTGGTAATTCTAAAGAATTACGTTATACAAAACATTTTTCTTATTATTATTTTAGTTCATGGGTCAAGTGAACATCAAGGGCCATTTGACTCACAGTACCGTCAAAGAGATGGGGTAAGTGTCCACAAAGTATCATAATTTATTACCAAAAAAGAAAGAAAAACGTAAACCTTTTTGGCGTTCTAAGAGCAATTCTGAAATAGAGACACATGTTTCAGCAGGAAGGAACAACACAAAATGTAAATGCTCAATCAAAAACCTGAATACTAAAGTATATCATTTATTATAGATCAAAGAAACAAAAAAATACCTGAACCAAAAATGTAAGGCCTGTTACATTTTAGTATTTATAATTAGATATTATGTAATGTGCATAGTGAGACTGAAAAAGTTTACCACAAACTTAAAGAAAAAATGACGTAAGCAAACCGATGTACCTACATTAATTGACAGGCACACATGACAGGAAAGCTATTGAAATATTAGAATTATTAGAAGAAATGGAGGCACTTAAAAGGTGATAGCAGTAAAATTAATGAATTCATCGTTAAGAATCATTTTTAGAAAATCAAAAAGAATAGAAGAAGAAATAAAAACCTTGAAAAAAAGGTACCTTAGAGTGACTTTTAATTGCGGGTACTAAATTTTTGCTATTTTAGCACAAGGTAGATTTTGCTGGAATTAAAAATTGTGATTAAGTAATTACTACTAATAGTTATATGGCATCATGATGTCATTATTAATAATTGCACGTATTAATAATTGCGATTTTTAACCCAAACGCAAAATTTGCAATTAATAGTATCCGCATTTAAAAGTAACCTTAAGGTATTACATATTTAATTTTAAAAAATAATATCAATTTATAGAGTTGATGATGCGGCTTCATCAATGCCAATTTACACATTGGAAAGCAGCAAGCACAAAGATGCATCTGATCTTGAAGTACTTTTTTGCATCATTATCATAGATTATTATTCTATTATGCATAGTATAAAATGATTCTGAAGCTGATAGAGGCATTCATCCATGATCTTGAGAATATTTTGATCTGTACTACTGAGGAGTACATTGATGGGGGATCTGACACAAGAGAGAAGTATAAAATATATGGTTTAGTGCTGAGTGCCTGTGGTCTAAAGAAATCAAAACCTCCTGAAAGTTTACAGCAGAAAGTAAAACTCATGCAATACAAATCACTTTATTAGAATATTATATTTATATACATAGGTTTTAAGCACTGTCAAAGAAAAACATCAAATTGATGATAAAATATATGAGAGATATGTTCAAGAAGCAGTTGTTATAACTCGTGACATGCTGACACTGTTGCCTCCACTTATAATATCAGTACATCCAAAACGCTATAATGAAAAGATACATGATATTAAAAGACCTGCTTGGGATGAATCTGGAGAAGAAGATGAAACACGAGAGCTTACCTATTATCGCCCCATTTTAGTATTTGGCAATGAGTTACATGTGGCAGTAAAAGGAACAGTGGGAAATAAAAAACATACCTAATCTTACTAAACTAGTTAATTTTATTGATTGCATGCATACATTAAGCCTGTTTTGTGAACTATAATAAAAAGTATGCATAGAATAATTACATGTAAATCTATTTCTTAATAATAATATTATTGACTGATGAAAGTGATGGTATGATTCTAATCATGGCCCTGAAATAATTGTCCATTTGAAAGCTGTATGCAAGCTTTTTATTTTAATACTGCACTTTTAGAACTTGAGCTACAAACTATAATTTAAGCAGAAATTCAAATTGCAAATTAAAATCAGATCTGTATTTCTAACAAACATGAGCAAGACAACACTAATAACAACATGCATAAATTCAAACTGTTTTGGAAATTAATGAAACTGTTTCAAATGTAGACCTCGATTAAATACAAGAGTTGCAAAACCTTTCTTCTGGATCGTGTGAAATGATCTAGAATACTGGTATGTATTTAGCACTATTTTTTAAAGTCATTGTTGTGAACATCATCAATCCCATTCAGAGTTAACCTACTTTTTTGATGAATTAGTAGCAAAGAACCACACTCAATCCTACTGAAAATTTTTTATAATTATCATCATCTTCAGTCAAGTTGAATGAACTCATAATCAGTTCTGATCTGAATAACATCAGTAGTATATACAATTTTTGATTAAATAACACAAAAGACCCTATTCACCAGGAGTCCATAATGTGGGGTACTACAAAGACTTCAGTTTCTTTTAAGAACATCATTACTAATTTTTACTTTGTCAAAATAGTATAATAACACATTATAATTATAATTATTATGCCAGATATCTATAAGTGTCCTTTTGACCATCAACTCTTTCTAAATATTCTTTCTCTATCAAAATATCCACACATTTCTGTAAAGGAAATGATCATTGAGATAAAATGAAGTAATAGCATTACTTTAATTACTGGAACTTTAGGTTTAAAACGAGATGACAACTGGTGTAACACTTCAGCTAACAATTGCTGGTGTTTTAATTCTTTTCTTGTTTTCATAATTCTAACTATAGCAGCCTGTTTTAAAATTATGTACACTATGACAACAAAAATAACAATAATACTACTGTACCTGTATCAACAATTTCCTGTCTTCTTCCACATTCTTATGTGTAATTTCATGTTCCTGTTTTTGCTCAGATTTCACTGGCACATTTATATTAACTCTAAGCTTCTTACTAAAATTAAAACAAAATGCATGTACATTAACATAAAAGAAGGGTGAAAACTTAATTCTAAAGAATGCATTACAGTAAGCAAAACATAGCTCTTGCTTGTCTGTACAAGTTTATGGTAAAAGGAAGTACCATATATCGGGTATATTTCAATGCATGAAAAGTGGAGGAAATATTAAGTTCAATGATGGAATAATTCGGAAGCCTTTTATATTCCGAAAATATTTTACTTGCTATTATTTCCATCAACCACCTGGCCTGGTAAGTCAATCGAAGCATTTGTTGACTTCTCCACTTCTGAATCAACCTTAGTAACACTTCTAACTTGCAAAGAAGGCTCTTTATGGCCTTTGAGTAAGAAGCCATGAAGCCATGAAGCCACGTGTTCATATTAATTGCACGATACCACAATTCTTCTATTCCTTTTATCCGCATATTTTAAAATTTCATAATATTTATTTTCGCAATGGATTGCTTTTTCCGAAATTATTAATGCATTGAAATATACCCGATACACGGTAATTAAAGCACAGGTAAGTGTACTTAAAAATTTATTTGTGTGGACGCCTGCTTATCTTACTTTTTATATCCTAAAAATAAATTGATGACTGATTCGGTAGTTATATTTTGATCATCACAAGACTAAAAACATAAGTACACTACAAAGAACAACGAAATTCATACTTACCAATAGTTTTGCTTTCAAAAGCATTGCCACTACTTGTACTAGAGTGTCCTGAACAGAAATAATAATAATTAACTCTACTGCCAGTGGATTAACCATCTTACTTCTTTTAATTGAGTAGATTCTAGTAAATGGCCAAAAGTATGCGATTCAGATGTGTTATACTGCAATAGCACAGCCATTTGATATGTTGACGTCTATTGATACAACAAAATAATGAAGAAACTATGCACTGAACTGTACCTGCAAAGTATAACGACTCTTAAAACATGAGGTTACCAGTTCACCCTATAATTATAAAGCAAAATTAAAAAAAATTATAATTATTAACCCTTGATAATTGATAGAGCCAAGAAAGCTTTCTTCCATTATGTTGAGAAGTATAAAATGTTATGAATCGAGAATAACTTCTTTGAAGCTGTAATAATAAAATGAAATAACAATTAAAACTACACTGTGTATTTCACAGGAACCATACTTCGAGAGGTAATGAGAAAGATGGTCCTTGAGTAAAAGGCCAAGCTCCACTACTTAATACCATAATTGAAAAATCAACAGCTAAAGGAAAAAAATCAAAATGAAACTATACTGTATAGCCGGTAATTCTTGTGGGTCCTATATTTTGCGAAATCTACTAAAATGCCAATTCGCAGATTTTAATTTCGCGAATTCTACCATGTGGGTGCTGTAATAAATTGATATTCGCGGATATTATTTTTGCAAATCCAGAAAAAAATCCACAAAATTTGCAACCCATGAAAATGACCAGCTATATGTTAATTAGTGTTGTTGTAGTTCCTTGGAACTAGAACTAAATCAATTCTAGTACTGCCTTTTTTCATAGTTCTAGTTCCAAGAACTAGAACTAGTACTATTTTTACAACCAATGTAAGAACCAGAACTAAACTAGAACTAGCTTATACAAGACTTGTAGTACTAGAACTAAACTGGAACTAAACTTTGCCAAAGTCTCAGTACTAGAGCTAAACTGGAACTAAAAGTACATTCTCTTGTGGTACTAGAACTAGTTTGGAACTAGAGTTGTAGAACAATATTACTTAACAAAGAAGGTACTAATTTGTCATTGAAATATTTTAGTACATAACAAAGACTGAATAACAAACAATGTATGAATGTGTTACTTAGACATAGATTATAATGTATAAGTATATCAATAGACTTTTGCATACTTGTTCAGTTCAAAGCTAAGCAGTTAAAGCATGACAGCAGAAGCAAAAAGAAGCAGTATTTAGAAATTATTTCCAATTAGAACTAAGCTTCTTAAACTCTATTGTCAGAACAAGTACAAGAACTATAACTTAGCTCTAGAACTAGAACAATAGCTAAAATTTATTGAAATATAGTTCTAGAACTAGTACTAGAACTAACTTTATCAAACTATAGTTCTAGAACTAAACTTTATCAAACTCTAGTTCCAAAACTAGTACTAGAACTAAACTTTATCAAACTCTAGTTCCGGAACTAGTACTAGAACTAAATTTTATCAAACTCTAGTTCTAGAACTAGTACTAGAACTATATAAAATTATGGTACTACAACAACACTAATGTTAATATTGCTTATGCTTTGTTTAAGCTCTTCCCAGTGTAAAAGTAATGAGATGGTTTACTTTTGATGAATATAACATAAAAAGCAAGAATCAAAATTTGATCACTTAAGGAGTAACATTTCTATTGCTTATTAATATAATTATTGAAACTTAAATTTCATAACTACATACTCACAGTCTAATGCGCTGTCACCAGCAGAAAGGTGCTGTCTGAATTTATCATTTAAGTCTTTACTCAAGCTCATATCTTGAAACATTCTTTGAAGCTTTGATGTATACTCAAAACCACAAGCTTGCTATTTGAGTCAATAAAAGCAATGATGTAATTACAAAATCGATTAAAATTACTTTCAATTTAGAAATCATGCTGGCTTCAGCATCATCAGATGCAGAGATTTGCTGAACTAATCTTTTGGCTAACATTTTCGAATAAAACTTCTGAAAAACATCCTTATCTTCAACATATCTGAAAAGGATCATCTAAAAAAGGTTAATTGACCAAAAACGAAAATCATCTTGATTACCACATTTTGTAAGGCTTCATCTAATTCAGCTTCATCTGGATTCTTAGCACTAATAATAATAATAATCAGTACTACTAATAATTTATTAGACAATTGAACCTTTTCTTCAAAAGAGCATCACAGTGCCGAGCTAAAAGTTCAGGAGACTTCGATGAGCTATTACAGGCAGTTGTAACAGCATTGACATTGACAAATCGGCCACAAGCCTACAAAATAACAAATGGTATAATAATTATAAAATCAAGAAAAGATGAGCAAACTTTGTCAAGAGCAGTCATAAAACCACTGTCACCAGCAAAAGATTCTTTAACTAAATTACTATACTTTGTATGCGTGTTTAGTAATGCAGACACGTATACTTTAGGATCCTATTACAAAATGAAAGATAATTCATAAACACTAAAATAATAAAGATCAGTACATTTTGAGCTGTATCACGACATTTCTCAATAGATGCCATGCCTTGTGAATAAACATGTAACTCAAATAATTCCTTTAGTTGAGCCAGACCATTAGAGACACGTGACACAAGCATATACATGCGTGCAAGATCTGACAAAAGATAATCAATGAATCAATAATATAAAAATACCTTCATTCTTTTCTTGAGACAGTAGAGAATTGAAAACAGAATGAAACATCTCTAAGTACTTCTCTATTAGCACATGCTCACACTTGCTTGCTAGCTACAGTACAGCATAATGCAGTAAGTTATTAAAAATCTCTTTGATTTAAAATACCTCATCTTGAGTGCTTTCATGTAGGAAGGTGTGGACGCGCTTTTGTTCTTCTAATAACCTTGTTTCAACCTAATATACAATTAATAATCAAAAAATACTATGGGTGTATAATATTGACCTTTTTTAGATACTCTGTGACTGGATTATTTTCCAAAAAATGAGCACTTTCCGATATGTAATAACGCTCAGTGTGGGTAAGGAATTCTGCTTCAAAATATTCCTTGTAAACATCTAACTGCTGACCTTTGGACTGAGTGGAATCAGGTCTAATGCCCAGCTCAACTATACAATACAAATTCATATAAAGTAATACATAAAATAACACAAAAACTAACCATAACAGTCCACAACACCAGATATTAGTCTAGTATTGATAGTTTCTCCATTTCTTTCTCTTTCAATAAGTTCTAATACAGCATTAGTAACAGCTTTAGAAAGAGACTGGAAAATACATTTCTTCCAAGATAGCAGTGAGAGCTAAGTGAGGAAGGCAAGCAGTAACATAATAATGAAGCAAGTACATGTACTGAATACAAAAAAGACACAAAAGATAAAAATATACTGCAACTACTTCAAAGACCTTTAAAAACCAAGCACTAATTTGTTTGTTAATAAATGGATAAAAAATATTTTGGCATTTCATACTACACTTAAATATTCAGCTGATTTTAGAGTTCACAAAAGTTTTTTCATTGTGCTACTCCCATTAGCAATACAGACCTACCATAAGTTGGGTTATATTCGCGACTGCAAATATACACAACAATAATGAGACACCGGTGGTGCATTGGCCTCGCCAAAACAAAGAAAAACAATGTTAATTTTGTTTTCATACATGATTTCAAAACTATATTTTGTCCTGCATATTACCACTGTATTAAAAGTTTGCTTAGATAGTATAGTTTTGATTGCATTCTTCATAGTCTAATTAAATGTGGGGGTGTTTGGGTGTGGCTGCAAACTGACAGCATGGCAGTTGTTACACTGTTACAGTACAAAGAAAGTGTCAAATCTTGATTGCTAGAGTTGTCACAGTCCATTCAAAGTGTCAAATCTTGATTGCTAGAGTAAAATGGTGTCTCTTAGAGTAACTGCTGGAAGAAGCTTAAGTTTCTTGGACTTCTACTCAGTGCACACACGCATTTAGTAGGCCCTATTTGTTCCATACAAACTCTTGTCAAGCGTCTGAAGTTAAGTACTCTTCCTAAGGACAAGCGCTTCGTGTAAAGTCAAGAGGTGAGTAATTTTTAGGCATTCCTTTCTTCAAGACAAAAAAATTTATAGAAAAACGCTACATATTTTTTAAAGAAAAGGATTTTGTGTCTCTCTAGTGATACTAGATAGCCCTGTTACTGGAAGCATGACGAAATGATAGGAGAACCTACCTACATTTGACAAGATTGTTAGCTTTTGGTCCCTTGCACTGCTGTCAATACTTAATAAAGCTAAAGAAAGTAACTTTTTCTAGAGCGTGGAGAAGTTATCTGAGTGTAGGGGATCCCCTTCTAAAACCACAATACCTCAAAGTGAGAAATTGCTTAAGTTTGCTTCTGGACAGAATGAATGAGTGCACTATAGCACATGCCCTCACAACAATCAGTGAAGTGTAAGACAACAAAAGTGAAACAGTAATGTTTTTTTCAAGAAAAATTGGAAAGAGTGTTGCTGACTTGCTGCAGCAATTAAAGGTGTGGCTCAGCTCAATCAAAATATGCACTGCCCAGTTTAGTAAAATGGTGCCATGTGGCTAACCATGTGGCTAACAAGGAAGGTTAACACTGAAAGCAGAAGTGCAAACTTATTCAAAATACAAATTGTTCAGTGACTGCTTTTAACAGATCTTTCATGCTTGCTATAACCAATTGCTGCTGACATTTTATAAGTGATCAGATGACTAGCTAATGAAATGCTTGGACAAAATTTTCACTTTTTTGTATTTGTATGGACATGTATACAATTGCTTTGCTTGCTCATAAATAATACAGTATGGCTTGCTTAGGCTCGCCCCTTTAATGTTTTACATTCGTCTAGTACTTCCAAATTGTAGCTTTAATTTCATTATTTTTGCCAATGGCTGCATTATAGACTGAGGTTACTCAATACAGTGGGGCTTCCAAACAACAAAACTTTTTTGGCACACCAAAGTTTTCATTGCATCAAAGCTTTCATTGAGTTTAATTAATAAGAAATGAAGTTGGTACATCAATGAAGTTGGTACATCTACATTAATCAATACATAAGAGATTTTCCATAAAAAGAGAAGCTGTATTGCAACCACCTATCATCTAATCAGACCATTTCAATTTGCCCAAGGGTAACCTCATTAGACTGGATCAGGAGCCCATGATATAAAAGAAGGGAGTTGGAGTGTGAAACACCCATGCTTTAATTAGTTTTTTTTTGCCTGCTAACTCTGTCTAGCGGATATACTATTTTTAGAATAGTTATTATGAAATAATTAATTGTAAACCACACCCACCGCACGGTTTTTAAATTTTTTCATAATGGAAGATACTACAGGCACTCCTGGCTGACTTGGCAGCACAGATAACTCCTTTACTCCAAGGAGGTCACCACTGAAGGATTCTTGCTAGACTGTAGTTGATGCATCACTAACTGTATTTTTCAATGCTAGTTATTATCTTGTGCCTTTTTAAAAACTTCTTGCCTTTCCTTTGAGTTGCCTGTTTATTTAGAGGACTATATTTCCTATTGCTCTTCTGTCCTGTCTTTGTTGCTGTTACTTTCTTGGAGCAATCATGAAAAAACTGTGCGGTGGGTGTGGTTTACAATTAATTATTTCATAATAACTATTCTAAAAATAGTATATCCGCTAGACAGAGTTAGCAGGCAAAAAAACTAATTAAAGCGTGAGCGTTTCAAGCTCCAACTCCCTTCTTTTATATCATGGGCTCCTGACTGGATTTATAAGACATTTAAGCAACAAGAAAGCCTACATGTATTAGCTGGCAGCAAAGCTTCAACCAATAGGTTTCAAGAACACAAATGTTGTTGAAATATTAGCCTTAAAATTTGCCAATACACGACATAAAATTTACTGAATATACACATTGTACATGTACATGTATATAACCTGCACAGTACATGACTTACAGAGTAGATTTCGTGGACATCTTTCTTTCCTTCGTCATGTTCTCTTTTGACCCAATGTCTGTTCAAATAATGACATATCCCATTAAGAACTCTGCTGGAAAATTGGTATCCTTCCCAAGCCTCAGTATAAAATATCAAAACTTGCTCACCACTAAGGCCTTCTCCAGCCTAATAATCAAAGTGCAATACAAAAATAATAATTGAAGGCAACAGAGAAACATACCGGCTTAATTGTCTCTAAATGATTAGTTAAAAAATCTTTTAATTTTGAATACAGCTCTATCCCAACAAACTGAGCGCCACCTTTAAACAAATATTAATGTAAGATACTGTATATGGCATATATTTTGCGGAGATTAAATTTTGCAATTCTCGCATTTTGGAAATTTTCACAAAATTAAAATCTGCATAATAGCGTGCTGATTGTATAGTAGGTGTGGTAATTACATTAAAATGAGAAAATTTTTATTCACAAATAGAAAAATGCAGTCAAATCATAGATATTATGAGTAAATGAAAATGGAAGCGTTGGCAAACCTCCATTCATTTGTATTGTTGCTAAGTAAACAGACGATGGTTGGGATTTTTTGACAGATTTTGGAGCAAAAAACAGAAATTTTCTTGCTTTATTCTTGAATAACTCCAAGGGAATACAATTCATGCAAACAAAACTCACACCAATACCAACCAATGTTTATGCTTTTTATTAATATTTTTTTGTTCAGTAAATCAATGCACTTGTTAGTAGCCACGTCACTCTTTAACCAGATATACCATCTTTTCCTCCTCTGCGAAACTCATTTTGTTCTTGAGCTATAAATAAGTATAACCATTTTAAAGAGCTTGAAATCTCTCATGAAATGAGCTAACTTGCACGTTGATACTATGAAGCTTGAGTGTTTTACAAACAATAAAGTGTTTCAAAAACAGGCCACTTAGTGTACCTCTAACTGGTTGCAAAATGGCTTTTTGGAGATAAAAACTTTGCTGCAGGTAGCTCTAAAAATTCAATGTGGAATAGGCTATACACTAAAAGCAAGCGCTATCCCAAAGTAACACAAATTTCCTTCAAAATCCTGCCAGCACAACTTCACCAATGGAGATGGTAAATCAATCAAAACACTGATGGTTGTCACGTGGTAACCCAACCTGCATTTCCTGTTTCCAATCTTTCATTTACTCATTAATCTATGGTCAAATCGTGAAATTTTATACCCACAAAATATATGTAGCATACAGTAATACAGTCAACAAAAGTACAAAACCAGACCAAAAGGATTGATATAACACAAATTTTTATTTAGGATGTGTGTACCCAGCACATGTAAAATAATCATAAGTATCAACAATCTTTCTCATATGTAGAATCAAAACGGTACAGAAATACATGCAAGACCAAACTCACGTACTGGGAGTTTGAGTTTTTCGTCGCTTCACAATACTGGCACTCGAGGTAGGTTGATGAATACTAGTGCAATAATTATACACATGTCTACATGATAACATTAAGGGCTAATTGCTAAATTCATAATTGCCACACCCATGCATAATTACCACACCCAGTGCCATAAGTACCATGGTTTATTATTGTATATATATTATGTACAAGGAATATTTGAGTGGATACGTATACAACTCCATGTAGCGTTTCTTCTGCATACTCTGCCAGCTGTACACATGAAAAATCCCTTTCTCAAGATCGTCCCAAATGTCACTTAAATTAACAGGTTTACTAGAATGAAGATTCGGGGTTCGAGCGACAGACATTATCTAAAAGGACACATAGGCTTAATACATACCAAGAAAATTAAAATACCGAAGTCAGTCTCCTTTAGTTCTGTCAGAGGATGTGTTGTTTAGTCCGGATATTGCAGAAATCCTGACCCACGTGGAACCATTTGGAAACTGCTAACTCATAGTTACGGTACATGTATCTAATTAATCGATTTTTGATAATTATTTTGATGTCTTGCGGATTATAAGGTCATATGCGCGCGCATAATGCATGCATGACTGCAGTGAGCCCCACCCAATTTGTCAAAACAACTGCTTTGTTCAAACATGTCAGAACGTATCAGGAAAGTGTCAAGAGATGAAACCGCTGAAAACGAAGGACCTCCTTTGGATGTGCACGTCGCTGTTATGGCTGATGATTTAAAAAGCTTGCAAGAGCTCATCCAGTCTGGAGCACCACAGCTACATCACAAAACTCTTGAAACAGCTTTGCATGTAGCTGCAAGAGCTCCAGCACTGGAATGTTTAAAGTGGCTTTTGGAAAACTATATTAATTCTCCGAAAGATTGTGATTACAAGGGCAGTACTCCGTGCCACTATGCTGTGGTATATGGCAACCTTGAAGCTTTGAAGGCAAGTGAATACTGTAATATTTTGAGAATGTAAAAACAATATTCCCCTGCTTAGTTGGCTTTATAAACAATAACATACTTCTGTAACTATAGATTTTGCTCAATCATGACGTAAAGATTAGAAAAGAATTATCTGAAATGAAAGAGGAGAATGGTCTCACCATAATGGGTTTTGCAACATTACAAGGTATTCTTGTAACGTTTTATGAAACTAAAAATAATTGTAATTATTCTATACAGGTGATTTAAAAACTGTTGAATGGATTTCAAATAATTTTCCTGGCCTTGCTTATGTAAGAGATATAAGTGGAAATTTACCAATTCACCTTGCCGCTGCTGGAGGTATTGAATTATGTACAATACTTTAGTGTTACTAATTCTTGTAGGTGCGTTAGACATAGTTAAATTTTTGATTGATTGTTATGGTAAAGATTATGCCTCCGAATCTGGTTCTGAGAAAAAGTTCCAACCGTTGTATTATGCTGTTGATAAAGGTAGTAATCTATGCTTGCACTTGCAATCCTGCAAATACTTTCTACGTAATCATTATTGATATAAATAAAACTAGGTAAAACCGATGTTGTAAAATATCTCGTTGATGAGGTGAAAGTTGATCCACTTGCTAAAGCAAAAGGAGGAATGACCACTCTTCATGCTGCAGTTACAGCTCATCAAGTGTCTATTACTAAAGTAAAAAAACTCTTAATAATGATTGACTTACTATTGTTATGTGTTATTAGTGGCTTATTGAGAAACTCGGACCAAGTATGATTCTAGCTAAGTCTGATGATGGTGCTACTCTTCTTCACTTGGCAGCAGGTATGCATTGCTTATTACAACACAAAATTTAAGATACAATATTGTAGCTGAAGGCCTGCCAGATTTGCTTGAATTTCTGATAGAATCACTTCCAGACAAATCATCTGTTAATGTTGTTGATAACAGTGGTTCAACACCAGCTCATGATGCATCTGAGTTTGGTGAACGTGATACACTGCTTATTTTATTAAAGTATGGAGCAGATATTTCAATGACGAATCAGGTGAATATTAATTGCTTTCTTATTATTATACCATTATTTGCTTGTATTTGTCTTTACAGAGTGGAGAAACACCTTTTGACTTAGCTGTTCAAAACAACCACAATGACTTAATTGGGATCTTGGCTGATTTTCGAGAAAATAAGACAAAAGCACTCCAGTCCTACGTTCAAGACAAAAGTGATACTGTGAGTACTTGTCACTGTAATGTGTAAATTTAGTGTGCATTATAGGTTCGTACAAAAAGAGAAGAAGCTAATGAAATTACAGACCTAATTCAACAAACTGCTGATATTGTTGAAAAAAGAAAAGAAGAAGAAGTGTCACGAAAAATATCTTTGCAAAGATTAACTGATGAAGATGACTTGGATGACAGTGGTGATGAACTAGAACGGGAACTTATGAAAGACAGAGAAAGGTCAGACAAACAATTTGCTCAATATTGATAATGACAACTTAATTTTAGTGATCGAGTTAGTCGGTCAAAATTAAGAGTTAGTAAGGATGAGACTGATGATATTCCTCATGAGACAAGTGCAGAAGTAAGCCTTTTTTGTGCATGTTATAGTACTTCAGATTTTGATAGGGACATATATATGCAAAAGTCAAGAAGAAAAAATTGCCTCAGGAAATAAAGAAAAATTCAAGAGATGAGCACATGTCTGAAACTGGTTCTGTTGCCTCTTCTCATCGTGTTGGAAGAATAACAGCAAGGTAATGATATTCATGTTCAGCTTCCAATGTTGTAAATTCATTGGTAGTGAATAATGTTGTATATGTGTGTCTTTCCTTTGTTGACGTTGTTTACCAAATTCCATTGCAGTTCATTAGAATATCAAAAGAAGAAAGGTAACAAGTTTGTATCAGAAAATGATTCAACATCTTCTGTTGGCACAAGTGTTAGCCGCTCCAAAAAAGGTAAAGGGGAAGTATGACCTGTAATGCTTCATTTCTAATTGAACTAGTTGATCATTTCCATGACCCAAGACAGTATGGCTATTATCCCGGACATTTCCATCCTTTTGCTCATTTTCATCACAAAAGACCTCCCCGCAGTACTTCAGGATCAAGCATTGCCTCAACTGGTACAGGAGCACGGTATCCACCTCATCCACCAGCATCATTGCCTCCAGGTATACTAATAACTAATGATAATGCATGATACATGTATGTCTCTCTCCTTTTAGGCTATCCACAGTATCCTTATATGCCGGCAATGGTAGCTCAGTACTATGGATATCCATATCCACCTCAATATTATCCAGTAAGTAATGTGTGTCATTATGATAATTCAATTTCTTTTAGGTTCATCCAAAAGCAAAAGGTATTAATGACAGAATTCACATGGAAGCATTACAAAAAGCTAGTGCAGGTCAGTTTTTATTCCCTCCACAACCAGGACCTTATGCTGGATATCACCCACGAAATTATGTGAGTAAACTAAAATCAGGAAATGTTTATAAAAAATTATGCTATAGGGACATTTTGGGGGGCATAGAAAAAATCGGCCTACTTCTGGAAATTCAAGTGCAATTAGTGTTCCTATCAACAAAGGAAAGAGTCGTCATACAGGTTCTAACATATATGTAGTACATTTTTGTCATATACATGGATCTACCACAGATAGAGCTATTGGATTTGGCCCAGCAACACTAGAGGATGTAGGATTAGAGGATCAAGCAATAGATCATCCCGCTCCTCCTCCAATTACTAAAGGAGGAAAGGTTGATCACAATCCTTCTGAATTGGTTCATGCCAATTTTATCATGATGAAGGCTGATGAACAAGGAAAAATTCCTTCACAAGCATCAGAAGGAACAAAACTTCAACGTGCTAAGCATCCTGACAAATATGATGGAAGGTATTTTCATATCCATAACTATTATAATATACAAAACAATAATAAATCAGGTATGATGACTGCATTGAAACAGATTCAGAAGATGAAAAAGAGCTACCAGAATATATCAGTGTTGCAACTTTAGCAGAAAGTGCTTTAATATTGCTCATGCTACCAATACTTGGGTTGAAAGGGATTGAAAAGCATCGTCCTGAGGTAAAAACAAAATTATTTTTTTGAATTAAATTTCATGCACTGTTTATTATGATAGGAGCAGAAGTTGTCTCCAAAAGCTTATGATGCAATGGAAGCTCAAAAAACATCAAAGCAGTGGAGCAGTCAGCAAAATTCAGTATGATCCTTTAAACTATAGCAGTAATGGTGCAAATGCAATTTAACTACAGGCCGAGCAAGTGAAGAAACGCAAGAATCAAGATGTTAACGATTGGTCTGAAATGTTAGGTGTCTCATTAGCAGCACCTCAAACATCCATGTCTAAAGATATTAGTGGATCAATTCGTGCAAGAAATTTTGCTTTTGTAAGTGTAATGAATGACTTCTATTTACTTGTATATGTAATTGTGATCTCAACAGCAAGAGCTGAAGCCCTCACCACTTCATCAGTCCATGAATTCACTCCCAGTAAATGATGATGAGAATGATGATGATGATATTATATCTGTAGTCATTGGTGGTGAAACAGAAGAAGGTAAAATGTTTTTGTGGTTATTAAAATTAAATAATATGTATTACTAGAAAAGAAAATTAGATATTCTAGTAAGCATGAGAAATTGGTGAAGAGAGACGGAAAATCAAGAAGCCGTGAGGGTTCAACAAAAAAGACAAGATCTCACAAGGAAAAATCCAACAAACAAGAAAAAACTGAGAAACAAAAAAAGAGTAAGCAAATTTTTCATGGTATCAGCATCTATACAAATATACATATAGGAACAACAAGTGCAAAGGAATCTAGCAAAAGGAAATCGACTAAAAAGACAACTCAAAAGAAAGAGACTGTTGAAACCGGCACAGATCAAAAGAAGAGTAAAAAGAAGAAAATGACAGTGAAACCTTCTTCAGAAAAAGACACTGTAGTGCAGTTGAAGATAGTTGATCAAGAGAAGGCACCTCATGAATCTTCTGAGGTTGTAACATCTGTCACTATTGATACTGGAGGTCACAAGCAACCTGTTGAAGTCCCCAACATTGCTATCATTTCTGATTCAGACAATGATGAGCCAAAGGAAAGAAATCTTGCATCCCCATCTTCTCAAGGAAGCGTTGATGTAGACCATATATTTGGTAGGTATAATATTTGATACATGTATACTTAAGCATTTTATATTTAGCTGATACTGAGAAAGAGATTGAGCAAATGCTTGCTGGTATGCCTAGATCTTCCAGTATGGATGGTGAGCAGCAAGAACTAAGTATGATTATAGTTAAAACATAAAATGTTAAAATTCTATTCTAGGCTTTATGAATCATGAACAGGGAAATGGACAACTTGAAAAACTTGAAGTTATGTTCCCACAGAATTCAGCCCAACCAGGTAATTGTTTGTGGTACTATTCAGTTTAGATATTTTTGCAGGTCTGGGTACTGATGATTTCTTATCTGTAATTGAGGCTCTTAATATGAAGCCAGAAGACTTGACACCACAACAAGAGGCTAGAGTTACCCTGATACAGAATATTATACAAGGCAAAGATCCTCAATTAAAAGCACAACTGTTGTCATTGATGTCTCAAAGTGGATGGACACCTGTTGGTGATAAAATGGAAGATGTAAGTTTTCAGCACTTTTGTAAACATTAGGTTCATTATAAAATTAAGGTCTCCAGTACTCAATTACTTGCTGATATTGAGAATAAACTATTGGAGTCACAGGAAAACCAACGTAAGGAAGCCGAACGTTCAAAAGCTGAACTTTCAGAAACCATCCAAAGAGGTCTTGCAGAGCACATGAAGGTAATATTAATGTACTTTTGTATTAGTGTGATGATTCTGACTTATACATAGAGCTTACAGTTGCAGCTTGAGCAACAACAGAAGGAATTTCTAGAACAACGCAAGCTTTTTGAGCAAGAATGGAAGGTTGTATTTAGTAATTTTATCTGACACTTTGAACAGCACTGTTTCCATAGGCAACACTTTCGAAGCATAGGCTGAGTAGTGACAGTGATTCATCGGATGATATGGTACAAGCCACACCACATCCTGTTATAGCAAATGCGAGAGGGCGAGTAAGAAATAAGAACACTTTAAAAATGTGTTTTATTATATTGTACATTGTATATGTACTCATAGACAAATACCATGGAAGCAAAATTGCAGCACCAGTCTCCACTAAAATGGGAAGATTTTGACAAGAGAAACGATCGTATACCAGACCCTCCTCCTTTGCCTGGTGTGGCATATTTACTAGGTACATAGTAGTACTAGCAATGACTAATACATGTCAATGGTATTGATAGATGAAGTTGATGATCCTGCTGCCAAAAGGATAGTAAAGGGACAAAGAAGAAGCACTACATTTCAAGTGCAACAGACAAATAGAGCTCTTGAGAAGTTCGAATCTCTAGACTTGTTAGACATTGAAGATGATGATGACTATGATGACGACGAATCTGATGGTAATATTGGAAATAAATAATATTAATTTTTAAGTTATTGGACAACTTTCTAGAATTGACAATGGCAGAGGCCAAACTTGCAACAAGAAAAAGAGCAGATATTCTTAAAGTTCAAGAAAGCAGGCAAAAGAAGGTTCACAATTCATATTGCCATTTTTATTATAATATCATTATAGAGCCTTGAAGCTTTTGTTCAGAACACAAAATTAAATACAGCAAACACAATTACAGTATCGTAGGAACTACTTGACTTTTTGCAATACTTAATTATAATTCCTTTTTAAATAACAGTTTCTGTAAATCAGAGTTTTTTTATTACAATGCTCTTTGCAGAGATGAAATAAATAGATCTGCTCCACCAATAAGCCTACTGACACTGGAATGATTTCGAGGATGTGTTACCTAAATGACAACAATAATAATTACTCTGGGAATGCTAGTTTGCTAATCACTTGTACTTTTTTAAAAGTCTTGAAATTTCTAATGCACCTTACATGTGTATTGACTGAATTACTACTAGGAATAAGCTTTCTGACTAATCCAACAGTTTCAATTATAACTTCTGTAGGAAGTCTTTCTTCTTCAGGTATTTCTTCCCTCTAATATTATTATGGTTACTAATTATAATTTGCAATGGGTTTAATAAAACCTCACTTTTGGAACCTGTGTATGAGGTTGCCTAGCAGAAATAAAGCCATCACAAGATATGTTCATACTAGACTGCAACTAAGACAGAAACAGAATCATCAATGAGTCAGAGAAACTTACTTTTTGTAATGCTTCAGTATGCTTCATTTCTTGATCTGAGTGAGTGTCCCAATGATTACTTGATGGCATAGTGTCTTTAGAGGTAGCACATTCTACTTTACGTCTTTGAGTTAACAAACCAGCAAACATGCTCGAATCTGCACCAGACGATGGCTCTACATTTTTCTTGAATTGAGTTCTAGGTGAAGCCACAGCATCAGAGACTTCAAAATCCGGTAAGGAAATTTTTTGAGGGCTTGCATTTCGTGAGCTCAAAAATGTAGAAGTCAGAGGCACATTTGGAATAGAATGAGGTGTTGCTAAAAAGTTTTCAGATTCTGATTGACTCAACTTTGTCTTTTTTGAAAAGCTACATTCACCACTATCCAATCTAAATTGACATCCAATCTAAATGTAAATAATAATGTACACCTATCATGAAACTACCTTTGCCTTTTCTGACTAGAAATATTTTGAGTAAGTGTCAGTGAATCAGGAGCTAAAATAGTTTCATTTGATGACCGAGCAACTTTTCTTCCTGAAACTTGTATTGAATGTGACATTAAAGTTGCATTACTTGGAGTCTAAATACAAGCATAAGTGGACTATAATAAAGTTACAAGTAGTACATACATTATGTAGAGCTCACTTGGTCCCTTAATATAGTTTCATCAATTTCAAGCACAGTTCCTTCTCTTGTACTACCCTGAATTTCCCTCGTACTGGTCTGAGAATTAAGTGCTTCACTATTAAGTGCCAGAATAGTGTCATTGCCAACAGAAGGTTGAGTATAAGGAATCGAAAGAGAAGGAGGAAGCTGAGGTGGAATTTGGGAGCAACCTATAAAAAGATCAAATTTATCATACAAGCATGTACATATGTACATGTATATAGGCACTAACAAAAATATCAACTTATGTGCATGCCGCTTTGAACACACTAGCCAACAGCAAACAAATTACATGTACACGTTAAAAAGTGGAATTTTAATTCAGGTAAGTAAGGACGACATATGCGCACTAACAGACAGATATACTTTTCTCATCTAAGCCAGGCTTTCCCCAATAATTGTAGTACTTGTACATGTATGTGTATTATTGCCATTTGCTGATGACAGTCATGAGGAATGATTTACATGTACATGTATTACTTGACACACCTTCTAAAGATTTAGCATTACAGTAGTGAGATATTGAGCAGTGGAGTATACCATAACCTATTTCAGATTCAGAAATGAGCCTTAAATTAGATCTAAAATGATATGATTAATGAGTTCCATTGGTCAATAACATACAGTTTCAAGGTATTTTTCACTTTGGAAAAGAGAGGCCCACTGACTAAAGGATCAATGACCAAGGCATTATCATCTGCTAATAGTTTGATTCTTTCATCAGTAACATCAGTAATAAGATGTGGTTTGCCACCTGCAGCTTTAAGACAGTATTGCAACATCAAATACTTGTGCAAAGTAAAAAATAATTAAATAAATGGCATCATACTTGCTTTTTAATAAGAAAGTAAATGTTCTTTTCTGAAAAAAGTCTACGACGCATCAGCATAGGCTTCAATGACACATTAGCATGTTGCGATTGTAGTAAATTAGGATCAACAACCTCTGGCACATAACTATATGAAATACTTCACTAAAAACAAGGGAATGACACTAACTTATCTGAAGATGGCAACACCTTCTTCTGATCTAAACATTTGAGGGACTCTTCTAACCATGCTACAGACACAATTGGACAGCAGGAGGAGAGTGCATTAACAACCTAAATCATGTTATTAGCAAAGGAGAATAAAAATACACTTACTTTAGCTGTAATAGTGACAGCTGTCATTACAAGATGAGTACAAGAAGAAGACCAATTTGAAACTATTTTGCTTCCTAAATGTAACAACAAAACACAATAAAATCAAACTATATTTTTTATACATGTACATGCATGTACATGTAGTGGGTGTGGAAGATTGAAGTACATGACTGTACATGTACCTAGTTTTTCAACAATAGCTGAAACCTGTTCTTTCACATTACTTGTCATGTTAGAATAGCAAAACACTAATTCCTGCTTTTTCAACCTATACAATGTATATATCATGTACATGCATAAAAATAATAAAAAACAAGGGGTAAAAAAAGAATTAAACATGATTACAAATTTTGTAGATACAACATACATGTAGATTGTGTTGACAAAAATAAAAGTAATAGCAAAAAACATGCACAATTTTCTGATAAAATTTATCATAAAAAGGAGGTACTTGGTACATATAAATGGCTTTTTGATGAATGCTGCCCAAAAGTTATATTGTATAGTACAAACATTGTCTATAGGACCACGCACACATGTACATAATTATAATAGTATCCAAATTTATAAGCATGCAAGGAAAAAAGGAGAACTTACTTAAAAGAAGTAGTCCCTTGGCCAAACTTGATAATGTCGCCATTACTTAACACTTGCTCTGAAGATAGCTTGCAACCATTGACTTCTGTACCAAATTTGGACTTCTCATCCTTTAGGACAACATTATTATCCTATAAAGCAAAGGATAAAGCAAATACATGTAGTTACAGTCATGATGATATACATTTGCATAGTCCATGGGACAACAATAGTATTCACCTTAACAGTAATAAGGGCATGGAGTCTGCTGATAGACTGGTCTTCTAAAATTATTATATCAGTACCTAAAATGCACATACAATTTAAATAAAAACCCACGTATTTAGCATGTAACATATAAGTTTTTATATTTTTGATTTAGCAGAACCAAATAATACAATGTACTAAGAACAATGTACCAAATTCACACAACTTTAACTCTACTGTACTGTATTCTAATATTACAGTAAATCATACATAATTCCATTAAATTCTACAACTATTGCAAGCATTATTGCATGCTCAATGAATGTAGCTGCCTCCCACTGAGCACGAGACTACTACTTTATATTCTATCATTTCAAAATTCAATCATAACTACACTGCCTTGGCCATAATTAGGTAAAGTGAAATTGCAGTAAAATCATGACATATATATGCTTACTTTTTCTCCCGATAGTGTAACTTCCACCACTTGGTAAGTAGTACACAGTGTCTATTAACCATAAGAAAGCATCATTACTCATTACAATTTAGAAACTACACATTTTACCAGCTTTATTAGACAAACTCCACATAATAAAATCTTATTTTACTTCTTTAGTGATGTGCAAGGTGATTATTTTCCTATGTTGACTATGGTCCAAAGGTAAATAGGTAATGGGTTGATCAATGGTCAGTAGGTCTTTCTGACTTTCTGTCTTTTTAATGATTTTATTGGTCATTACGGTCAACTTCTAATTAACGCCCATCAACTACTGCGCATGCGCGTGAAATTTGTTCTCTGTTGTTGTGTGAGAGAAATTTATCATAGTTATGACGAATGATGGTTTCAATATGGCGTCGATTTGAGGAGTAACTGATTTGGATACTTGGCTTTACGTTTTACGTTTAGTATTATCAAGAAAATACTCACTCTGAGACAAAAATTATGGAGTCAGAAGAATTTATAAGACCCCCTGAGGCTCCCGTTTTTCAGCCAACACCAGAAGAATTTAAGGACCCTGTATCTTACATAAGTAAAATTAGACCAGTTGTGCTAAATACAGGTATATGCAAGATCAAACCACCTTTGGTAAGTATTTCCTTACTTTTTACAGTATATTTGATAATACAGACACATGTATGGTATCCGAAAAGTTATGCTTTGTTTGTATACATAAATAGTTTGATAGTATTACATGTATATGTACATTGTGTACAATGTGTAGTAAGTAATGAAAAATTGAAAATACATTTTACATTCTGTATTAACTTTTCATAACCTTAATGTGCATTGAAAATAATGGCAGTGGCCAGAGATGCATTGTAGGTTGCCTAAGAGAAATAAAAGTTTAAAAGTTTGTTCTTAATTGGTAACATACATGTATATTAAACATGTACATATTGTTCTATGTTATTACAACTGATAGTGTAAGTTTTATTGACATTTTTGATTTCAATTGTTCTTTTGTTTAGGGATGGAAGCCTCCTTTTGCTCTTAATGTTGACGCATTTAAGTTTACTCCTCGTTTGCAGCCCCTTAATGAATTAGAGGTTAGCATTAGTGAATACATGGACATGTATATGCATGGATATCATTTTCCTACAGGCAAATACAAGGGTCAAGTTGAACTTTCTTGACAACCTTGCAAAGTTTTGGGACATGCAGGTAATTTACGCATGCATGTACACGTACAAGTAGGTTAATATACATGTACATGTACATGGACATGTACATGTAGGTTATTACATGTATGAATTATTATAGATTATTGAATTTATAATTGTATACATGCAGGGAGTGTCTTTTAAAGTTCCTGTTGTTAACAGATCCCCTTTGGACCTTCACCAATTATTTAAAGTAAGGTTTTATGTTTTCATAGTTTTAAAATTATATTGGTTTTAAGATTGTGACTAACAATGGAGGTTTTGAAGAGGTTTGTTCTGCTAGAAAGTGGGTCTCCATTGCAAGAGAGGTACTGACTGTTTGTCTGCTCAGTTGCTTAAGTGCATGTAATTATTTTTCATTGAAATTTAGATGAAATATGACAACATAGCTGTATCCGGGTCTCTTAGAATCAATTATGAAAAATATTTGTATCCGTTTGAAATATGTCAAGTGAATAATGGAGTTTTAAAGGTATGCATGCACATGTACATGTACATGTAGCATTTGTATTTGTGCATTTGAAATTTGAAATCGATGTACGTTTACTACTGATTTTAGTTGAATATGTCTAAGAAGTCATGCAGTCCTACCAATACATCAGGGGGATTAGCAAGAGGCAGCAATGCTGAAGAAAATCATTTTAGTCATGACATTGAAACTGATATCAAACCAGATGATAATCATCGAAGATCAAAGAGAAAGCTTTCTGAGGTACATGTACATGTGCATGTACTACTTGTATTGTTTGGTAATGCATAAATATGCACATACATGTGTATATATGAGTTGTTTGAAAGCCATGGAGGACTCTCTGTATAGATGTACATACATGTACATGTACATGTGTACATGTATACTGTTCCATTTAAATGTACTTACATGCAGGTACTACATATACATGTATGCACTTGTTTATTTTTACATTATTGTGTGACTGCCATTATTATATGCATATAAAATTCTCTAGGATCCTGACTATAATTTTGATATTTCAGAAAGCAACCCAGAGTTTAAGAAACTTGCATTCTCTGCTCCTGGACCAAAAAATGTCTATGTCCCTATGAAGCGAACTAGTCGCCGTTGTTTCTCAAGATACAGAATGTCTCTAGGTTTGTACATTTGATTCATTATGATCCATACATGAGTACACTTGTAAATGTATAGTACATGTAGTACATAAATATACAGTATGTGTATGTTTGATACTTCTGCTTGTGTGTTACATTGTAATCTTTTGTTTGGCACTCACTGCATTTACATGTACAACTGTACATGTGCACGCCCCTCTTACCATCATCCCTGTCACTCCTTCGCTCTCATGAGCAAGCACTTTCAGATGGTTGAGTTTATTAAACTACGTGTACACAAATGCTGTATACTATATTATGTTCTATACTATATTTATTGGGCAATTTTTAACTCAGACACACATACATGTATAATATGTATACTGCATATGCATTTTTATTTATAGTTTATTAATGTACATGTACATGTACTGTACATCTACAGTACTGCTCATGATGTTTGTGCACCTTTGTATTTGCACTAATAATATTCATGATGTATTTATGGTTTCATGTTATGATCTGATGCTGAAGTCCTCAGATTATTTTTAGATTGAATTGACTCATTTATGATACAGTGTATGTTCATAGAAGATACAATGTACTTTATGCTCATGCATGTTCCTTACCCAAGTGGGCATAGCAATGGTGCATGTAAATGAAATTGCAGCTTTAAACATATTCATGTCCATGTACATGTCTATGTACTTGTGCCTGTAGGGTACTTGAATGTTGGGTAGCGCAGAGATTCTTTCTGAAGAAGTTCCTATAAGTTTGACAGTTAGCTCTTAAGTCTTAGTGAGAATGGAGCTCTTAAGTCTTAGTGAGAATGGTGAATCCTTTCAAGAAGAAAGCCTTGTTTCCTGGCTCTATTAACACAATTTTTACTATATACAGATAGTGCTTGAAAACATCGTTTGCTGATGTAAGTCTTGTAGTAGCTGATAATTTTATTGTCTCTAACTACATGTACATGTACATAAAGACTGTAACATGTACATGTTCATACATGTAGCAAGATTTCTCATAGTGCCATTGCAGAAATACATGTAATTATGACTTGTATGGTAATTTATTTATGGACACATCCGTGTACATATTAATCACTTGCAACTTTCTGATGTATTGTTATGATTATTTTTTTGTCATTATATTTCTCTTGGGGCTTTGCTTTTTTTTATAGACAGTATACATTTACATTGTTATTGGAATTTAAATATTGGAATTGTTGTTGTTAACATTTTGTAGATGTACATGTACATGTACATTATTTTTCTATGCATTAATGGATACAATATTAGCTAATAGTGCAAAGATTGAAATTTATTTTTGTATGATTCTTTAATTTGACTTTTAGGAGATGCTGAACCAATTGAAGCTGAATCTGAAAGCAAACCATCAACTGAGAAAGCAGAACCTGTTAATGATTCAAAGATTTCCTGTCGTGAATGTGGATATGATTATTGCGAAGATGAATTATTATGTTGCTGTGGATGTTATGCATATTATCATGTCTTCTGTCTGTCTCCTCCTTTGGCCTCACTTCCAACAGGATCTTGGTATTGCCCTCATTGCATTGCTAAGGTTAATATGTACATGTACTGTACATTGTACCTTGCATTTAAATGTACAGCGTACATGTGCAGTACAGTACTTTATACATGTATGTGATGAATGGTGATGTACATGTACTTGCGATGATTGATAGTGTACATTTTTAGATTAATTATACTGAAATGGACATTGTTTGTACATGTACATGTACATTATATTGGTAGTTGCTCTACTTCACACACTTTTGTTTACTCTTTTAAATCATTTAAGCTATCATACATGTACATGTACACATGTTTAATTGCACGAACTTGAATTGCATCCATACTACATTACGTATACATGCATGTACATGTACATGTACATGTACAGTATGTAGATTCTACATGATGTTCAGTACATGTATGAACTGCATGTGTAACTTATTAAAGCACTGCTTGCCTTTTTGTGATGCTTTTGCTTGTACTTTGTACAACATGCATCCTGTCTAGGAACTAGTGCATGTAAATTTGTAAATGGGCTTTTATTTGTAGTTACCAATCATGACATATTCGCATATTTGTTTATCACATGTAAATCACTTTAGGTGATCTTGTTGGTTTTTTTGTTATTTCATGTCTCCTACAATTCTTTCATTAAGCAATCCTTGTATTGCAGACATGATCCATTATTCATTGATGAAATAATTTTTTGTTTTAGTAGAATACTTGATTTGTGGAACATCAGTTACATTGTATGTACATGTACAGACATGTACATGTACATTTCGCTTACCATACCGGGGGTATATATCCTGGGGAAAATATTTCATGAAAATCACCTTTCAACCTATTCACAAGGAAATTTTTTTGTGTTTTTCTTCTATTGACCATTATTAGTATGATAAAAAATAATTTGTATAGATTAAAATTTTCATGAATTTTTTGAATCTGGGAAATTAGCGAAATTAAATCCCCGTGAAATCTACCCCCTGTATGGTATTTTGTATTATGTTGTCAATACAGTAAGTGTGTGCAGTCAATGTACAGCACATGTACATGTTGTTGTTTTTGAGAATTGTTATGTGATGTCTACATGTACATGTACATGTACATATGTAACATAATTAGCTGTGACAAATGTAATATATATATTTATTATATTTGGGATTTAAAGTGATTGCATGCTTACATTTTGACCTTAAAAAATTAAGGCCTGGTATTGAAAGGGAAAAGATAAAAAATGAGGATTGAAGCTACATGTACATATACATGTGCAGTACGTGTTGCAGTGCAGTCCTTGATTAAAGCTACATGTACATGTACATTTATCCACCTTGTTGCTACCTAAATAAATACATGTAGTTGTAGATGTACATGCATGTACATTTGTGTTTACTGAAATAATATAAAGTAATGAGTATTATTAGAGTGTGCTTAATAATTAATGTGACTTTAATTTATAGGAATGTTGCCAAGTGCCTGATCCTTTTGGTTTTGAACAAGCTAAAAAAGTTTATTCTCTTCAAACTTTTGGCAAAATGGCAAACCAGTTTAAAGCTGACTACTTTAATCAGCAACCAACTGTAAGTATAATTGTACAAGTACTGTATTACTATTGGCATGCAAGCTTGTTATACTGTACTTGGCTTAGACATGTTGAAATGTTCATGCAGTAATGGCATACAGTGTTGTGTACACTATGCAAGTACATGTTCATGTACTTTATGGATTGTTATTAACAATCAGTATTCATCGAGCTCTCAAAATAGCGTCAAAAAGGAATTTTTGCCTTGAATAGCAGTAGCAAATTTGTCATTTGCATTCATGTAGTTACAATAATATCATGATGATAATGGAGCAGTAATGGATGTACTGTAAAGTGAAGTTTATTGGAAAAGGAGTAGTTCATGTACATGTACATGTACAGTATATGAAGAATTTTTTAGTTGTTTTGCAGTACTTAGTAGATTAATTTGAAAATACACATGCAGATTAATTTTTGATAAAATGATGTTGAAATAAATGAAAACACTTTTTAGCAATTTTAACTGTCAGATGATGAAATCTGTACAATAGAGATATTACATGTATTGACATGTAGTGTATTGGTTTTTATCATTCATTTGTGTAGGATGTACCATATGCCACTGTTGAAAAGGAGTTTTGGAGACTAGTTGGTTCTGTTGATGATGAGGTAAACATGCTGTTTGCATGTATAGTAACATGTACATGTAGTTGATGTCTGTTTGTCAGGCATATTTCACTCCCAATGAAAAAAACATGCATGTTTTCTCATAATTTATTAGGAACCATGCATTTTACCTGCACATTTTAATTTTTTTTGATGTATGTTATATAGTTGATTACAGTTGAGTTTGACTGGTAAAACATGCTTATAACTTTTTGTTTTTAATGCCAGCAATTTGTACCTGAAACTTGGTATAGTTGCATCATGGGTTCTTCTGTATCCCTGGAGTAATTTTGGAGTCTCTGGGTATTCTGGATGATTCTCAATAGGCTTCCCAGTCTCCATCAAAAGAAACTGCCATGATGTTGCATGACCTACATGTGAATGCTTGTGAATATCATTTGCATCTCATTACATTCTTCAAAATCAGGTTTTATTTGTATGAAAGCAAAATGAACACTCCAGACTAAAAGATATAAAACTGCCGTCATTTTCACAGCTCAGAAAATACCTTGTAATCTTTCATTTCTTGATTCCTTTTTCAAATAATAAGAAGTATCATTTTGGTAAGATGTACAGGAAGTACATGTAGCACCCGAAACAATAAAGTTAAGGAGTTAAAGTATTTTAGTTTTAGTCATTTTTTGTGAGTGGGCAGGTTGACACAATGTTTTCATGACAAAAACTCCTTGTCAATCTGAAGTGAAAACAGCTATAGTAATTATGTATAAAAAATGGAAACATGTGTAAAAGCCTGCATTTCATGAAATATATGAGACAATTTAATGTATAAAGCTGACTGTTTCATGAATCAAGACAAATGTGTAAAACATGTCAGAAAACTAGTCATGTTGGAATAAAAGATAGGCATGTGCCATAGCAAATGATCACAGTAAATATAACTATATTGCAATAAATTTTTTTTGAAGTTGATTTTGGCATGACATAAAACATGCTTACTCATGTTTGGGACTAAATAAGATGACTAAATAAGATAACTGTGAACTGTAGAATATGTCATGTACATGTAGCATCATGTAGAATTTTGTGAAATACGTACATGTACATGTACTTGTATGTTGAATTATGGAAAAACATAGCAAAACCCCTGTGATTTTTCATAGGGCTTGTATGCATGTACATGTGTAGTTGTGTACGTATGATTTGTACACGATACACGAAATTATATTTGCATAATGTACAAGATAAAATTATGTTTGAAGTTTTGTAACTTTTATTTTAGTAAGCCATACAAGATATATTTTTGTTGATTTTATTTTCATTAATTATTGTCAATTATTGTTATTTACCCATTCATGCCCACTTGGTTATAAATTGTTTGTGTGTAAAATTTTTAAGGCAGATTTATGATGCAATGAATATACATGTACATGTTATGACTGGAAGTGCTTGTAAATTCATGTGTAATGTACATTTAGGAGCAAGAAATTTTCAAACTCTCATACACACGCATTTCTTGAGAAAATTGCTTATTTTGTGATTACTTTTATTTGTTATTTTAACTTTATAGGTTACTGTTGAGTATGGAGCTGATCTTCATTCTAGTAAGCATGGCAGTGGATTCCCACTGCGTGACCCATGTAGTGGTTTATTAACTGTATCTGGCACTGAAGAATATGTTAATTCTGGATGGAACCTGAACAATTTACCTGTTCTAAAAGTATGTCTGCTTGTTTGACATGTAATGATTCATGATGTGTACATGTAATAGGGATCTGTTCTTGGATTTATTGATGCTGACATTTCTGGAATGAAAGTCCCTTGGTTATATGTTGGGATGTGTTTCTCTTGTTTCTGTTGGCACACAGAAGACCACTGGAGCTACTCAATCAACTACCTGCATTGGTAACTTATATAATGCAGCACAGACTATGTATTCTCCTCTAATTATAGTTGTACATCATGTATTGTACAGTTAAATGTGGGAATGATGACTTTGTTTTATTGGTGCTGATAATCAAATGTTGATATTTACCTCTGACAAACTGATCCCACTAGCATATAATGATTTGCATGATGAACATCCATACATTACCTTAATGAGTAATAGAACACTGTTACATTTTTTTGTATATTTGTACTTTTGTAGGGGTGAAGCAAAAACATGGTATGGTGTTCCTTCAGCTTATGCTGATGCATTAGAAGCAACAATGAAAGAGCAGGCTCCTGAGTTATTTGAGAACCAACCTGATTTAATGCATCATTTAGCTACGACACTGAATCCATCTCTTTTAATTAAGAATGGAATACCGGTCAGCACATCCCATGTACATGTACATTGCATGCATGATGCATGTTCTATGTATTGCATGCTAATGTTCACTTGTATGATATCTTTGATTTGTTTTGTCTACATGTTTTTACATTTAGTAGCAGCTACTGTACATGTACATGTACATAGTGTATATGTGATTTTGTATTATTGAGCATTAACTTCAAGCATTAAAATTTGAGAATTTTTTGACTTTTTTGTTTATACATATACACATGTAGGTTGTTCGAACTGATCAATGTGCTGGTGAGTTTGTTGTCACGTTCCCTAGGGCGTATCATGCTGGTTTTAATCAAGGATTTAATTTTGCTGAAGCAGTGAATTTCTCACTAGCTGACTGGGTAAATACATAAGCATGTATTTTGCACTAAATATTGTAAAAATATTAATGTACATACATTTAGTTGCCTGTTGGACGTGAAAGCATTGAGCATTATCGATTAACTCAAAAGTCCCCTGTTTTCTCTCATGATGAACTCATTTGTAAAATTGTGGCTCAACCCAATGACCTGGACCTCTCTGTTTTGGTAATGGCTTCTAAAGATGCTGAGACAATGTTTTCAATTGAAGAGCAATTGAGACACTCTGTCAAATGCAGTGTGAGTTTTAAACTATTACATTTGTATAATTATTGGGCTAATTTAAGTTCTGTCTATTTGTACATTTTTCATCAGAATGGTGAGGGATAAAGCCATTAATTTTTCAATGTACGCACATATTTACAATGTGTATAGGTTATACACCGAGGTCGAGTTCTATGGGATTTATTTACCGAGGGACGCATTCCCGAGGTAAATAAACCCATAGCAACCGAGACCGAGGTGTATAAGAGACTTCTACCATGCCAAATCTGTAGCTAAGAAACTGCCCATGATTAGCAAGGCTTTATAAAAGCACAAGGACTCTTTACTTCTTTGTATCTTCTTAAAAGAAACGGGAAAATCTCTTCTCCACTTGCGCCATGTGTGTACAGTAAAACATGCCCAGAACATGCCTTTCCAATTCCACTCCACCCATTAAGAAGTTGGTCACATGGCCAAATGCTTTTGAGGCTCTATTTCTTTCTTTTCAATGTTCTTTGCTGCTTTCTATGCTAAAAATGATTACTCCAGATGCCATAGCTATGCTTCAAAGTAAATAATTATAAACCTGTTTGCTCCCGGGCTGTCCGTGAGGTAAATAACTAAGAAAACCTGTTTGACCACTTGGTTATTTACCTCTGCGAGGTAAATAAGTGATTGTAATTACCTCGTATAACGCAACCTGATTGGTCAATTGCAAGTAGGCATGGTAGAAACAGAAAGTACATGTCATTTCTTCTTATCAGCTTGTACATGTACCAATGAATCTACAGTTGTACATACATTTGTTTATGGCGTATGTGCTTTAGGGTATACAAGTGGAAAAGAAGGAAATATTTGAATTGTTACCAGATGATGACAGGCAGTGTTCTGTATGTAAGACGTGTTGTTTCTTATCTGGAGTAAGGTGCTCATGCTCTCCCAGTAAGATAATGATTATATTTAATCAGTTCATGATGTGTATTCTCATCACTCATAGAGCTAATGGCTTGTCTTGAGCATCATAAAGACTTGTGTAACTGCCACAGCAGTGAAAAGTCTTTAAGGTACAGTGCATGTAGTAATGTTTCATTATACATATGTGATACATACATGTATTCCATCATTTGATGACACTCTGTGTACATGACTACATGTGCATGATTTTGCAATTTTGCTAATTGTCTTGTTGCAATTGGCATCGGCAAGTCTACACAATCTTGTCTTTCATTTTGTTTGTTACATGTATATACATGTATGTGTATGATTAAAGTCGCATTGTGAAAATTGATACTCGTTAATTTTTTTTTGCATTTTGCGATAAAATTTCATTCATTTGTAGATGTACATGCACATTGAGTCTACAGTACATGGATATGTACATTTGTAAATTGTATGTTCATGTTGTCAACCTTGTCATTATTAAATTATTTGTATGTGTGTAATCAGGTTTCCCTAAGCAATGAACATATGGGATCACTAATTTACATATACAAATTTTTTGCTTAGGATTCGATACAATCTTACTGAGCTACGTCAGTTAATGTCGACTGCTCAAGAGAGAGCTAATATGTTCTGCTTGTGGGCAAAAAGAGTTGACAGTTTGTTAGATGGTCTTGAACAACCTAAGCCTGATCTTCAGTACATGCAAGCGTTGCTTCTTGATGGGAAGAATAAGGAGTTCAGTAATTGTGAGCAGTATAATGAGCTGGTAGCTGCTATTGGTGAAACGGAAAGAATTTTAAGTACCATATATGACATTATGCAGCCTAAGAGTAGGTATGAGTGAAAATACTTTTTGCTTGCCATTATTGTAATTATGTTTTAGAGATATGTTTGTTTCTGTTCATGATCTGAAGCAAGTCTTACAGGATGTATTGGCATTGCCTTGTGTTCTGCCTGAAGTTGATAAACTACAGGTATATTGGGGACAAATATCATTTTTATCTCAGGGTTTTTCTGCAGTTTCATCTTCACACTATTAATGCTTATCAAGAGGAAGTTTTATCGACTCTCTCTGCAATGAATGACAATTGTTCAACAAATGAGGAAGACATACTTGTGTTGCGGAAATTGCTTGAGCGAGGTGAACAACTGTCTCTTGATATACCACAACTTGGAGAAATCAGAAATGTAATATTGCTCATTTAGCTAGTGTACTCTACATACTTGTGTATGTATACTAGGCCATAGATCGAGTTGCTTGGATTAAAGATATAAATGTACTGTTAAATAGTGGGAAGAAAAATCATATCGATACTTTAAGAAGCATGTACAAGAAAGGACAAAGTCTTCATTCCTGTAAAGGTATGCATGAAAGTTATGTTTTGATGTTTGGCGTTTTTATTAAATTTATATTAATTATTTTCTTTCTGTTACAGCTGTAAGTTCTTCTTTGGAAAAGCTAAAAAATTTGTTAGGAGCTGTTCAAGAATGGGAGCACAAAGTTAAAAGTTCCTTAAAAGAAAAGTAATTTTGTTATTGGTAAAAACACATTCAATTAATTTTTAGGCCACCCCACCCTATTTCCTATTTTGAGGCACAATTAAAAGGCATGAATCAGCTACCTGTGACAGTCCCTTTGGCAGAAACACTTTGTTTGGCTATAGACGAAGCCAAAAAATGGAATGATGAGGCTCAAGAAGTCCAGGTACAGACATAAATTTTTATATTATATACATAAATTTCTTGTGTAGGCTGCTGACAAGCACCCTCATTATAGCACGCTAAAAGAACTTTTGTCTTCTGCTCATCCAATATCAATGAGATTAGATCAACTTCCTCAAGTAGAGTCACGTTACTCAGCTGCTAAAGCTTGGGTAGATCGTGCATCACGTACTTTTCTCAAGAAAAATTCCAGCTCATCTTTAATTGACGTAAGTGCTGAATGCTAATACTTTGTGTAATGATGTGCATGTTGCACATGTAGGTATTGCTACCAAGAGCTGAGTCTGTTGCTGCATCTCAACAAGGAAAGGCACCAAAGAAGAAAGGAGATAGCGAATACATAGTTCATACCTCAGCTCTTAGCCTAGCAAAAGGTGATCGATTAAAAGAAATGGATTTGATTCATGCCATGGAAAAGGAAGAAATTGAATACATCAAAAAGAAAAGAAAATTTAATATCGATAAGCAGCAACAAGAGGAAGATTCGTCCTCTCCTGTTTTGTATTGCTTGTGTAACAAACCGGAGAGTGGTTACATGCTACAATGTGAAGTGTGCAATGAATGGTATCATGCCAACTGTCTTCATATTCCGAAAAGCAAACTCAATCAAGACAGTGACATTAGCAAAGAAATGAGATTTATTTGTGGATCGTGCCTGAGAAGTAGACGCCCACGTCTTGATGCTATTGTGTCTCTATTAATATCACTTCAGAAAGTCCCTGTAGCCATTTCTGAAGGGACTGCTCTTCATTGTTTGGCTGAGCGAGCCATTAGTTGGCAAAAACAAGCTCGAGAAGTGTTATCAACAACACGAGGAGTTATCGAAGAAGCTAGAAGTCAACAATTGCGATTACTGGATATACGAAAGAAGGTATCTAAATGGAAGCAAGAAGCTAGTGAAGAGTCAGCTGAAGTACTTGCTTATCAAACAGGTACAATGTGCATGACCTAAAGTACACATAAATGTATTGTTGTCTCTAGCTCACATGCCAAGTATTTATACATTATACATGTACATGTATATGTAGAAATTGACACTACCAGTGAATATTTATTTTATAGTGTTAATTCTTTGTTGTACGTGTAGTTTACTAATATCTTTAGTTCAGAGCCTCTACAAGACTCTTGCTTTTAGTACATGTAATTGATTGCACCTTCATTTTACATGTAGGTTCTGTACTAAAACATTATGAGTCACAGCTGTCTAAAGAAAAGGCAAATTATGCTGGATTAACTGAGGCTCAGAGAAAAAATGTGGAAGACATGTTGCTAGTAGGGGATTTATTGGAAGTTACTACTGATGAAACCACTCAGTTGTGGCAGGTGATTGTCATATACAGTACTTGTATGTATATTTGAGTGTCATTGCAGATACTGCAAACTGATTCGGAGTGTATATCATATTATACGATGACGGAAGAGGAAGCAATGAAGAATTGTACAACCAAAGTAACTTCACCTCCTTCAAGAAAAGTAATAAAATATTAATTTATACAATTTATAATTTATTGATTATACATGTACACTGTAGCTTCAAATGATGCTGGAAGATGCAGAAGATACAAATGTTTCGTTATCAGCATCAGCTACATCAAAGAAGAGAAAGAAAGGTGCAGTTGAAGATGTTGTAGCTGAACAGAGTCAAAACAAGAAGAAAAAGAGTGTAAAACAAACTGAGCGAAAGAAATTATCACCATCTAAAAGTTTAAGGCAACGTCAGAGCCCTGCAGTGGAGAGCCTTGCTTGTATTGAGGGACAAGGAATTTTATCAGACGATGAGCATGAAGTGCAAGGAAGTGATTCCAATGAAGATGCAATATGTTCTGCACCTCAGTGTATTAGACCTATGGCTAGTCAAATTAGTTGGGTACAATGTGATCTATGTCAGCTATGGTTTCATTTACTCTGTGTTGGACTGACGCCTGAAAGTGTTGAAAAAATTGACATTTATAATTGCTGTGTATGTAAACAAAAGTGTATATCTGAACAGAAAGCACTCTTTGAAAGTGCTTCTCAGAAAAAAACTACTGCTATGCTAAATCAGAGAACATCTATTAAATTATAGTTTGCTGTTGTTTGTCTTTGTCATTCTACCTATGAATAATTGTTACTTTGTTTGTATCTCTGTTTTACTCTCTCTTGTATTAATAAGCTATTAGTTAGTTTAGCCCATCTATCTAAAATAACTCTTTGATGTTTCTATGAAAATATAATATTATTGCTCAAACTAAAAGGTAAATACCTTGATATCTTTCTCAATGGAAATCTGTTGGTGTTGTTGCAAGGCTTCCAGCAAAATTTCTTGATATTCTGATGCAACAACAATGCCATCAAAACTACATGTATGACAACAATAAATTTTGCTCAAAATTCTTAAAAAACCAACTAACATTGGGTAGCAGGATCCTTTTGTAAACTCCCATCCTTTCATAGCCGGAGCATAATCAATATTAAGCTTTTGAGCTACTTTACTTATACCAGGCTCAGTTATATGAACTGCTCCCTCAGGCAACATCGATGGTGTGAATAATTCTACATTGCCATATTCATTTCGAGGTACTTGACCCTGTTGTGAAGTGTAATATATACAGTATGTGAGATCTCTTACATCAACTACTGGTGGTGGCACATACTGCTCTGTTTGCCAATGACCAAATAAGTGACTAGTTCTCTGCTCCTTTGTACAAAGAATGACACATTATAAATATGAATATATAACCTTTTCACTGTGTTTAGATTTAACAGTTTTTATAGGTTCCTCTCCTGGCTATAAAATAGAAGGCACATCAATAAAAATAAATACTTGTACATTATACCTTGATTATCAGACCTTGTTTAAGCCAAGCTTCACGAGTATGCAGCTAACAAGAGGTAAATTATCATTGGAATTACGTAAGTCTAATGTTAATGCCAGTGGCCTATAATAGCACTTCTGGCTGTAATTCAAAATAAAGAAACTAGCCTTAATTATTATGAATGCTAAAAGAGAGAGATGCAGAAGTTTAAAAAAAGTTCAAACACTTCTACAGTAGCTTGTAACAACTATCAAGAGTCCATTTTATAAATACTATAATGGACTCTTGATTCTACATTTTTGTAATAGCAATACTTACAGGTTGGACACAACTTCTTGAATATACAGGTTCTCCTTTAAAGTGTCCCAATATATAATCCTTATTATCAGGGTAAATAGCTGCAATAGTAATTGTAACAAACTTCACACATCATTAAATTCTTTATTTGGCAACTTGCAGTCAAATTACATTTGAGCATGCACAAATGAAACAATAGGCTGATTATTTCAAATATTAATTTGCCAAAATATTCAGCGATGGTACTAATGTAACACAAACCTTCATACTTGAGAAGGTGTTTCTTCAGGACATACCTGATCAGGAATTAAAACTATCACTCATGCATAATACATGTAAGTAATAACTTACAAGGGATGATTCTTATAATGAGAGAGTAAGGTAGGCAATGGTGCAGACAGTAATTGATCTATTTTTCATATTATTTACAAAGCACAAAGCAATGGGCTTACCTTTTATATCACTTGATTCCTGCTGTGCCTCAACAGCAGGCTGAGAAAACGGAGAAAGGGTTTCACACCACCAAGATGTATCAACCCTCAATTTATGAATTTTTGTGCACCATTGTGAAGCATAGCGTGGTGTAACATCAGACATAAGAGAGGCTAAAAATAGATAATTTTTCATAAAAATAAAAAGTACTTACAATTTTCAACAGCTAACACATAAAAAAACTCATTTTGTAAATGCTTCTCACAAAGTGCAGGTTCACCAACTGACATAGATGGAATGTGAATAGGTCTCCATTTCCCATTGGACAGTAAAACTTCAACCCAGCTATTGTATTGATCTAAAGAATGATAAAATTGCCTGGTATATTTTATAGTGCTGGGCGATAGTATCGATATATGCGATGGTCGCGATAGTAATCTACTATCACTATCGTGATAGTTGAATCAACACTATCACGATTGACACGTGGTACATGTACGCATGCGCATTATCAAACACGTGGTTACTTTAATGAGTTAGTTCAGCTGTAAAAATGGAAGATGTTATCATTAGTAGCAGTACTGCTCCAAAAAGAAACAGAAATATTGCCTTTACCTGGTGCTACTAGTGTTGTATGGAAGTACTTTAGTTTTCCTGCTGTTGATGGTAAAATTTCTGAGTGCTTGAATAATCTCCAAAAGGCTCATGCAGAAATTTCAAGATATTAGAGCCTATTAGCTTAGATATATATGATATACAATCCTTTGGCATGGTGGAACACAAATTTCTTTTGTTATCCAATAATAGCTAGGAAATATTTATGTATACCGGTGGCATCAGTTCCCTCTGAATGTGTATTTATAGTACTGCAGGGAATATAGGTACTAAAAAAAGAGCTTGTCTACATCCAGAAAATGTCCTTCTAGCTGAAAACCTCAAATATTCATCTACCTTTCATCCTTTTGCCTATTTTGTTACATTAAATAAATATATTAAAATTAATTGTTAATATCGTGATAGTATCACTATCGTTAAAATTTTAAGAACTATCAATCGTGATATGATAGTAGCACTATCGCCCAGCACTAATATTTTATAACAACTTTTACCGTAAAAATTCCTTGAATTTAAGACACTGCTACCAAAATGATCTTCAAATTTTTGTCTCTTAGGGCTACTTTCATCTGCAGTTGAAGAACTTAAAGACGTCTCAAAGTATGGTGATGTTGATAGTTTCCGCTTTCTTTTTAACTTTTCGTTACTTTTTTGTGCACAATTATATTGGTATTCTTCAACAATACTGCTAAAATCTGACTTTTGAGATAAAGATTTATCTTTTGATGACCCACTCTGTTTATTTGCTTTTATTGAAGAAATCTGCAGCACAAATTAAAAGCATAAAAATTGCTATCACCTTACTGGAAAGACAAGAACCAGACGTGCCCTAATCCCAAGAGACTTATACAATGTAACAAGCAACTGCACAGTAGATAATTCCTTAAATAATGATAACAAATAAAAATTAAATATGGACTGTACACGTACTTTCAGACATGGTACATCCTCTATTGATGAAATATTTGCAATGAACCTGAAAAATATTTTTGAATACAAAATTCGAAACAATAATTATGGAAATGACATATTATGGGGCTTTGTCAGTCATAATAATGTAAGTCTCAACTTTTAACCTAAAAAAGTTTTAGCCAATGTATAATTCAGACTGGATTAGGCTGCCAGGCTAAAATATGGACTAGTTACATAGACTTCCTACTTCCACTACAGAGTAGTATGTCTGTTGCCTATGGAAGAGCTCAGCTAGATTTTGATACAGTGCTACAGCATTTCATTTGTTGCTGGACAGAGGTCAGGTTCATGCTAACTATAATCAGCCATAGCTACCATAGACACCAGTTGACATTAGTTACATTCATTCTCATGCCTTAAAATATTTCTCAATAAAATAAAAATTTGCATTACCACTCTGGAGATACTGATTATTAATAATGCATTATTAGCTATAGTAGGTTCCAAAGCCAAAACAGAAAAAGTGTTCTGCAATTATAATAATTAGGATTGTCCTACTGCAAGTGCAAGTAATAAATATAACAATATAATTCGCAGAATAAATTCCTCAAATTAGTGGCATGACGTGGAAAATTCGAATTGGGAATAAAAATTGCAAAATTTAATACACAAATTGTATATCCGCTAAATTTATACCTTTCAAAAAAGGCACCCTATGGTAAATAATACAGTACAAAATGGTGATTCATGAAAATGATTTTTGAATAAATTGTAACCAGTTTAATGTCTGAAAAGTTTCCCGCTATACAATATATAAATTATAAAAGTAGACAGAATTAATGTGGGAAGCAAAATATTAATGCTGAGATACACATGTACATGTACATGCATTACAACAATGGCTCTATCTATGATGCTTTCGAGTTTTGAACCTAAAAGTAACACCCTCATATCAGGGATGCATTTAGGGGGAAGGCTGAGGGGCAATGAAGTACATGTACATGTACAAATTCAAAGACGTTAGAAAAAGTTAGAGTACAACAAAATCAGCAGAGAGGTAAAACAAGACAAATAACATTAATAAATTAAGTTACATGTATAAGGCTAGAAAATTAACATACCATCGTAAAGCGTGATTTAAATTCTTTTCCCAGCAAAGTTCAGCTGAATTAATCATACAGATACTTTGAGGAGTTAGAGAAAGAATAAGACATTGAGTCAAAAGTTCATTGCACTGATCAATCATACGTCTTCCATGAGCAATTAAACAAAGCAGGTGTACCTGAAAATTACATACAAAATAAAGCTCTACATACAGTACTGAGAAACATGTAATATTATTATTAAAATACAAATCATTCTAAACATCACCAGCTAGCACACACAAGGTCTAACATGAAGCTACATGATATAGCTATCACTAGTAATATCCGTATTACAAAACAGATTGGCCAAAAATCAAGTTGAAAGTGTACAATGAACCAAAATGCATTCTAAAAATTTAGTAAAAATGATGGTCCAAATTACTTTGTGAAGGTTAACTTGAATCTCACGGTAAAAAGCTCTCAAGGCCTTATCTTGAGAACACTCCTTTTTTCTAAAAAATTGAATTCTCCTTAACAGAACAGCTATAACAATAGAAACTAAGTGTGTATTAATAACGTTCATGACGAAACCAAATTAAGCCACATAGGAGGTATAACAAAGTTTATGTATACAGTAAGCAAGGGAGCAATAAGCTAATAACTTAGTTTCTTATGCTACCTCAAATTAACATAACTAAAAAAAGTCTCAGCTAGGAACTCACTCTAGATGGTGTCGATCCCAATTACTAAGCGGTAATACCATTGCAATTAAATTTAGAGTATCCCCTTTTCGTGAGCAGGTGGACAGCGTAATTAAGTATTATTATTGACATTACAGACGTATTGCAGAAAAATGATAAATAAAAAATGATAAATAAAGAATGATTGCATCAATAGCAAATAACAACCACATAAGGTAGGAAACAATGCAGTGATACGAGTGAATATGCAGTATAGGCCATGCTCATTGACGTAGCAAATTGGTAGCACTAGCGAGCTGTCACTGACTGTCGGATGAATCATAAATGATCTGAATACATGCATAAAATGACAAGACTCTTTGCTATGGAATCTTGTCCCATAACTACATGAACGTACTGCCATCTTAAAGTATAAAATATTCTTATGCAGATGCACAAATTTAAAAGAGATAATACACACTAATTACCATGTGACTACTATGTTACCTAGTCAACGTTAATGGTACAGTTGTGCCACTTCTATTTTGGAGCTCATGCTCATCTATAATATAAAGTTAATCACGAGATACTACAATGCAACATCTTACCTGATTCAGGAATTATCACTTCTTCCCATTCAATGGATTCCGAATCAGATTCAGATGAAGACATTACTACGACCTACGATTATTCATGGACTGTACTTATCTGACTACTTATTGTGTAATTTTTGCATGGTACACACCCATAACGCCCACCCAGCAAGATATTCTCTATTTAAAGCCCAATAATAATTATTAAGACTAAACACAAAAATGGATAATCATCACTTGCAGTTGCTGTACAATCAATGAATACGCAATAGAGATGCACACAAAAACAAGTTAAACATGCACACAATCAATAAAAACTATAAAAGTCGACAGAGTGAACCTCCCTTCTTCTTTTTCTTTTGAAGTGCTGCTCGAGTAGCAGTTGTGAAAACCTCTCTAACACCTTCACGTGTTTTAGCTGAGCATTCCAAGTAGAAATACGCTCCTACAGTATCAGCCATATTTCTTCCAGCATCAGGCTTTATGGTAGTACCATTAAAAGCTGGGTCAGATCTTAAATCTTTCTTGGTAGCAATGAGAAGAAAAGGGACATTTGGACAAAAATGTTCTACTTCAGGCAGCCATTTAGACTGAATGTTTTCTAAGGAGTCACTGTTATCCACAGAGAAACACATCAAAATCACGTCAGTGTCTGGATAAGAGAGTGGACGCAATCTATCATAATCTTCCTGACCTACAAGTATAAGCAGATGTAATGCATAACATAACAGTGTCATTAAACAATTGTACATGTAGTTACCATGAATTTATAGCAATATAAAAACAATTATGAAAAATGTCATGTAAAAAGTAAACATTACATGTAAGTGATAAAATAATATCTATCTAGAAGTACAAGTGATAATCATTATTTCCAGCACCAGGAGTAGAAAAATGAGTTATTAACAAATCAAACTTGACTTTAAGTAGTGTACATGATGATTAAAAGCATGAGGACATAATAAGAGTATATAATGCATAAAATCAATTGTTACGTTCAATAATTATGTTAATTACAAAATTAACTGCAGCACTGCATTTACATGTAGAAAACACCAATACGCCACAAAATTAAAGTCTACATCAAAGAACTATTAAATGCACGAATCAATAAAATGGCTGCACATAGCCCAACTCTGCCCTCTGTACAGACTATTAAATCACATAGTGGTTTTATGCCACGATTGAATAAATTGTTTTGTACACTCACCTGCTGTGTCCCACAATGCTAGCTCCACTAATTTACCATCGACTTCAATATCAGACACATAATTTTCAAACACAGTAGGAATATATTTGTCAGGGAACTCGTCCTTCGTGAAGGCAAAGAGTAGGCAAGTCTTACCACACGCCCCATCACCAACTATGACAAGCTTTCGTCTGATAGCACCTGCCATTACTTTGTCGTCAGTCTATCACAATTCTTAAAAGGATGATTCTACTAATTCAGCGACAACTTTCCTTCCACACAGCGCTGACAGCGGCAAAAGCCAAGGTAGACTTTTAAATAAAAGTATCTCCTCCCTAAAAAGAGAATGTTACTATATTTAGATAAGGGTGTCATTCTAAAAATAGCTGTGTCTGACCAGTCTATTTAAAACCAAATCTGAGTTAGTATACGGACATAAACGAGTTAACGACATTGTTCTTCTTCGGGGGCTGTGTGTCTTCTGAGTCTTTCTGTGGGAGAAATCAAGAGAAGAGAAGGACTAAGCCGCTTTTACCTCTTTATTTTCTTGTAAGTTTTCCCGTTAAGACCTTTTATTTAGGCTAATTGCTTAAAAATTAATTTTTGAAATTGATTTTGTTGAATCTTTCCGTGAAAGTGTTCATCTCTTAGTATGATTGATAGTAGATCCTGTTTCTTAGCCTGTCGGTAGTTTGTGTTTCTTCATGGAGTGTTATTGCCGTCTTGTTCATATGAGACATTAAATTGTTCAAATTCCTGCCTTGACCTCAAATATGTATGATTTGAGAGTTTTAATTTCATGAGAGGCACTTTTTAATTAAAAAGTGTTTGATGTTTGTGTTTTTTATTGTGAGTTTTAACAGCCTGTTGGTATGGTAATATGATGATTTGTTGTTGTTATGCAATAAAAGTGGAAAAAATGTTTCCTTGTTCACGTGGCATTTTTGTATTCACACGTTTGTACATTATGTTGTGATGTATTGTGTCTGTGTTTGTTCTTTGGTGTAGTAGCTTTAAGCTTTGTTGACATGCTTAGTTTCAATTGATGAATCAGGTAATGTTAAATGCTTCACCCTGGGGGAGGTATTTACTTAGACATAAACATTGTTTTCCATGCAGAGAAATCACTAAATGAATAGCTTTTTTACATGGAAAGTCCATTGAAGCTGGAAGGTTGAGGTGAAGCTAGGCCATTTGCCAATTACAAAAGATTTATCTACTACATGCATGTACACAATTTACATGTACTTGTATACTGTAGTGGTTTGCTACACACTTTTAAATGTATAAGTTAATTTTATAGAAATAGTACATTATTTTTACTTTTGAGTAATACCATGTATTATTGGCACCACTAGCAAGACATTGGAGGTGCATTTTAATCTTGATAAAGTTGCTTGTTGCCAAAGACGTAGTACATGTATATGCTCTGTGGAGAAGCATTTTACTCATTGAGATGTCAATATTTATTATTTGTATTTTCAATATTCTTATTTCCTTTGTCTGTTTTACTATGTTGTGCATACAGATTTTCAATTAGGAATAACAATTAATAATTAGTCTGTTACTGTCTTTCTTGAGAAATTATAAATCAATCAATTTTGTGAAGTACTGAATTGACGCATTAAAAACTCTGTTATTGAATACTGAGTTATTTATGAATAATTAAGAGTCGGAAGGTAGACACTTGCCTTAAGTTTCATTGTTTGAATTGTTTCAATGATTTTAGTGAGTGTATTGCTTTTCCATATAGAGCAACTGTCAATTATACTAGAGGATGGCCAGTACACGAAAGAAACTTGTAATCGTTGGTGATGGAGCATGTGGTAAAACATGCTTACTCATTGTCTTTTCAAAAGATCAGTTCCCTGAAGTATATGTTCCTACTGTTTTTGAAAATTATGTTGCTGATATTGAAGTAGATGGAAAATGTGTGGAACTTGCTTTGTGGGATACTGCTGGTAATATTTCACATATTCATACATAAATGTATTTATTACATATACATATAGGTCAGGAGGACTATGACAGGCTACGTCCTCTGTCATATCCAGACACTGATGTTATCCTTATGTGTTTTTCGATTGATAGTCCAGATTCTTTGGAAAATATCCCTGAGAAATGGACTCCTGAAGTGAGACACTTCTGTCCAACAGTTCCCATCGTTTTGGTTGGAAATAAGAAAGATCTACGCTATGATGAAGGCACACGCCGGGAACTCTCAAAATCAAAGCAGGAACCGGTAAAAACGGAAGAAGGCCGTGCCATGGCTGATAAGATTGGGGCCTACAATTATTTGGAGTGCTCAGCCAAACTGAATGAGGGGGTTCGAGAAGTTTTTGAAACAGCAACCCGAGCTGCTTTGGCAACAAAAAAGAAGAAGAAAGGGAAATGCAATCTTCTTTAAATGATTTCATTTGTTTGTGAACTTAAGTACTTATTTAACAATACACACCGTATTTTCATTAATTATTCATTCTTGTATGTTAGACGTAATTATTTGTACACTTAAAATTAGGTAGTTTAGCCGTGCATACATGTGTATAATAATTTAATATCTGTTTTGGTGTGTATTAGTTATTTCTTTGACAGTTATGTTAATTTTAAATTGAAAAGTAGCCTCTTAACATGACAAATTCTACTGTAATTATTTCTCTTTTCTATGTTTGTTATGTCTATACTCTAATCCAGTACATGTTGCCACGAATACGGTTGTAATCTGGAAGTTGCTCTATTGGTCCTGAAAATGAATATGAAATTATGAAAAGTTTTAGCAATGTGTACATACCTATTCCAACTACCACAGGACACTTGTCAGATATATATCTTGTGCAGACTTCTTTAACAGTTTTAGCATTGATTTGCTATTGTCAAAGTACAAGAAGTACAAATACGTGTAATCCGGGACATATACAATGTAAACTCACTTCAATGCGATAGTCAAGTTCAGGTAGTGGTATTCGGCGTCCATATGTTAACATTTGTCGTCCTATGTCTTCACAAATAGGTGTAGATCCTACATGTGATAATCAAAAGCAATGCAAAACGATGCAAAAATCTAACCATCCATATACATGAAAAGATTGGTCTTAAATGTATTTTTTGCCCTCTCCACTTCAAAGTCACTAATGGAGTTACACAGCCTCATCCTGTAACAGTTAAATATCTATTAACAAATCTCTTGATGTTATTTTACCATTCATTCTGAAGATTAAAAAAAAGATCATCAATAGTCATTCTATCTGTAACCATATATATACCCCTTAGATAAAAAAGGTAAAGCCATATACTAATGTAAGTTTCTTTACCATAATCCAGTGTCAGTGTAACAGGTGTTAAATGACATGAAACTATGAGCCAGTCCTTCAGAAGCACAGATCTATGTATGTAACAAATTCAATTAAAATTACTATTGTTAGTATAAGCTTTGACATTATTAATTTACATGTGCAATATGTACCAATTAATTCAATGATCCCGCACAATTAATATACTTTAGGTGCTTGTGCTAAATTACATGTAAATTATAGCATTTAGATTAATTCACTGCTGAAGCCTAAATATACATGCGTTATAGAAGTCAAAGCTTATTATTGTAATTTTAAAGACTATACACAAGTACCAATGCTATGTCATGTGTTTAAATGAGCATGGTTGCTGCTTCTGACTTCTGGTATTCTTAATAATACTCATTCTTTGATGTGCATGTTTTAATCCTGATGCATCATCTTTTAGGGGCAAGCAAGAGTGAAGCCCCTTTAAAAATAGTCCCCATTGAGCAATACGTATTCCGTATGCCTTCTAATTATACAATGGGCTGGAAATGCTTCCTCTAATGACAATGAACAAGATGGCAGCATGTATTTTAAACGGGAACAAACTTTCAAGTTTTCTAACAGCTAGATAGAGAGAGGAGCTACCTAAAGCATCTCTAAAGGCTACACCAATCACTCTGGATACTATAAAATATACATAAACTTATAAGATTCATTATGGTAAACTACAGTTGGTGACAGTGCCAAGTTTTTTGTTTTAAGACTCCTCAGTCCTCTCATTGACAGAATGAAGATTATGAGAAGTACATGCATTCTGGCCCGAGACTGTGTGAGAAGAACTTGATTAGTATACATGTAGATTAGAAGTTTAGCTTTGGCTGTCAGTTACATATCAAAGTGGTAGCACTGTTTCTTGTCCTTTTCCTGTTTGATGATTGGTAATTGGTTTCATAGCTGGTGATATTTGCTCTGTTCAGACCCAGACAAGAGGGCGGAGTCTGAATATGCAAAGAAGCATACATGTAGATGTAAGTAATGGTCTCATGAACAAAAAGTGAACAATGTTTTTTCTCTCTCATTAGACTAAGAGCAATTAGAATCTACATTAAATTTAATTTTTATCAGCAGTAAAGATTAAAGCAGCAGTAAAGATTTGCCATAAAAACATGAGTTGGAGAAGAGAAGATATTATAATGAAAGGATCTGCAATGTTGACCATGGCTCCGTCATACCCTTAGTATAGACTACTAGTAGCAGTGACTAATACTTTTACAAAAGACTTGCCTCACTACTCTCTAAAAAACTCCAGAAGTCCTACTTTGACAATCTCTCTAGGGTTAGATGCCATTTATCCTTTTCTCTTTTGAAATCTGTGACTGTTTGCCTAAGAAGTGCTCGTAAAAAGCCTCGTATATTTCTCATATAGGCTCATACCACTGTCCAATCCACTCAATTAACTATGTTGACCTTGCTGCTGCAAAAAGGCATGTTTCTTAACATTTCCCCTCCTTTCCCTACTTATTTATGCCTTATAAACAATAATTAGTTCGTTTTGTTTTACATGTATTGTGCATATACTGTACATGTCATAAAAAATGTACATTCGCAATACACAAATAAAAACTATGCAATAGAAGGTCGACAAGCATAGTTGCATACTGCATACAATAAATGGACATATAGTCATGTGATGCATGTAGTACATCATGTCATGTATGTATAGTATATGTACATTGTACATTGGATGTACTTAGAATACAATAAAAGGTTGACATGCCTATACAGTATACTGCAATATCCTATACATGTACATGTATATATACTGCCTGTACTGCATCCATGAATCTAATAGAAGGTTGACATTGCACAAGTTACTTTTTATAGACAATAGTTAAGGCTGATTCATAGAGTGATAAAGCACCATTAATTTTGTTTAACTGGATTTGCCTAGTAAAGTCAGAGTAGGGAAATCTGCAGCATTGTCTCCACTTTTAACATTTACATGCAGGCACTTAACACTAGTTGTAACAATTACAATTTATGTACATGTACTTTTAATTTTCTGAGGATGAAGTGGCCTGTACAACTATACAATGTAGATTTGGGGTCTAATTTAAGTGCTTGTATGTAAATCTTAAGTACTATAAAATTTATAATACTCTAGATAATAAAGTACAAAAGCTACAATAAGTCTTCAAGATAAAAAACAGCATTATTTTCTTTGTAAAAGCTATGCACATTGCAATGTGCTATACTCATAACAGTGCATGTACATGTATTTACTGTACGCACCTTGTACACATACATGCATATAGACACTGACCTGAGCTAATTTACTTGCCATGTTAGTTCCTCCACTTAAAGATCTATCCCAATTGCCGATAATCTAATACATGTAGCTAACACTCAAAAATCTCTAAAATATAATGAACTCACAGTGCTAGCTATCATAAGTGGAAAATAATCAGGATTAGCCCAACCACAACCTTCAACAGCCAGAACAATATGAGCAGCTGGCATGGCATCATCACGAAATCTCATCTGTAATCAGATAGTACATTGTATATAGAGATTGATAGCCCATGAACATGTACAAGTACTACATTGTACATGTCAGGAGGTTTCATTTTGGAAATTTTAAAAGACGATGCACATTTATTACACACAGATGCACATACATGTACATGTACATGTAAATGCATCAAGGCATGATGATATTTAAACATTGAAGCTGCTTCAAAAATGTACCTCACTTCCTGTATATCTGCAAGGTGAAACTTCAGGAAGTGTTGAAGGACTACCAGGCACTGCACTAAATGACTTCTCAGCAAGTTTCACTAGCTCATCATGATTAACATCACCAGCAGCAGCCAGAACCATACGGGATGCTGAGTAATGTGTTGATATGTAATTTAGAAGATCATTTCGGTTAATTTTCCTGGAATCCACAAAACAAAGGATTATATTGATGGTAAAAATTAAACTAACTTGATGTTTGCAGTTGGACCCAATATAGTATAACCAAGGGGTGTACCTTGATAGGCAATTGAGTGAACATGATCAAATATAACTTCCTCCACTTGCTGATCTACTTCCTAAAAACAGCAACAACAGCATACATGTAATATGCAGATACTACGTAGCTAATTGTAATACATGTACCATTTACTGTACAATGAAATTGTGCTTTTAATTAAGAATTGCAGAACAGTTGAGATACTGTATAGTGGGTATATTTCCCGGGGAAAATGTTTAACCAAAATCACCTTTCAACTTATTCACAGGAAAAATTTTTTGCGTTTTTCTTCTACTGACCATTATTAGTATGATAAAAAATAATTTTCATAGATAAAAATTGTCATGAATTTTTTAAAACCGTGAAATTAGCGAAATTAAATCGCAGCAAAATATACTCCCTATACGGTAGTTCATGCATACATGTACATGTACCATTATACATGCACATTCCTCAAAACAAAAATACAAGTGTACGGAGAACATGCCCATGCCAAAATTAATGTAACACGTGTACCTACATGTACATGTAGTTAGTAAATTGTACTAGTGGCTTCACTGTGGACAACAAGCTTTAGGCATGCACTTAGTTTAAAACACATTCTGTTAAGCCTAGTACACAATATCAGCCTTGCGACAGGAAGTGCTGTACAAACCAATGGCACACGCATCAATAACGCAAGAGTTGAACTTTGGTCAACTCATGCGTTAACTCGCAGCATTTGTACAGCACTTCTGGTGCTCTTCCTGTCACAATGCATGATACTGTGTACTAGGCCAGTATGCCTTAGGCTCTACATAAATGTACAATGTACATGCTTCACGCAGAGTGGGACGAAATCTCCGACGCAGCAAAAGACATGGTTAGAGCAAGTCTCTCTCGATCCTATACAAGCATAAATGATACATACTAGCAGCTTTTGTTCTAAATGCTATCAAGTTTTGCCAGCCTAGACGAGAACAAGAGAGTTCATTATAGTACTTTAATGGCAAAAGAAACACTTAAGAGCTAGACTAAAAAGTACACGTAGCATCAGCCAAAAATCATCCAGGGTTTGAAATTTTTGCTAACACACACACACACAGTGACACAATGATTGTAGTACCATAGACTGTATACCTATGGTGTGGGTGAAGGAAACAGTATAAAATGGAAGTGTGAAGATGCATGTACACATGTTTACCAGAATAAAGTACAGTGTATACATGTACTGCATGTACTGTACATAAGAATCATGAAAAGAAATTTAAAATGTATAAATATAAGCCATACTTGCATTTCTCTAAGAATGACATCTCTTTCTCTTTCAATTTCTCTTTCTCCAAGGACTGGATTCAATATGATATCAGACAAAATATCAACAGCTACCATTAAATACAGTAACATGAAACAACAAAGACAATAATAGAAAAAAATTACCGGTTGGCAAATCTTTGCTAAGTGACTTGGCGTAGTATACAGTCTGTTCTCGTGATGTATATGCATTCAAATGAGCACCAATATTTTCAACTTCAAGTTCAAGATGAGTTTGAGACCTATTCTTAGTTCCTTTAAATGCCATGTGTTCAAGAAAATGAGCAACTCCATTAGTCTCAGGTGTTTCGAATCGACTACCTACAATGTACATGCACATTAAACGTTTTCTTCAAACAGCATTAATTTAAAAATAGTACTATAATAGCTACATGGGTGTAAAGCCCTTGGAATGAGAATTGGTTTGTGATACTATACACATGTAGAAGAAAATAAAGTCAAAATAGGTCTTCATCTGCAATGTTTTCAATAAAGTAATGCAGAGATAAAATGGCTGAGAGGCAAAGTAGAGCTATTTTGCCAAGAAATGTTTTGTTGTACTAAACTTAATCAATGAGAAGCTTCATTTCACTATAGCAAACATATTTGAAGAATTGAAATGTCTAGGAGGACAAAAATGATTTTTTTTCAACTGTCTGTCACAGCCAGCATGCTCATACAACAATCTATTGAACTATTATTCTAGGTGGGTTGCCTTGACAACATCCCTGACTACAGAATAGCAATTAGGTATTATGCATAGTGGACTGAGCTAAAAATAATCATTGCAAAATTATTCATAATTATTACATAAGAAGTTACTTCATACTGCAAGGGGACAATATTGCAATATACTCAACTATACAACAACAACCTAACATTTTCATTTGTGCTAACACACCCAAGAATAAAACAAATGAAAGATATATATATATATATATACATGCACATTCAAAATGACTGACCAGCATCAATCCATAATCCCACAGTACATGTGCTTCCACCAGAATTCTCGGATGCAACCCTTAGCCCATTAGGCAATCTTGTAACATTTGTCTTAGGAACATTATATAAAGACTACACAAGGATAAAATGAATACAGTGTGATAGATAACATGAGTACAATCACATACAACCAAAACACTCTTATTCGTACATATACGGGGTCATATTTACCTGTTGATACGATAGTTGAGCAGCAGCGGAGGAAGCATACCTGTAGTTCTACAGAAAAAGTAAATAAGAACAAAAATAGCATTTACTTTGGACGGTAACTGAAGAATAGAGTGGAAGGTACGCAATGTCCTGGCCGCCATTTTTCTAGGCAAAAGTCACGTGACTCATTGACAATGAATTAATTATTGATAAACCACACACTGTATCACGTGAGAGGGATCTTCAGTATAGTATAGATCAAGTCCATAACCATAAGTCTTGTCATGTTTTTGACCAGATCTGAGTATGACAGGTAAAGTTTCATTTACATTGGGTACAATATTGTTGTACACTAGAGGAGTAAATACATTCTCACCTGAAGGTAGAATATTTCAAGTTGAGTATGCAATTGAAGCAATTAAGGTATGACCACTATAGTTCATGTGCAGGGTTGATGTGGGTGGTTAGCAATTGTGGCTTTAATTATTGGGTCTCAATTGCAAAGCTGATGTGCATGCATGTGTGCATGGAAGTAGATATGGCGTTTCATTGGAGTAGCCTAAATACTAGTCAAATTTAGAAATAATTGCAATGTTACCAGCTACATGTACTTGTAGATGATTATTTTAGTTATCAAATGAAAATGAGACAAGTTTTAGGGTAACTCTAAACTCTTTAGAGTCCAGTAGAATTTTTAGTTTTCCCCACTGAACACTGAACAGTGACTGGATGGCTTAAAATTGATGTGCATAGTTACTGTAGTGTATGGGTACTTAAGCAACGGATAAGTAATTGTGGCGGAGAATATATGACAGTTTTGATCAAGCCTGTTTTTTGTGTTCAAGTCAATTAGCAGCAGTAACTGGCTGAAAACAACTCTGGACTTTGATCTTTTCTGGTACTTGGAATCATACTCGATACCATCAATACTCAAGGGCAAAGTACTCTGAAAGGAACTGAATCAGATTTTTTGGTATCATCCAGCACTACTTGACATTTTTTATATAAGTGGTAGCCTATACATGTATATAGGATTAAGGCTTGTTTTTCAAGATAGCAGCCGTTTTTATAATTTTTTTACTTAATACATAAAATCAATTTACAATGTACATGTAGTGCTTCTTTGTTCATGTCTTTTGCCATGTTTTCTAATTTTCTATCAATTGTCATTCATATTTTGAGATAATTTTAATTTAAGATAATATTTCCTTACTCTTATTATCTTGAAGCAATTCATAGCAACCTTTTGTGGTAATCATGATGATTAGTCTTGGTCTACCCGAAACCCTTTTTGCTTTGTCGATAGTGTCTCTTGATATGGTTGCTAATTTTAATGGCCTATTAATTGTCATTTGTTTTGCATCTGTAAGACTTTAACCCTAACACCCGCATGTTGAAATTTAATCAATGGGCTATGCTGTGCTCTAATTGCAATTTTTAAGCCTATCGAGAAGCCAAAACTTTGTCAGTTTGTTTATTACCCCATTTTCACAACAGCCATGGAAGGTCCAAGTGAAAAGAAATTTACTGACAGCCATGAATATCAAATATGGATTGCATAATTAGCAAAATGATCATAACAATTTTATTATTGGACGTTCAACTTTTGTTTCAGGCTCTGCCTATTTGTTCTAGTTACTATTATTTTCTGATGAGGGCCAGTTAGTCTCTGATTTTATGTCACACAAAGTCACTTGTACATGTAGTTGCAGATGTGTGTTAATAAATACATTATTTTACACGTACAATGTAGCTTGGATCTACAGCAGTTGGAATTAGAACGTCTGAAGGTGTGGTGATGGCTGTCGAAAAGCGTATTACTTCACCACTAATGGAACCATCAAGTGTAGAAAAAATTTTAGAGATTGACAGTCATATTGGTAGATATGTTAGAAGTTTTTGCATTAATATTTTATTGTAGATTGTTAGGGTGTGCAATGAGTGGATTGATTGCTGACTCAAGGACTATGGTTGATAAAGCACGTGTCGAAGCTCAGGTTTGTTTTTCTTAGATGATTCTGGTCATAATTTCCCATATTATTTTCTTAGAATTATTGGTTTATTTATAACGAGCCCATTGCTATTCAAGGTGTGACACAAGCTGTCAGTAATTTAGCATTACAATTTGGAGAGGATGATGATGAGAAAGAAATGGTAAGTAATAAGTATAAGATTGTTGCATGGTCAATACAACTGTACAACTTCAAACCACATAGTACTTTGTGCTTGTAAAGTGAAACTTGCACATTGAATGAGAATGGGCATGGAAGCGCATCATTGTGTTTTTCAGGTCAAATGATCAAGATAGCATAGAGTTTTAACTCACATGAGAGAATTAAAGTAGCGACTCTCAAAAGTTAATCTGCAAAGAAGTACATGTAATACAAGACTTAAGACTTGGTGCTGCCAATGATAAGCATGGCAATGTTGGAAATCCTTCAGTTAGTATATGTATAAAAGGAGTGACCGTTGAGGTACAGCTTGAAGATCCAGAATCCATTGTACCACGTGGCTTATATTCATCTGTAATTTTTTGCGTAGGTACAGCCCTTGCATGCACACACTTCTGTGTCCATTCTCTTTTCTCACAAATTTGAAAATGAGTTTTGTGGATTTGTAATGTGGCAGTTTCACTTAATTTTGTTAAACTTTTGCTGCGTGGTTGCATTCTAATTATCAGCAATAGCCAGGATAGAGTACGTATTACAATTAATATACACTGTATTATTGTAGAGCCGTCCATTTGGAACAGCTTTGTTGATTGGTGGCGTTGATGAAAATGGTCCACAATTGTAAGATATTTAATAAGTGTATGCATGTTTAGTTTGAAATATTTGTCAAAAACAAGGTATCATTTAGATCCATCTGGCACTTACACTCAATATGATGCAAAGGCTATTGGTAAGTTTGAATGAACCATCAACATGTCTGCTTGTGATAATTATAGTTTGACCAAAAATTGTAGCATTCCATTGCATATTTTCGAAGAGTACAATTTGCTATCAGTATCTGAACTTTGTATACAATAAATACACTTAAATTTCACATTAAAATCAATTTTATTGCGTAGCTAAAATAATTATGCTTAATATTAATCAAATGCAGCTTCTACCTTTTACAATTGCCTAGTATTGTTTTGAAGTGTGGTGAAAATGAGACATAAAGTTCAAGTATCATGCATGTGTTTGGTAGAAGGAAAAATTATAAGCAATAATGCGGCATGTACATTGCATTTAAGTGATGCCTGTAATTTTGTCTAATTAGGTTCAGGCTATGAAGGTGCACAGGCTGCTCTTCAAGAAGTCTATAATAAGGTATTCTGTCTTTGCCCTGTACATGTATATCTATGTAAATTTGATATTAGAGTATGACATTGCTGGAAGCAGAAGAAAAGCTATTGCAGATACTTCGTCAGGTTATGGAAGAAAAGTTAACTTCAACTAATGTTGAGGTAAGTGCAAGTGTTGTAATACTGTCATTGCGTGCACTATTTACAATGTATATGTAGATGACAGCTGTTAGAGTAGGTGGAAAGTTTCAGAGATATTCTAAAGAAGAACTTGAAGTCATTTTAGCTCGCATAAAAACATAGCTTTATGTATAATGACTGTCTTATTATAGATACTGTTATCATGATCTAGTTATTAAAAAGTCTTTTGTCTGCAGAATGGACATTGACCATTACAAAGGACATGTAACTCATAATCTTCAGAATAAAACATCTAAAATACATTAAAGGGAGGAATCATTAATGTAATGTTACATTGTACCTGGTTGCATGATGAGCAAAGTCTAATTGGGACATTGGGTACTTGAGAACAGTAGTACTGGTACTTCAGGGGAAAGGGCCACTTTTTAACAATGACAGCAGTCCGGTGCATGCTTGCCAATGTGCCCCTGTCGACAGTTACTGTAGGATAGTCCCCATTGTCATCAATCATCATTAGCCTTTGGACAAATAAATCATTTTTAGCATCATTTAACTTGAGAATATCTATGTGTATAATAAAACCTGAACTACTACACTGTTAATAATTATACTTTCACTGTCTTCAGTGGGTGGCTCTGCAGCAATGAGTTCCAATGCTTCTTCATCACTATCACAAATGCAGCAAAATAAATTCAATGCATCAAACACTATACCTGATACCATCTTCCAGGAAAAACTCAACTAAAGGCAATACTTCTGTAAGAGAAATGTTTATTTAGTAATAGACAATGTTACTCACCAAAAGAAGCAAAGGAGTATAAAAATGGCTGACTGCAAGTCACACAAAAGTCACCATCAGGATTAATTGGAGGATTTGATGTAGAACAGCGATAGCAGAATCTTAAAGCATCCTTAACATTGTAAATTTTGCATGTAAATATACATACATGTACAAGTAAAATGATCTGCTAATACCTCAGTGTCTTGCAATGATTTACCCTTTAATATCATTTGTGCTGTATCAATAAAATCTTGAAAATCAGATGGAACAAGAAAATTCTGGAGTAACAAAATACACAACTATATGTAATTCTGATAACTGACTTGTAGTTTGTCATAAGCATAACGAGCTGTTTTGTTTGCTCCAATTGTTGTGCCATGTTTCCCCAATGTTAAATATGTATAGCTAAAATTTTTAATTTAAGAAAAGGAAATCTATATGCATGTGCATGACTGCATGCATGACATACACTTTAGAAACTTTAGGAGGAGTGTTGTTTGTTAAGTGATTTGCAAGAAAGCATGCCATATGAAACATCGTCTCTGGCAATTGGCCAGTAAATGGTAAATTCTAAAAATAAAAAGAGTAAACATAAAATATTTTATTAACTAACAATGAATGAATGAATATGTTGGTAAACATAATAAATTTCTGAATTTTTGATGTGCCAGTGAAACATGTATATAGATTCTTTCATGGCTTCGCTACCTATTAGAGGCAACACAAATGTACACCTGTAAATCATAAAAACCACATGTAACTGAGAAACCTTCAGAAAGCTGTTTAGCTTCTTTCAAATAAGCTTTTGCTTGTAGCCAATGATAGTAACTAGCATCTTTAAATCTGCGCTATAACTAATAAATTTACAAGTTTGTAATATTTAATAGAAATACCGTTTCATTGATAATGCACTTGAAGTTAACTGAGCAAGTAGTGATACTGCTTCATTTTGCTTCTCAGCTTTACTAAGAGCTACAGTGTTATGACAATTGTAATAATGATAAATATAGGACAAAACCTTCTTGGGCCTCTTCAAATCTATCATTTTCCATTAGATATGTCGTGTACGGCAAATATAATAAATCCTAATGAAAATACCGAAAACCACTAATATAGCTACAATGAATATGAGAAACAAACCTTAATCTCTGGTTTTCCCTCTACCAAATCAAAACCCTGATTTAATGATAATAAAAACATATGTAGCACATGTAAGTGTTCAATACTTTTTCCCATTGGTGTGTTTCAGCATACAGAGCCACAAGGGAAAAATAATCCTCCAATTTTTCATAAATATCAGCTGCAAAATTATACTAGAAAATTGCAGTGGTCAAATAATGAACAAATGGTAAACATACATGTACCTCCCCTAATCTTTTCAAATGATAAGCACATAAGCTCAGTGGCTCTTTATGAGTCTTGGAGACAGAAGTGCCAAACTCAAGTAGCCTGATAAAGAAATACAATTAAGTTTAAGCAAAGTACACCAATACCAACTTTTGTGTCCAGCTGTTATCAGCCATTAGTGTGACAGCTTTCATGTATTCACCAGCTGACAAATACATATCACTAGCATAAAAACATAAGATAAATAAAGTACACAATTCTTTATAAATACCATGCTTTGCTAGGATCATTTTTAGTTCTCGCCCAATCAGCTTCTTTTACCTTCAGCTCCCTTACAACTACAGACTTCTGCTCCATTTTATCAGGCTCATTCATAAATTGTTTAGCGAGTTCAAATTGACACAGATCAGTATACATTTCAACTGCCTTTAATTAACAAAAACAAGAGTCAAGTATTATGTGTACATGTAAAAGGAAGTCATGCAGTTACAGTACCTTGTCGTTTAAATTGCTCTTACAGTACACCTTTGCAGCATCAAGGAATTTTCCTTCATTCGCAAGTATATCTCCAAAGAAAGACTCCATTCCTCCTTCACCTTGAGAATCTTTATGCTTGATCTAAATAATAGTACCTTGTAAAATATATTAAATAATTAGTAATTAAATGTCACCTCCATTTGACGTATTAGCTCTAGAAACTTGATGTTGTGAACTCTGGCAAAACTCTAAGCTTATATTTAAAAAATAAAAATTAATATCATTGAGATACTTTTTTTGCAATTTCAAAATTCATTCCCTACATTGATGGTACAAAAGTAAAATTAAAAAAAAATACTACAACTTCTAATGCTTCAAGAGCAAGAGTCTGCCAATCATTCTGTGAAACACCCAAACAGGCTACTTTATAGGCATCAAAGTACATTCGTTGTTCAAGGTACTGCTTCATTGTAGCACTCTAGAAAAATAAACTACCTCAAAAATTTTTGAAAATGATACATGTACCTGAGAAACTTCAGTAGTAGTCATGTTAAAGTAATGAAGACTAAATATCTTAGAGCCAATAAATCCTACTACAAATCCTTGCCCAGTTTGCAATTGCTGTTGATGTGGTAAAAAATTACCAGCTTTGACATAAAGTATACCATTGCCACTATAACACAACATGTCCTACATTAGATAAATAAGCACACATGTATAGCAACAAGCATAATGCATACATTGAAACTTGTATTCCAAGCTACACTCGTTGCATTGGGTTCTTGATATATTAGTACTTTTTTCATTAGATCATAAACCACAAGGAGATTGTTCTCATCAACTACGGCTAATTTTGAGTGACTAAAATGATATAATAGTTGCCTCATTTATTTAAAATGATTCACTTTAAATTGATATCAACACATCGGACAACACCAGGAATTCTATAAACTTCAACAGGAAAAGGATTATTAAGAAAAAACTTTAAAATCTAAAATGTTGGGGCATCCATGTAATGAAATTTTTAATATGTAAGCAACCTACCAGGCCATTTCTGAGCCCAGCTAACATTGCTTCATTACCAGAAGCACCTCCAAGCACTTTTAAGTAGCGAATCTGGCTATCTACTACCCACTCCCTATTCAATACTGAAGTAAAAAACAGCTGATTTGAACTATTTACCTTTCAATTTCTCCTTTCATAGTTAGTGAAAGAAGCTTTTTATCAGAACAAAACACAATATGCTCGCTACAACAAACCAACAAACTACACTGCAAACTACGACTTATTTTCTCCTACATGTACAAGCAATACAATAAAATTGAAATGTAACAAAACAAATCGTTGCTACCTTAACAAAGTAAGTCATATCTCCACTTTTTGCATTTGTAGAAAGCTCATACACAATTAACTTATCTGGAAGTTGTACCTAAAAAATAGTTAATAATACCGTATAGCTTGAAATTTTTGTGGGTTGATATTTTTGTGGTTTGCTCCTAGTGGGCAATTCGTGGCTTAATTTTCGTGATTGACAGTTTACATAGCCTGTAAGGGGATGGCACTTCAATGATTTCGTAGGTTTCAATTTCGTGGGCAGCCCATAACCACGAAAACCACAAAATTGACATTCCACAAAAATTTCAAGCTACATGGTATGATGATTAACGCATGTACATAATGTACAATGTTCATCAAGGGATTATGACTGCCACTGTGGGTATCAAATTCAAACGCACAATATTCAATTCATATACATGTACCAGCTGCCGGTACATTAGCATAACCAATATACAGTCAAACCTGTCTAAACGGTCACTGCTTAAAACAGCCAGCTACTTTAAAACGGTCACTATTTAATGTCCCGATTTTTTGGACAATGACTGTAATACTAAACTTACCTGTCTCAGCGGTCACTCTGTAAGATGGTTAACGGTCACTGACAGAATTAATCTCCATCAAGACTGATAAAGACCACCACTGTGTACAGGCGGCCAGATAGCCACGCCTATTGTACCACGCCCATTTTGAATTAATTTTTACATCATTAATAATGATTAATTTTCTTTAATTGTTATCTCAAATAATACCTTCGAAATAATACTATATACAACTCAGTTTAGGTCTTTAGGGGTACCTAAAAGTTCTTTAAGTCTTGTCATATAGTTTCTATGGCCAGTAAATGTGTACAAAATAATTTAAACTGTATTTAAAGGCATCTCTATAAAAAGGCCACCTGCATAAGACAGCCACTAAATGCATGTCCCAAGGTGACCGTTTTAGACAGGTTTGACTGTACCAGGAACATGGTATGGTTGTATGCATACATCAGGTGTACTGATTACTAAAATACTTACTGCTAAACGGTTTTTGTAAACTGCAATTTTTTTCACCATATCTCGGCACTTGAGGTGAACTGCATGAAAAATTCTTATCAATTAAAAAAACTGTAAATTATATACCCTTTTCCTCAGATAGCAAATGCTGAACAACTACATCAGTTAATCCATGTCTATAAGCATACCTACATGTATAAAGGAGATAAGTTTCACAAGTGTAAATAAAATAATAAATATAAGACCATGCAAAGCCTAAAAATAAATGACTTCACGGGAAAAAGACATCCTAAACAGACGTGATCCCTCTAAATAAAAATAAATACACATACCTATCTTTATAAAGTCCATGGACAGTAACCAAAGTGACACTGTAACATGCAATTGTGCCATCATCACATGATATGACTACCTCTTTGCCACCAGGTCGACACTGGCAAGACCATATCCATGAGTTCTGTGTTTCTCCTAATAATCCCAATTTATTACCTTCTTTGGAAAAGAGACAAGTGGATTTGTTGGAGCCGCCAATTAAAAAGAAATCTCCATCAACAGAATAAGTAAAAAAGCAAGGATCAAAGTCTAAAGGGTGATCCTTTCCAATCTATGAATTATATGTAACGTCTAATGAAACACATAGCTGTAACACAAGAAATTACTTGCTTCCCACTGAGCTGATAAAAGCTTAGTCTTTGACCCCAATCACAAACTGATAAAATGTCATACTGATCATCCCTTTCATAACAAAACTGTTAACAAAACATGTACAAAACTGGTGAATATACCTTGATGGATTCCAGGCTAAACACCATACAGGGTGATTACCAGGCCTTTCAATTTTAATTTTCTCATCTCCATTCTAACAACAAAATTTGTCAAATACACAAAATATGAAAAATATACATGTCATACCTTTGTCCATATAGACACAAGGCCATTAAAAAGACCAAGTGCAAAGTATTGCCCATCATTAGTCCAGCTACAGGAACAAACACGACAGGATACCTTTCTTTTAGCAACATTTCGATGTTCAGGTGACCATAAACCTATAGGCAACAATGACAACATGGGGATGTGCATTTATGTCTAAGTACATGTACCAATATCACTGGTAGCACAACTCAGGATTTGGTGAGAAACTGGATTGTAGGCCAAGCACTGTATGCCATCTGCATGCCTAAAGGAAAGTACAAATGAAAAATTTACTCACACTCCTGCATGCTGCTGCAAAAAACAAATACTTACGAATATTTTAACTGTCCTTCTAATTCCCTTGTCCAAATAATAACAGTTTTGTCAGCACTTCCGGATGCAAAAAATGCTCCTGTATGAATAAATAATACAGTACATGTAATACAGGTTAAAAAAGAATCAATTAACTCACCATCTCTAGAATAAGTGAGACCATGCACTATATTTTTGTGAGCATTAAGTTTATTAATCATTGTGCCATCTTTAGCATCAAAAACCTACATGCATACAGTGTACATGCAAAAAAGTAAAGAGGAATTAAAAATTGCTTGGAACTAACTTGAATACTGTTACCAGCAGCAACGACCAGATGACTACCATCAGGATTGAAAGCAATGTCATAAATGCTATAAAAAAGCAAAGAAATAAATTTGTAATATGTACATGTAAAAAATTAACTGCAAGTAGTATGCTCAATGTATCATACAGGAATTTAATTATTTCTGAAATAAGCAAAAATTACATACAATCAATAGTTAGATTAGAGTAAATTAAGAGTTATGTACTTTGCTGCAATTTATTAATAGATGCAAATGAAAGAATTGTTATACTTGAAAAGGAGAAAAGATTCTGGGTCAACACGTAAATTCAAAATGCAAAGCATTTATTTATCAAAACCGTAAATGTATGCTACTAGGGCGATTAGATGCATTTGTGCTATACCACTTAGATGAAGAGGACACTAGCTCTGTTATTTGGAGTGACAAAATTATTCGCAAGTATAGGTTGAAAATAATTAACTATTATACTGCGTTTACACTAGCTTCTTTAACTGAGCCAGCCCTGTTTAAAGTGGGCCAGCACAGTTTCATTTGATAGTGTAAACAGTAACCAAACTGAGCTGAAGTGAGCTGGGCCAAACCAGGCCAGCAGGGTTAGTACAGCAGGGTTAGTACAGCAGGGCCAGCTCAGCCTGGTTCAGCATGGTTTGGCCCACTTCTGTAGTCTAAACGCAGCATTAGATGCATGCAGTTTAATGTGTGAATGGGCGTCCATGTTAGTTACTATAACAAATGCATGATATACATGAACATGTAGCTACACAGTGTATACTCACAAATCAGACACATCTCAATAAACATTGTGTTCTAAAATATTATATAAAGACATACATGTACATGCATAACATAAATGTACATGTACATTGTGTACATAAAGACTAAAAAACTTGAAATTGAAGATATAGAAAATGTAACTTTTTCAGATCCTCATCACATGATTACTGAACACATGATTACTGAAAAGAAGTAACATATGGCAGGAAGAAAAATATACTTAGCTCCTTCTATCTTTGTGAATAAATTTTTGAAGAATACCAGTGAATGAATATATTATAAACCATCATCAAATCATGAAAACATAGATATAGCCAATATTAACAATACCCTGGAATTTACGTTTCAATGTGTCAAATACAATTATATGTACATGTAAACATGTAAGTGACACATACATGTACTGCATGTTGCATGCATTTTGGCACCTGAAAGAAATAGAGAACAAAACAGACTATGCATTAGGAAACCATATACGTCTGTATATGCTCATATGTATGTACTAATATTGCATGCATGCTCAAAAATAAATAAGTGAAATAAAGAAGTGAACTGAAGTAGGAGATGCCATACACAGTATTCATATTCCGGCCCCTTATTCAAACACATTTATTACCAGTATAACCAAAAACTCAAAAGGTCTGCATACACAGTTAGGCATAGTCTGAGGCTTTAGCCACAGCCTCATATACATGTACATGTACATGTAGCATAAATGGTACCAAAATTATACCAGAATGCTACAATCTATGCAAATTTAGCATACACGTACATAGATACATGTACATGTACATTTACTTGTGTTTTAATATAATGATAATGCTTATAAAGATTTGTATTACAATGCAGATACAGTAACTCACATTGCAGCTGCTATATTGTGGTCAAACTAAAAATGGACACCTCTATAATCAGGACAGGTAGTCGCAATAACAATACAATTTAATCAGCCTCTCAAATATGGCAACTTCCACAACTAGGGTAGTTTCATTGGGTAACAAGGTATCCCAAAAAGACAAGTTTGATGGTATTATTCATGCTATCCACAACTTCGGGTAGCAGTAGCAAGATGCTGTTATATTATACACGTAAATAGCAAATTGTTATGAAGCTGTAAGCCGCTTAAAAAGTTAAAGTAAAAGGAACCAGAAGACTAGTAAAGTACCTTAAACTATGACAAAGTAAAGCAAAATTACTTTCTTTCAGGTTCATAATCCTGCTTTTTCTGGATTATGATCGTTGTTATAATAAATGTGATGTAAAATTAAAGCTTTATGAGCAAGTTTGAGATAGTTAAAGGTGATGGAAGTACAGCCCAGGAATAATACTATTTTGCTCCTGAACAAAGTCAATGTAATGAAATACTTCATAACAAAAATATCAATTAGTGTGACTTTGCCTCTGAAAAGTAACACCTATTTTGATGGTTTCCTGTTTCAAGTGTCATGAAAGAGCACACACTTGCATAGCCAGATTCCTCCCTATTTCGACTTTAATTGGATCCATATCAATTATGGAATGTAAAAAAGGGGAGGAGTCACACAAAACATCCTGTAATACCCAATTCAATGTAATTAAGCCCACTTCACCAAGTCCAGCTTCCCGTTATTAGTTATGTATATATACAAAGTTTTATGAGGTGATAATGAAAATAGACATTAAATTTACACCAACAATATAAGGTACATGACATGAACATGTTTGTCATGCCAAGGGTTATAACGAGGCAAAATGTGTACATGACTCCAAAAACTCTAGTAGGTAATCTAAATTTACAAGCAAGGACTCCATGGTCACAAAGACACCAAAGGGAAGCTAATGAGACTCCAAGCCTGATACATACTGACCCTTGAATGCCATGGTATGCCAATGCTAAGTAGGCCAAGTAGTTAGGCCACTCCAACATAATTCATGCAAAAACTTAATAGTGCAGTAGCTTACACTAAGCTAGCCTTTTATACAAAAAGGCAATCAACAAAAAGTAAAAGAGAGTCATGAGAAGCATATATATATATACATAATTAAGTATACATATATAATTGATCCAGAATGAACAAAATATGAACGGACATTATCTACATAACCTACATAATTTACAGACACTGTTCTCACCGTAGCGATCCTCCATCTTTGTCTTTAAGCTGGTTCTTCCAAACAATATTGGCTTTAAGTGGCATAATGGCATTTGCAACAGGGGACACCGGGACAGGAGAAGGGCGGCAAATGCTGGGGAAAAATACCGCGAATTATTGGAATTAATTAAGCGAAGGCTAGATCTAGATATTAAATAATTAACTGAACAGGGGTGTGGTAAAATAGGCAAAACTTCATAATGGCATCGGAACAATCGACTGAACCTGTGACCATAGACCATGCTGTGACTGAGCAGACTGAACCTCGGACAGAATACCACGAGCAGGGGGAAGGACGAACTTTTAATCATCACCAGGAACTAAATAGTTTAGATGTTAATCTTGTTAATACGAGTATTTTGGAGCATAGTGGTCAATTCTTTGATCATTTATCAATAAAAGATGACACTGCTTCACCTCCAGAGACAGCAATAGATACACTAGTATCAGATATGATAGTAGTTGAACACGAAGACAGCAGGGATGATGATGATGTAGCTGTAAGTTGCATTGTATAGATTATTGTTACTGTAGGTTAGAGGTTTTTACGTGGTGATCCTACTCCATTATTTGAACTTGATAAACGTGCAAAAGACTTAGTTCTAAAATTGGATGACATGGTTAATGAACTTCATTCTAACATTGATGCGGTAATATTAACCAAGGTATATTAATTTTACCTCCTACATTGTAGATGTCTATTTGTGTACATCAAGCAATATCACTTCATAGTGAATCAGTTGATTCGGTACATAACACTGTAGATGGTGCTGTAAAGGTACATATATACATTTTTTTGTAGTGACTTCACATTATGACATCACTGTATGGCAAATGTAAAAAATCCACATTTTTATAGCTTCATTTACACGTTTCAAAACAGAAAAGTTCATGCGCAAAGCATCGAAACAGTAAGCAGTAGTACCATATTAATGGTTATTTTAGGGATTTATATTTTGCGAAATCTACAAAAATTCCAATTCACAGATTTTAATTTTGCGAATTCCACCACATGTGCCATGTGGGTATTGTATTAAATTGAGTTTACAGATTTTATTTTCGTGAATCAGGAAGTAATTCACAAAATTCAAGAAAAAATTTCAACCATCGAAAAAACCACTTACACAGTATTAGGTATAGGACTTCGCTGTGTTTACTTTTCCCACTTCACTAAAATTTCTTTTAGCTTAATTCCAGAACCTCTTGTTTCCCTTGTATCTTGGGGCCTATGCAAATCAAGGAACAGCATACTGTAAAAATTAGCAAATAAATTTATGTGCTAGAAAATTTGTGTTTTAAAATGTTGCTGCGATTTAATTTTAAAGAAGTAAGACATGTCTTGTATTATTGAATGTCAATGTAATCATACGTGACCTAATTTTTGTTTAATTCTAGTTCAGTAAATTAAAATCACTTAAAAATCTCGAGATAGATGGTATTTAATAGCTGGAGAAGCCCGCCAATGGAGTGTTTAGTGTTGTAGTCCATGATGTAACTTTCAAGCCAACTATTTTTTAAGCGATCAAAAAATTAATGCATACATAAGTCACAGTTATGTACTCTTTATCATTCCATAGTATTTTTTTAATATGGTAAGCATGAACTAGTATAACTTCTGTTTGCAAAGCAGATATAATAATGATGTGGTGTGTGATGTCAAATAAACCACTTCGTTACTTTTACCAAAATGAATTAATTTTTATATTAGGTGATGTATAGTTTCCTATCTCAGTTCAATGAGCTTCAAGACAGTTTGGAGCCACTGAACAAGATTTATGAACAAGTGTATCCACTTTTACTGAGTTTTACTTGTTTTTTTTTGTAATGCGTTATTTGTCAATGAGTCTTTGTATCACTGTGTAAATGAATAAATAATTGTTTTGTAATGTTATGCCATAGGCCATTAAGGCCAACCACACTCAGTTATAATTGTATAGTTTTAATGTTTTAAAATCATTATGATTACATCTAAATGAATTGTGTACGTTAATTTTCCTTAGTTTTTGTAGTACGGCAATAAATGAAAATCTAAAGGTTCTTGAAAGAGTGTGACTGTTTTTTTAACGTGTTGTAAAAACTGGAGTATAGATAATAATGATATTAATAATTTTAATATTAATAATAATAATAATAATGATAATAATGAGACTTAATTGTTGCATGTCCTAACATACTCAAATTTATTATAAATTATAAATGTATCCTAACTTTCATTCACAATTTCTAAAATTCTATTTTTCTACATTTAAGTGTATGCATGTATTTTAAAACTGTTTTATATTAGTAAACTTTTTATTTCTCTTCTTAATACATTGGTACTTTTCTTCGTTTTTTCTATATAGGACCTTCCCTCTCCTTTCCCTTTTTTCCTCATTTTCTCTGTTGGGTTGTGTAATATTTTGTGCCTGTTTGTCTAACTGGTTTATTTTAAATAATAATAATAATAATTAGAATTAGGAAAAAGTTAAGACAGGATGAAAATAATGCTGCTATGTGGGTTGCTGGGCGGCCCTTCTCTCTCTCTCATTGACAGCTCCCTTTAAGGTTTTTAAAATTTCTGTTGTTGTCATTTGTTGTTTGTTTTTTGTGTTTTTCTGCCAAGATTTATTTTATAATAATAATAATAATAATAATAATAATGATAATAAATAATAATAATGATAATAATAATGATAATAATAAATAAAATAGTAATTAAACACTAACGAAGGCGTGGTTACTTCTAATGCACGTGCACATCCTATGCATGCTTGAGGTGACACGTGGCCAGCAACTTCAGACAATTTGGACGTTTTCTATAACAGCTGTGGTCATAGTCTACTGTTGGAGTGGTCATGTCTTCTAAGAAGTTGTCCTGTGGGAGGGACTTCTTTGCTGTGCCTAATTTAGCTGTAGCTCTGGAGAATGGAGGAAAATGCGGGTATAGTTTGTTTAGTAATGATAATAATGCTAATAAGTTGCTTGATTAATCAACTACATTATTTGACTATTGCTGTGTTGTCTTTTCCTTTGTTTTGTACCGTATAGTGTTTTTTTGAGAATAATCATTTTAGCGAGTGACCTCTATCCGGAGGTTCTCAAAGATAATTTTTGCAAGTTTCCACTATTCTGCCATCTTGTACCGTATTAAATTGATTTTCAATGAATTTAATTTTATAAATTAAAAAATGTGAAATTTTAGAAGTTTCTTATCCTTGAAAAACTGCTATACGGTATTGCTCATTAATTTTAGTAATGAATATTATTCGTTAGCAGCTCTGTTGATGAGATAGATTTAGAGTGGTGAATAGGCAACAAGCGTATAAAGCTGTTGCACAGAAGTAATGAATGGGGGTGCAGCTATGACTGTCTGCAATGTTAGATCATTGATATTAGTGACTATGTAACTGGGATAGGAAACTAGGATTAGTTGGTAATTGGATTAGGCGTTAAATAGAATAAATTTGACCATGTGGCTTGCTTTTTATGCGGAATTATTGAATTTTTGGTTTTTAAGCAGTACTGTAGTCCAATGCAATACATGAATTAAATACTAAACCCCCAATTCTATGCACATAATCTCAAACAATCTTCCCCCAAAAAGATAAACATCTGCTTTTTGTGTAAAAGCTGTAACAGGTACAACAGTGGACGGTTTGCAAAAACAGTATTTTAGATGTTACTTCTCTAACATAGCAAATTAGTAAATGAAACTATGGCTGTTCCATCATAGATAATAGAGACTACGGTTTCATGCACAATGATTGTGGCAACATTTTCAATGATCTTGTTAGTCTATTTAGCCCGTCTGATGGAGCAACAGGTACATAAAGTTTTGCAAATTTGCAACTAACACAAATTTGAACTATAGCACAGTATATTTGCAAAATAATAATTGTATCAATATATTTGTCATTGCAGTCGTGTCACACAAACATTTAAGTATTGAAATATTATTAAAATAACAAGAAATCAACATTGGTTTGAATGCATTCTTCCTTTGGATGTGGTAGATGAGTAGCCATTTTTTGACCATACCAACAAAATCCATTGATGGTCATTGGTCTGGTGGTTGACACTGGTTTAAATGGATCCCGTGAGCTAGTTTCCTATCCTCATTACGTAGTCTATAGTATCTGTGGTTGTGTGGTAAGAATGTACATGGTTGAATGGGTAGAATAGAGAAAAAATCTGAATAAATTGAATTTTTTAGTTGACAATACAGGCTAATGCAAGCTAGGAGATGAAGATATTCAGTGAAGAAATTGCTATAATTTTCTACAACCAAGTATGATACCTCATTTTGGAAATTTCCAGTTTGTTTCTGTATCTCCATTGATTCTGTGTACATTCTTGCCACCCAACATGGCGGACAGTTGTAGCCGCACCCCCAATTGATTACATATGTGGAATGGCACAATTAATTCAGCAGGATTGAAGTGAAGTACTTCAAATTATATTTTGTGATCTCCAAGTATATTTACAAGTACTGAAGTATAATTACAGGACATACGTTGTATTTAGCTTTTAATTGTAGTACTTAAGTATACATGTAAGTAGAAGTACAGTACTTGATATGTACTTATAGGGACAAGTGTAAGTACTTTTTGAACTAGGTTTAATTATATAATTACAATTTGTTTATGACATCTAATTGGGCGAAGCCCACTAGTTTGAGCAGATTACGTATGTTTGTCTGTATACGTATGTTTGTCTGTACACGTACGTCACCTCTATTTATGTATAGGTTATACACCGAGGTCGAGGTTTCTATGGGATTTATTTTACCGAGGGACGCAGTACCAAGGTAAAATAAACCTATAGAAACCGAGACCGAGGTGTATAACAGACTTCTACCATGCCAGACCAGTCAGACAAACAAGTTTCTTGTCATTGCCAAGAAACAAGTGCATCTTTTAAGGTGGCTAGTATAAAAGGGCTAACCTAGAAACACTTGGTTACAATAAAGGCGCAATGGAAATCAAAGCAAAACAAATCTTGTCTCAAACTTCTTTCCATCTTTCTTCTCCATGCAGTTCC